GCCGTTTCCATACAATACCGAGTGCAGTAGCCCGTGGGCCGGAAGGTTCCAATGGTTGTGAAGGCTATGCTGATCAGAGACCCACTGAGGACGGTTCCATACGTGTATGGTAAGAGTAATAGACCCACTGGGGACGGAGTGAGTACACCATCCGAGTACTCGTAGAATATGGGGGACCCGTCCAGGGTGACTCAGGTTGTGGTCGTGACTGCCGTGACTCCTGATCGTCCCTTCCCTCTGTAACTCTCTTAACCGTTCCTCGACGCTATCTCCTCTTTCTCTTTCTCCTTCTCCTTCCCCTCCATCATCTCCTTTCTTCATCCTACTCTTCCCCTCGTTCCCCCCTCTCCTTCACCTTCCGTCTCCTTCCACTTCTACTTCGCCACTCCTCCTACTCTCATCCCTATACGTCTTACCCAGGACTCCCAAGCGCTCTGCCTACTGCGATCTGCCAACCACTTCATATATCGCTTGATTCGATACATTTTGAAGAGCGCTCATCTCCCCCGTATTGGCCCGTTCGATTCCATTTGTTTCCTTCTGGAATATACTCTCAAATCTGAACAAATATCTCTTCGTCATCGCCTGTCTACACTCTCGTCAAGTAACGGCTCGACGATTCAGATTCGTGTTGCCTTCGTCCCTGCCAACCCTTTACGAAGGCCTTCATCCGTGGATCTTGGATACTTATCATCTGCGCACAACCGACTGAACAACAAGCCTGTTGTCCAGTTCGGGAACCTGGTCTTGAGTACTCCGGCTCTTCCGCTCTTCGGAATATAAAGGCGCTCCCCCAGGATCCCCATCCGACTCCTTCGACTCGAGAATCTTGCCTATCAAGCTTGATCTCCTCGGTTCGATTTGTCACTCGATTAGAATTCTTTGTTCTCTTCGATTTATCGTCTAAATTCTCCATTTCTTCAATCGGCCTCCTTCATGACTCATTAATCTCAATAACTCCAACCAGAGTCCCGGCCGCTCCCAACCTTGAACCCGGTGTTCAAAGGCTCCTTTCGACTTCTTTGCTTTATCTCCTTTCTCAATTACGATCTTACGCAGCGAAAACTCAAACTCAAACAATTATCTTCGGTTCCACCGTTCGTCTCTTCAGGCCACTCTTCTCAACCTTGCAATCTTGTCAATCACCAACCTCTGTCCATTCCTTCGTGACACATCCATTTCTTTCGTCCACTGTGCGGCTATATCAACATCGCCACCCAACAAACGAAAACGACATACAAATGAGCACATAACGGTCTTTACACATTTTCCTTGAAAGCGTCATCACCCACCCGGGTACACCACATTCAACCGCGCCCTGCGCTGTCTCGTCTTTTCACCTTTCCTTGTCTATCTATCAACTTTCTTCACCTCCCGTATATTTTTATGATACATCCGAGTTTTCGAAATCCCTCAGCTCGTCCCGATTTCGACCTCACCTCTGAACCCTCTCGCCGTTGAGATTCAGGCCTGAATTCTTCTCTTCTTGACTATTAATCACCCTCATAAGCCTGGTTGCTGTTTGACGCGTGCCTTCCACGTGTGTGCTTTCGAGCGGTTCATAGATTTTCTCTCTACCGTCGGTGCCCTTGCTCTTTACTCTTGCATCGACCCATTTGCATACTCTACCTTCCACTTATCGTCTCTTCTTTGAGATATATCACATCATGTCATCACAAATGGAGTGTCTTCGGGACAACTTTGAAAAGGATCGCATCCTGGATGGTCGTTTCCGCACCATTGCCCCTCTCAACCATGGATCATTCGGTATGGTCTTCTTGGCCGCGGACACTACGACCGGTCAGGATGTTGCCATCAAGTGTTTGACTAAGAATGCTGCCACTGACCCTTCAACTCCCTTCCCAATGGATGATCAGTTCGAAGAGTTGGAGGCCCACCGCCGCTTTGGTCAACATAAGAACCTGGTCAATTTGATCCATTCTTTTGAGACCGATGCTCACATGTACCTCGTTTTAGAGTACTGTGCCAACGGGGATCTCTACGAGGCCATTCGTCACGATCGTGGCCCCCTGGAGACCGAGCATGTCCGCGATATTATGCTTCAGCTTCTGAGTGCCGTCGAATTCATGCACGCCAACGGCCTCTACCACCGTGACATCAAGCCCGAGAACATCTTCCTGATGTCCGACGGCTCGATGAAGCTTGGTGATTTTGGCCTGGCAACCCGTGAGTCCTTGTGCCACGAGGCCTGTGTCGGAAGTGATCGTTATATGGCTCCCGAACAGTACGAGCCCCACTCTGTCGGGTATTCTCCTGCCGAAGCCGACATCTGGTCTGTCGGCATCTGTTTATTGAATATTTTATTTTCTCGCAACCCTTTTACTGCTCCCACGGAGTCTGATGTTCTTTTCTCGGACTACGTGCGCGATCGCCAGTCGTTGTTTGACATTTTCCCCAACATGTCTCAGGATACTTTCGAAATCTTGACTCATGCGCTGGCTATTGACCCAGCGAAACGGTCCCTGTCGAATGTGCGCGATGGCATCTTGCGCGCTGTCTCCTTCACCACCGATGACGAGTCCCTTGACGAGTTCTGTACTGAGGATCGCGATATTGTCACCGCCAGTGCCAACCGTGAGCCTCTCCGCACGCCCTCTATCCAGAGCCCTGCCATCAACCAAGGTGATTCGTTCCCATGGACCCAGATGCTCAAGTCAAGCCCTGCACCGGCCTCCCGCCAATTGTCCGTCATCCCGGACAACGAAAGCTATACGGAAGATCTCTTCCCACCTTCGGAGGTCGCGGGTACATCTTGGTTTTCGGCCCACCTCGACACTCCGTCTATGGCTTCTGTTTTGGACTCGGCGATGGGTGAGTCCTTCCGCTCCTTCAATCATCTGAAGGCTCGGGGATCTGTCCTACCTCGATCCGACCCGGTCCCTATAACCGGCTCCCTCCCAAGTCACGCCACCAAGCCCCTTCCTTCCCTGTCCATGGTTTTCGGTAAGAACTCCAACAGTGATCAGATTTCCAAGAGCTGGAGTGATCTCTGGGACGAGGAGGAATCGGAGAATGAGGACGCGGCCATCCAGCAACGACACGAGCAGAACTCTCGTAGCTGGAGCCAAGAAAGCCGGAACCAAGAAAGCCGGAGCCAAGAAAGCCGGAACTCGCCATCGAGTCCCCTGTCCGAATTGCGCGAGCTGGACTCCGCTCTTCCAAGTGACGCTATCCCAATGGAGAATCAGCTCAGTGCACCCCGTGCCATTCAGCCCAAATCCTTCGAGATCGACAGTGATACCGGGACTTCCAGTAGCACGCCCGACCTCTTCACCAGGACTCGCCTAAGAAATCCAACCTGGATAAGTGGTCACAGCTAGGTGACAAACGTCGCAATTGTCAGACTCGTGAGCTCTTCGGTCCCCAGCGATCGGCGAACAACTGGCGACGCGATTGGGGTCTTGGCTCTTCTGGATTCGACCATGGAGGCCGACCTAAACGTGAATCTCCCCCGCTCGACCGTCGTCGTCGACTGTTCATGGAAAAAGATTGGCGCCGTGACAATATGGAAGCTTCTAAGCTTCCTCTTGCTCCCGCCAAGTTCCCTCTCCACTACGACAGCAGTCTCGATGACGATCTTGATCTCGTGGGCGGATGGCATGACCTCCACCTGTAGCATAATTATATGCCTGTGTTCCCTTCTCAATCTCATCATTGTTTTTTTTTCTCCTATTTTCGTCGCCCATACGTCCTATTGCGCAAGTTTCTTTCGATTCAGTTGGGAAAAAAGTTCAAAAATGACCAACAATAAACTAATCGGCAATTGTTTCTTATCACTTTCTGTTTTCGGCTTTGTTTGCTTGCCGGTGTCTCCTGCTCTCCCAACCGACGAAGGCCCTCGCGTCTATGTTTTGGTCGACTATATCACCCACCGGTCCGACCAGATTTTCGTTCTTCTCTTCTCCCCTTCATGTACTATACTGGGTCATGGGTGACAGAGTGTACGGAGGCGCCGAGCACCAAAAAGACTAGAAGGCGGAAGGATTTGTTTTTGGGGAGGAATTTCTTTTTATTATTATTGCATACGGACTAATGCTGCGACTGGGGAAAAAAGGCAATCTGTGGCCAAGGATGAGAATGATGATGTGGAAGTGCTGGAAGGAGGATGGAAATCCGGTCGTTGTTCTGTTTGACAAATGTACCGAAGCCAATCATGTACTGTAACTAGCCAAGACTTGTCAAATGGGAAACACCCTCCGTGAAGATTGCATTGTTCCTTTACCTAGTACCTTGTACCTTGAACAAAGAGTTCCTTGAGACCACCATTTTTTCCCGGTCGTCTCAGCCTTGGTGGGTCTGCAGTAGCGTCGGCACTTGTGCGCCTGCGTTGCATCGCGCTCGCACCTTGAGCTTGAGCTTGAGCTTGAATTTACCAGCTAGAAATAAAACCTTAGAAGAAAATGTGAATAGCACATATGACATAAATCAATTATCACTCACAATTATTATCATACAATCATCCCGTAAAACCTCCAAGATAGCTATAGTTGTAGTAACTACATCAACGCAGTTCAACCGGCGGTGAGGCAGGCGGTGACCCCGGGCCAACCGTTGAGATGCCACCAGGTCCACTTCTCGCATTCTCACCGAGGTCGGTCGCTTCGCTTGCTTTCCAACCTCCAAATTAGTATTCACCGTCTCTTCAATATCGCCAGCCCCGATATCGCCCCCACTCGATCCTGAGTACCATCCCGTCCTTGTTCCCCCTCATCCGCAACTCTCGTCCTCACCTCGTCCTCGTCCCACAAAGATAGCGTCCAAGTTCGCGATTGGTCTCGCTATCAACTCGACGATGCGCTTCTCATAAATCAAATTTTCTGGGTGCGAAATTAGCCACAAGTACAGGGCTACATTCACCGGGTTATCGGACCATTAAACAGCAAGAAATAAAAACCACCGACCGGATATAACGCGTGGCTGGGGGAAGATAGGGCCTCATCGTATCACTGTGCAGAGCTCTTCTCGCCTAGAGTGACACGATGGTAGCTGTGAAGCTGGGGTGGACACACCATGCTTCGAAAATTATAATACCAGCGCTTCTAGTAGCGGGAACCTTGGCTACTCCGGAATCTAATCAACGCCCTGGCGATGCGGTGGCGACAGGGAATACATGCCCCGCCAAAAGCGTTTGGGAAGCTGAGGCAGAGCTCTTTCAGGGTCCTGTATGCTTAGAGACTCGCTGGGGACGGGGCCGAGAGTTATTGCAATCCGACTCAGCAGCGTCCGGTATCGTAGGAAATGATACTACCGCTCCTGATTCTGCTACAACACCCGAGGAGTCTACAGCGGCTGCAGTGGCACCGAATACAGAGCAGGAGCATGATGCAGACTCCTTGCTTGATAGCGCGAGCTTCCTTTCGTTCGAAGATTGGAAGAAACAAAATCTGGCTAAGGTTGGTCAGTCGGCTGATAATGTGGGAGGGAACCGACGATCCGTTGGAGCTGGGAAGGACACTCAACGCCAGCCGGGAATCAATAATGTGCTGGACTCATTGGGAGACGACGGAGAAATTGAATTAGACTTTGGTGGGTTCGGTGAGACGCCGGAGGCGAGTCCAACAGCCTGGGGGACACCAATTCCATCGCAACATGCGGATAATTCAGAGCGAGGTGCCAACCAGGATGCCCAGGACAGGGCACAACACAAACGGACATATCGCGCCGAAAGGATGCGGGCGTAACGTGCAAAGAGCGATTCAATTATGCGTCCTTTGATTGTGCGGCTACGGTGCTCAAGACGAATTCCGAGTCGAAGGGCTCGTCGGCCGTCCTTGTCGAGAATAAGGATAGTTACATGTTGAATGAATGCCGCGCCCAGAATAAATTCCTGATTCTTGAGTTGTGCGATGATATTTTGGTGGATACGGTGGTGTTGGCGAACTACGAGTTCTTCAGTTCGATCTTCCACACTTTCCGGGTCAGTGTTTCGGATCGATATCCTGCGAAACCAGATCAGTGGAAAGAGCTAGGAGTTTACGAGGCACGAAATACTCGCGAAGTGCAGGCATTTGCGGTACAAAATTCGTTGATCTGGGCTAGATACCTTCGCATCGAGTTCTTGACTCATTATGGTCATGAGTTCTTCTGTCCCGTCAGTTTGATCCGCATTCATGGCACAACGATGATGGAAGAGTATAAGCATGATGAAAGTCACGGCCATGCCGAAGCTGAAGCTGAGGCCGAGGCCGAGCAGCCGATCCAGGAAAGCCAGCATGTTGATGCACCGGAAGCTGAACAAGTTCAGCCTCAAGTGGAAGAGCAGCCTCGTGAGCCGAATAAGGCGGAGAGATGCCCTAACCCTTTTACGGAGATCGAGGCAGTCCTGCTGGGCCTTTCTGTTGAAAGATGCGGTCCCGATGAGAAGCCGCCTGTGCAACCAGCCCAAGAAGGCACAACTTCCACGGGACGGACGGCCACTCCGTCTAATATGAACACTACCGCCATTCCAGGGGACAATGCACCTGCGACAAATTCAGGCTCTGTCCCGCCCAAGGCTGCCGAGGATGCCAGGAAGGCGAGCGACTCTCCTAAAGTGGTAACATCGACACCCGATGCTCCAGTCGCAGCCGCAGAGCCGGCGCAGCAGGATGCTACCGTCGAAAGCACAGGAAAATCAACTCCGAACTCCAAGGAGGACCAGCAAAACCCGCCTGCTGAATCCACCAGACCTTCCTCAACACAACCGCCCTCTTCAAACCCGACCACGCAAGAATCCTTTTTCAAGTCTGTCCACAAGCGACTGCAAATGCTTGAGTCTAACTCTACCTTGTCACTACTCTATATCGAGGAACAATCTCGGATTCTTCGTGATGCTTTCAATAAGGTCGAAAAACGTCAACTATCAAAGACCTCCAATTTCCTCGAGAACTTGAATGTCACTGTCCTGAGCGAGCTGAAGGAATTTCGTGAACAATACGACCACGTTTGGAAGTCGGTCGCTTTTGAATTCGAACACCAGCGCCTTCGTTACCACCAAGAAGTCCATTCGCTCAGTGCCCAAATGGGTGTTCTAGCCGACGAGCTTGTCTTTCAGAAACGAGTCACCGTGATTCAGAGCATAATGGTTTTGTGCTGTTTCGCCCTGGTTCTGTTTTCACGCGGCTCGGTGAGTAATTACATGGAGTTCCCGCGTGTTCAGCGGATGGTCGCCCGTTCGTATAGTTTGCGGTCCTCCTCCCCCATCTATGCATCCCCATCCGCCAGCCCTGGATCTACGCGGCCGACTTCCTCGTACCGAGAGAATGGTGGCCACCAGCGGAACATTTCAGATACATCATCCTCCCAGGATAGCCCCGCTAGCCCGAATGTTGCCTATATACCGCCGACACCGACCTCTGACGTGGATCGGGAGTTGGGGGACGACAAGGCTGATTGCGATCAACCCCAATCTCCCGACTCGATGACATTACCTACACTCGGAAGCCCACATTACCGGTCGCATAGTACGCCACCTGTATTGAACGGTCATACGACGGATCTTGACCTGAATGGGGCAGAAGATGACGGGATATTATCGTCCGAGGTCCAGGCCTCGACACCCTCAGACGAAGACCCGCCACGAACGTCATAAGACTCGATGATCTTTCGAGCCCATTTCACTGGCCCTGGCCCCACAGAAACACCAGGGGCTTCCTGCTCCACGTTGGCTGGCCCAACACCCATCATTCATGTCCCTCTAATGTTTGCCGAGCGCCGCATACTCGTATTTTTGTGCATTTGAGGTTCTTCTCATAAATAATCTATTGGCGTTCTCTGGGGGTTATTGTTTTATTTTATTTTTCATTCTCATTTGCATTCTCCAGGGTTTCTTTCGCTTTGTCTCGCCCTGGCGAGTGTTATGTTTCGGATGATTACGATCAGATTCCCACTGTACGATGTGAACATGTACTATTCAAATTCATGCATGCTAATCGAATTCTCCAACCAACTCAAATTATAAAGCAAACAAATAAAACGGGTAGCGTAATTTGCTAATTTGCCCCAGACCTCCCCCCAAAACAACAAAACCCAGAGGAATGGTGCGTCATCCCCTGGCCATCTCCGGGGCTCGCGTTGCCAGGCCAACAATCAAGCCGCATTTTTCATCGCTCACCTGCACCAACAAGCCGCACGTTTTTTCTTCTTATCCGATCCACACTGAATCCCATCTCTCTTCATCTTGCCATCTGCACTTCGCGTGAAAATCAGAACTCAAGAACGATCCCGATTACTCCAAGACCCTTTATCTCCCACTCATACTTCCTCTCCCCGATTCAAAATGGACGCCACAACACACGCGCAGCCCCTCGCGGATCGCCCAACCAACACCCACCTGGCCAACGTCAATGCCAACGCCGACAAGACAGATCTCAAGTCTACGGATCTCTCATCAATGGAGCAGCATCGCCAGATGCTGCAGGATAAGTTGGAGAGCGGCGAGAAGTAAGTTCATCTTGAGACGAGCCGAGACGAATGATCGCAGTTCAGTCCGATGATGGTGCTAATGCCGTGTCTAGACAACCAACCGCCTACGTTTCGCCCTCAGACGACATTATGAGCCCCTGCACGAAGAAATTGAGCGATATCAAGGGCAAGCGTTTCAAGAAGTATGTCGAAACCGTCGATGATGTCAACCCTAGGAGTCCAGGCTAATATTTGTTTTGTTTTTCTTTAGTGCTGGCAAGCCACAGTCACTGTTCGCGAAGCTCGGAAAGAAAAGCTATGAGCAATCATCCGCCGAGCAAAGCCGGACAGTCGAATAGACGGCTGATCCTTTTGAGATGGAGTCTTTGTCGCGGATAGTCGACCGTCTTTCATCCGAACTTCTCGTCCTCTATTAATCTATACTTTGGGCTCCCATCTCTGTGACGCTGGTCGTTCTCGATGGAACGGCCCACCACCCATGTGGTATTGGTATATCGGAGGTTGGGTTAGATTGGATGAGGAGTAGACTCTGCGACCGTGGCTCTTCTCTTTTGTTTGTGGTTTCTTTTGTCATGACCCGCAATGTCTTCTGTTATCTTCACCTGTGTGATTCGACTGGTTTTATGTTCGATCTTTCTTTCTTTCTTTTGTGTGTGTATTCGGGGGTTTCAGGCTACGGAATTCTGGTAATTTGTTCCTTCGGGACTGGTTTAGGAGCAATTGGATATGTGATACATGTATTGAACTGGACCGGGGGTGTTTTGAGGGGTAGCATTTCTTTATTTCTTTTTTATTGCGTATTTCGTATTCCCAAGTTAAGGCTGGAGATCTGCCCGAGGTCAGCTCACCTACTGAGCTTGCCGTCGGCAGCCCGGCTAAGTATGAAGTGGCCAGTTGCACTATTATGGAAGATTTCTAATCAGACCAAATCAAATGAGCAGCCCATACTTTGGCCTCGCCCGCTTTTTACAAACTAAAATCCATCATAGCCGAAGATGTCTCTCATTGATGGGGTGGTGTGGTGTCCAAAGGGTCTAAAGTGGTCGTTGGGCCGAGGCAAAATGCCCGCGTCGCTCGGCTTTCTCCACACCGCGCTACTCCGCAATCCTCGATGGGCCAACTTATATTCAGCGCTGCAGCCCCATTACTCGTACAGCTCTTTCACTCCCCCATCAACTCATCATGTCTGCCTCAACCCGTATTCCTCCTATCGCCCAGCCCTTCGTTAGCGAACGGGCTAAGAAGACCCTCGACCTGGTAACTTCCCTCTTTCCCTCTCCATCCCGACATCTCGGGCTTCGATATCCGATCTCAAGCTAACACTGCCCCTCCACTAGGTCGAGGAGTTTGTCGAGAAGGACTGTATCCCCGGTGATGCCGTCTTCTCTGCCGAGCTGGGCGAAGGCGAGAAGCGGTGGCAAACCACCCCCGTCATCATGGAGCAGCTGAAGGAGAAGGCCAAGAAGCTCGGCCTGTGGAACATGTTCCTGTCCAAGACCCATTTCAAGCAAGGTGCTGGCTTCTCAAACCTCGAGTACGGCTTAATGGCCGAGCTCCTCGGTAAGAGCAAGATCGCTTCCGAGGCTACCAATAATGCCGCCCCGGATACTGGTAACATGGAGGTGCTGGCCAAGTACGGCAACGATGCCCAGAAGCAGCAATGGTTGACTCCCCTGCTGGAGGGCAAGATCCGTTCTGCTTTCCTGATGACCGAGCCCGATGTTGCTTCCAGTGATGCCACCAATATTGAGTTGGAAATCCGCCGCGAGGGCAATGAGTATGTCCTCAATGGATCCGTAAGTCTCTCCTCGCCAGTCTCTCCCGTCATTCCATATAGAACCATCTCTGACGTATGATCCTTTACAGAAATGGTGGTCCTCTGGCGCCGGTGACCCCCGCTGCCAGATCTACCTGGTCATGGGCAAGTCCGACCCCCACAACAGCGACACCTACAAGCAGCAATCCGTCGTACTGGTGCCTGCTGGCACCCGCGGCGTGACTGTGCACCGCATGCTGCACGTTTACGGCTACGACGATGCCCCTCACGGTCACGGCCACATCACTTTTGAGAACGTACGCGTTCCCCTCTCCGCCATGGTCCTCGGTGAGGGCCGTGGTTTCGAGATCATCCAGGGCCGTCTGGGCCCCGGCCGCATCCACCACGCCATGCGCACCATCGGTGCCGCCGAGAAGGCCCTCGAGTGGATGATCAACCGTATCAACGACGATAAGAAGCAGACATTCGGCAAGCCCCTCGCCTCGCACGGCGTTATCCTGGAATGGGTTGCCAAGTCGCGGATTGAGGTTGATTCCGCTCGCTTGATTGTTCTCAATGCCGCTATCAAGATCGATCAGGGCGATGCTAAGTCTGCCTTGAAGGAGATTGCTCAGGCTAAGGTTCTGGTCCCCCAGACCGCGCTGACTATCATTGATCGCGCTGTTCAGGCCTACGGTGCTGCTGGTGTTTGCCAGGATACCCCTCTTGCCTACCTCTGGGCTGGTATTCGTACATTGCGGATCGCTGATGGTCCCGATGAGGTTCACTTGCAGCAACTAGGTCGCAGGGAAAACCGCTCGCGCAAGGATGCTATTGCTGCTAAGTTGAAGTGGCAGCGTGAGGAGTCGGATCGACTGCTTCTGGCTGCTGGTTTTAAGGCTAAGAGCCACCTGTAAATAGACCTGTGATATTATAGTACCACTTGCTTGATGCGGGGTAGTTATTACAAAGTATGAAATCCAATTATGAAAGTCAAGTTCTACGTTTGAAATTTCCTCCGCTTCTTTTTACTTTTACTTTTACTCTTACAGTCGTGATAATTGGTCATAGATAAGTAGATTTGACTCGTACTAAACGGACCCCCAAACGCCTGCAAATGTCTAGAGTAGTTTCAAAAAAATGAACATGACTTGAGAGATTCGTATCTCCAATATCCTGCCAAAGCGTCACAATGCCTTTGTGCCATGGAGAGGAGAAAAGAAAACATGAGCACATAGCTGATATCAAAACGTGAAAGAAGAGGGTTCATATGTCCATCGTGAAAAGAGCAACGAAAAGAAAAAAAAGCAAGGAAAACTTTTAGTTGTAATCTTCGTCGACAGGGTTATTGCGCACATGCTTGGCCCGCTTCTTGTTGGCCTTGTTATGCTTCTTGGAGCCGGAACTGCGAACCTCCGAAACATCGATACCGCGCTCCAGCGCAATCATCATGCGCTCCTTGCGGCCCGTGACGTTTGTGCGCATTTGCTGGCCTTGATCGGTATACTTGTGGTTGAAAGGCACGCTTAGGCGGCCGGCCGAGGGTCCGGTGGCAGAGCCGAAGAAACCGGTGTCAATGTTGCGGGAGCGTGCACCAAATTCGTTTTTACCGGCAACAAGTGCGGAAATGTCGGAGTCAACATCGGCATCAAGGTCCACGACCGAACCGGCGAGCATGGCTTGACGTTTCTCTGGGAGATGGGCGACATCGTAAAGCTCTTGGTTGAAGAGGTTAGGGTCGATGGGTTCTTCGTTCTCGGGCCGAGGAGGAGGGTGCACGAAGAGAAGCTTTCCATTGACGTAGTCCTTGAGGACATAACGGGCAGCACGGGATTCATCGGGTTGACCTAGACCCTGTGTCGAGAAACCACGAGCGCGGGCATAGGAACGAAGGATATCACTCGCAGTGGGAATGCCAGTGCCTCCCTCCTCGACGGGACGAGTCCTGATCTTAACACCGTAAACTTGCTCGATAAAAGACTTCGGTACACGTTTGGCGACCAGGCCAGCGGGGCCGGTGAACTCGCGCTGCTGGTCGATTGGCAGGACGCCGTTTACCACGAGGTCGGCCTTGGTGGAGGCAAAGTTGGGGAAGACCAGACCGGGACAATCGCACAGCATGATCTCTGGGGACAGGTACAGAGTCTGGAAGTGCTTGGTCTTACCGGGGGTGGCGGAAACAGACACCTTCTTGGCACCAAGCAGAGCGTTGATGGTACTGGACTTACCCACGTTGGGGTAACCGACCAGACCAATAGTGGTTTTCTGCTTCGACTCCTCCGAGGGATCCTGGTTTTGAGGAAGCGTCTCGGGGATGTGGGCGAGGAAAAGTTCTTCCAGTTCCTCCACGTCTAGGATGTGGGCACCGAGGGATTGTTCGGGGTCAGCCAGTTTAGCGGCAGCCTCATCCTTCTCTTCTTTCTGCTCCTTCTCCTGCTCATCGGCCTCATCAGAAGCCTCCTCATCGGCATCGTCTTCAACGTTCATCTTCTGTGTGGACTCGGCAAGATCCTCCTCTTCACTGTCGGACTTGCCTTCCTCTTCCTCCAACAGCTGAGCCTCCATTTTCTCCTTGGCGAGATGCGCAGAGAAGAAACGGAAATTGATGCTGTGCTTCTCAAAATAATCGGCCCAGGCCTCTCGTTGCTTATCGGTCAGCATATCGGCCTTGTTGACCAACAGCAAGTTCTTCTTGCGGGGGTCAATCTCCTTCACGTAGTTCTCCAGATCCTCCGAGCGGAACTGGAGCGGGTTTCGCGCATCGACAATCTGCACGATAAGATCCGAGCGCTCAATAACACGCCACAGTTGACGCCAAACCTCCAAGTTTCGCTCGAAGGGGGTCATCAGCAGATCCTGGTTCTCCTGCATTTCCGCCAATCCACGTCGCCAATTCAACAGACTCTCACGCTCCGCCATTTCCAACTGCGCCGGGGTGGTCGTTTTATCCCACTTGGGTCGTCGGGGGACCGTCAAGCGAGCCTTGTTCTCTTTGTGCTTCTTGGCAATATTCTTCTCTTCGGAGGCAGACAGGAGGTAGGGGTTCTTCTGGTCGGAGTGGATGATCTTGACGTTGCTCATTTTTTCGGCGGTGAAATCAGTACCTGCCAGTTCGGCAGTGCTAAGGAACTCATCGAGGGCGGCCTGCTCAGTGATAGAGCGCATCTTGACCCAGGAGGCATCTTCGGAGGCGTTGGTAATATAGGTTTCGCCGTTGATACCCTTACGCGCGATGGCGCCGTTGTGCGAGGCCTTTTTCTCCTTGGATGCTTTGCCTTTGCCGAAACGATCGTTCATCAGACTGTTGCCCAGCCCGACGGAGTTCTTGGACTTTGCGAGCACCATGGTGGATGAAGTATATGGTGCAGCTCTGAATGGAAAAAGTGGTGGAAGTCCAAGATTTGGAATATAACCCCGCCTGAATAATTCAAAAAAGATTTAGGCGGATAAGATAACGCTTAGTAATATCTCATCCCATACCCTGGTACTAGTCTTGTTTATTCGTCTAAAGTGATGTTTACACTAAAGATTTCATTTTCTAATTTTCAAATATTGATAATAAGGTCCAAGCCCTATATTTGAATATTTTTAATTATTTTTTTCTTATCGTAATTCTGTGGAAATTCTCATGTCCGTTAGGTCGCCACCATTTGAGGACCCGAGGGGTTCAGGCAGATAAGCCACACGTGACATGGTATCTATCCCACTTTTTTCGTTCGTCCAGGGAAAAAAATCCCAAAGTCCAACACCGCCAATATGCCGCCCCGCCAGTGGATGTACGTGTTACGAAGCTATGCGCGATTGAATATATTGTGCTAACCAACATCTAGCGACAAGAAAAATGCGAGCACATTTCAGCTCTTCCACCGTTCCCAACTGGATCCACTGATCCACGACCCCCAAGCGGATGATCGAGTCCTCCATCACGTCTCTGGCCCTACGCCGGTCCCTTCATCGGCCTCAACAGCATCTCAAAAGCCCTCCCGTAACCTCTCCGAACTAAAGTCCGAATTCACCGAAGATGCCATCCGTCGCAACGAGGGAGAGGCCGCCAACTATGGCGTCTACTTTGACGACTCCCGGTATGATTACATGCAGCATTTGCGCGAACTGGGCACTGGTGCCGGTGATGCACACTTCGTGGAGGCCAAGCCTGAAAAGGGCAAGGGCAAGGTCAAGGGCATGAGATTGGAGGATGCGTTGGCGCAGGCTTCCTTGAACGATGGGCCGAGTGTTGCGGGGTCCGAGTTTGGCGATATGCGCTCAACCGCGACATCCTACGTGCGAAAGCCGACATATCAGGATCAGCAAGCTGTTCCCGATGCCATTGCTGGATTCCAGCCCGATATGGACCCGCGTCTACGAGAGGCCCTGGAGGCCCTGGAAGATGAGGCATTCGTCGATGATGAGGATGATGATATTTTCGGCGAATTGACCAAGGGTGGTGATGAGGAGATGGAGAAAGGAGATTGGGAGGATACACTTTTTGACCACGACGAGGAGGATGATGGCTGGGAGTCAGATGCGACAGAAAAGGCGCCAGTGCAGGTGGACAGCACTGAAGATGTTGACCCCGCTGAGGACCTTGAGCCCGGCGAAATGCCTGAACATGACCGCCCCGCTCCAGACCTGAACCCACAAGACCAAGGATGGATGAACGAGTTCGCCAAGTTCAAGAAAGATGCTAAGTCTGGCAAGGCTGCTGCCCCCGCTCCTCCTACGATCGCTCCCTCTGAGCAGCAGACGACCGCATCCACTGCTTTCACGGTTGGTGGAACTCCCATCCGCCGCAAGAAGCGCAAGGGTGCTCTGACCAACCCCTCCGCTTACTCTATGACTTCGTCCGCATTGGCGCGTACTGAGGGACATCGCCTTCTGGACGACCGGTTCGACAAGGTTGAGGCCCTCTACTCCCTTGACGAGGAAGATGAGGAATATGACGACAGCATGTCCATGGTTAGCGGCATGACCGGTGCCACTGGCATGACTGGAATGTCTACTGCATCCTCTCAAGCGCCTAGTCTCATTAATGCCGACGGAGCTGGTGTCTCGCGCAGTGATTTCCACAATGTCATGGATGACTTCTTAGCCGGCTGGGATGACAACACTAGTGCCCAGGCCAAGCGAAGGGGAGCCAAGAACAAGCGCGGTCGCAACGGAAACGAGGCCATTGGAATTCGCATGCTGGATGAGGTTCGCTCTGGCCTTGGACCCGCTCGGTTTAAAGAGGCTGCCAAGGTCCCTGGACGGGCCTAAATGGATCCACGCTGAACTGCGATGATACGACTTTGAATGGAACTCCCTGTCATGAAAAAAAGGCGTTTGGTTTTTTGTTAAACTTCGATTTGAAGATATTTTCTATGCATATTTAGGCCTGATATACCTGGTAGATCAAAAGTTCTGTCTTGATGATATTGATATCTTTATTCCTGATTGAGTATACCTTTCAGGGCGTCCCACGAATTAATACGCAAGTCGTGAAAGTCAACGAGCTGGCTTTCTTGCGTTTCATCGTAAAGCACGGCAAGAATTCCCTCTTTCCGTGATGCTTGTATATCACGAATTGCATTGTCCCCGAAGTAAATGAGATCCTCCGAGTGAATTTCAAACTTGTCAAGCATCACGCCAAACAGCCCATCCACTTTCGAACAACCTGCCTCATTCGTAGTAACCAAAACATCAACGTAGGGCTCCAATCCTAATTCCCGGATCGTCCATTCCTGGGCATCAGTAGGACCCTCAGTCACCACGACGATCTTCTTACCCCGCTGCTTCAGAGCCTGGAGGAAAGAAAGGGCGCCCGCTTTGAGCGTTAAGCTAGAGCCCAGAGAGGACTTGTAGACACCCAATAGATGTGCTATGTAATGATCCTCTTGGCCAAGCTCATTGATTCCATGAGCTTGCAGTAGACGGGTAAATCTGTCGCGGCGGTAATCCGTGGAAGTACGCCCGTCGGTAAAGGCATCTGCTGTTGCGCTTTGCAGAATTTCGCTGTAGCTTGATTTGAGAGATTCGATGTTGACGTCGGTATGAGAGTGGATTACTTCGAAAACACTCTGTGATGCTTGCGCGGAGGCCTTGCGGAATTCGTGCAAGGTGTCATCGAGGTCGAAGCCAAACCACTTTTTTTGAGCCAGGGTTGATGCGATCGAGGTAGATTCAGACATGATAGACTCGTATGGTCTAATAGTAGACCTGCTGGGATGTATGATATGGATTTGATTGCAAAATTTACTACTGTGAGGCACGGGTGAAGATTCTCGAGGGTAGATCGTGACTAATATTTCGATGGTAATTCATTACGGTATATTTCAATGGCGTGGTGGCCGAATCTATAAGTACAAGCGGGGGAAAGAAACCACCCCTGATGAAATCTAATATACAAAAAATGATACCAGGATAAATTTACAAAGCTCCGCCAACCTTCTCGACAATCCACATTGCCAGTCGCACATTCCATCCGACTCGTCGCTCTGTACGCATCAGGTCTTCCCTGGAGACCGGCGTAGCGTCCTCCTGCAGCCACTTGGTTTCCTCGCCTAGTTTCTGCTTCAGCTCTTGGTCATTTGTAACAACCAATGCGCCAGCCTCAATATCGAGACTGTAGCTGCGCTTTGTGTAGTTGCTACTTCCAACAAAAGTCAGGCTAGGATTCTCTTCACCGGGCAAGGTAATCCAAAGACCCTTGGCATGGTAAGTCCAGCCACCCGGCGTGCCGACAGTTCCACGTCGCCATTCTTTGAGCTGGATGGAATTTGTGGCTTGGGCCGCAGCGACCCTGTCGAGGAATCGTGCCGAGAGATGCGTGTAGGCCGCCGGGAGCATACCTGAGATACCCGAGGACCCGTAGAAACCATTGGCCCAGGGAGATGCAGTCAAGACTGTACCCTGTGTAGAGGACGGAGCTTGAGGGGATGTAGAAGTGCCGGAGATCAGGAGGGAAGAAAGAACAGGGTGGATGTTAAAATATCCAGCAGTGAAGAGCCAGCGAGCTCCGGTGAATGCCGGTGATTGAGACAACAGGCGCAAGATACCACTGACAGCTGGGAACTCCGTAGAAGTGTCGGGCTTCAAGAGAGGAGTGAACTGGGCGACGGGGTATACAAAGGTTTGGCTTGACGTGGATGGAAGAACGGGCTTGTTGTCGTATGCCTGTATGAGCGGGTTCAAGACGGTGGACGAGTAGCTGATAAAATCCTGGGGGCTATCAAGAGGCGAAGGTGCCCCGTTGGCAGTGGGCCAATCCAGCAGATACCCTGCCTTATTATGGGGATCCGGTAGGACCTGGAAACTCAGACTGCAGACCGCATGGTGAATGCGCGCATAGTATTCGGTCAACTCCTTGGAGCTAAATACGTGGTAACGGTCGAGACGATTTGTGAAGTAGTCCGAGGAAAGATTCGCTCTAGGGTAATTCGTTAGTCCAAAGGAACCAACCATCTTAAGTGCCGAAGGCATACATACCCTGAAAGGATGATCTCATCGTCAATTCCATAAAGCTTCATGTGTTGCAAACCCCAACCCTCATTGATTCGACGGGGGATCCATTTCTTCCGTAATCCTGTGAGATTGGGGGTGTGGAACATGCGAATATCAACTCGCTCCGGGCCGTATTCCTCAACGAGAGAGCATAACAATGAAGCGCTGGACGGATTGGGGGTTTCTCGGGTGCCGCGCAAAGCATCAGTGAGGACCGATACTTTGAGGTCTGGGTTGTTGAGTAGGGCTTGTGATAAGGTCTCAATGAGCTCGTGCTCGGTCTTGCCGATATAAAGGGTCGAGAGATAAACACGACGGCGTGCGTTGAGGATTTTCGACTGCAGACGAAATAATTTTGTTAACAATGGCCGGATGGTGGGTGATCATCATGGCAATTTCTGCGGGGCATACCTTTAATGTCGAGTAGAAGTTAGCCGGCGAGTCTAAGATGGTGACCTGCGAGGCTGGGATCTCGAATCGAGGCGCAATGCGATCGAGCTCGACAGTGATACTGCCGAGAGGCGACGGAATTGCGGTAGGGGAAGCATTAGAGGTTGTATGAGCGGAAAACCTGCGATCGCAGACCTTGCGGCGTGCGACTGGACGTCGAATCGCGCACCGAATCGCCTGGCCTCCAATACGACCGAACATCTGTGTACTTTGCGAAAGTTCCAAAGTCCAAGGAGCTTCCAGAGAAACCACAGTTAAACCACAGTTAAAACGCTGGGACCCACCGCAATACCAAATACGGTCCCGGCAGAACTCCAGGGCGGTGAGAACAGTCGTGGGCATCCTCGCTTTCCTCAACGCCGGACACTCGCTGGACCGTCTGGACCACTTTCTCCCTCCATTGCACCCCTCACAATGTCGACCGTCACTCGTACCTTGCGCAACCTGCGCCGGGTTGGCCTGAAGGTTCGCTGCCCGCTATTTTCTTGCGCATGAACCTGCAGTACTAATAGATTGCTACAGGATTATTTCAACCAGATGATGGTATGATTGAACGCCGCGGGAGTCGAGACAAGAGCTGGATATCATGGATCCACTTACTAACCGGGATACTTGTCTGATTTTTACAGTACATCGGTATGGTGTTCCCCCGCAGTGTTCTGCTTGCTTGGAGTGGTTGACTAATTCGCGCTCTCTCATAGGTGATACCAAGGCCGGTACTCTGATCGGAACCGACCGTTTCGGCAACAAGTACTACGAGAACATGACCGAGGAGCTTCCCCGTAAGACAAATGCCCGATGAGAAGAAACGAGGAACTGTCGGCTGCGAGCGATTCACTAAATAATTTGTCCCCGCATAGTCCGCACACGATGGGTCGATTACAAGGAGCATGAGTACATGCCCTGCCAGGTCGAGCCCGGCTGGTAAGCACTACCCGATGAGAACGCATATGCGGCGTGTGCATAGCTGCAATCAGAGGCTAACATGGATCGCAGGCACGCCTGGATTTCCTACATGGTTGACGCTCCTCCGACTGCCGACAAGCTCCTGCAGCCTGGTCAGCGCACCTGGGAGATCCCCGAGCACCGTCCCAACCTGACTATGAGCCGTGCTGCCTTCAAGACCTATTCGACGTGAGTGTGAACGATGCTTTTGTGTTAAATTTTGTCGTGTATCGGCTAACTTTCAATTTACAGTACCCGCCCCAAGTACTCTGCCTGGGCCCCCGTTGCTGCTCCGCGGTAAATCAATGATTTATATGGGCCCGGAAAATGAATTTATCCTTAGTGACTTTGACTTGGCTCCATTTCTATTTCCGTTTTTACTCTTTTCTGGGATCCTTAGAGCCTTACCCTGGGTACCGCATCGAGGAATGTATATAAAGTTGTGCTTTTAGTGGATTTGCAAGAGAAAGTCTTCAAAAAACTTTGAATAGTATTGTTCCATTTCTGAAATCGCTGGCAACCATGTCTGCTTGGCCATGCTATTAGGCCCTAACTAATTGGTTGCTATTGGCATGGTATCTCAAATGTTGAAAAGTAAAAGGGAGAAAAACGAGAAACCAGCAGGAGGGGTAGGGGAGAATCAAATAGATACAAGAATATATAGGAGCAGCACGCATTTTTTCGGTTCCTTGACCAATTTAAAGAACATAGAGTCCAGATCCAATGTTCGACCAATGACGGATTGGTCGGCGATCTTCAAGCTCAATGCACCACCAGAGAACTTCCTTGAGTTTCTCGGTTTGCTCGCCGGCCTCGTAGGCTCGCGAGAGTGCGTACCATGCATCGGAGTTGTCCCAAGAACTGCCAAGTTTGGTCAGCGCAGATAGAAGGCCATATGCGCGGTCTCGGGCAGCAAGTCGATGTAAGTGCTTGGGGTCAACATCGTGGGCCGACATGGGAGCCTCGCTGGACTCTGAGCTTTGTGCGCTCTCGTCGACCTTCATCTCCTCGATCGACACGGCCCGGGCAGACTTTGGTTGGGAAAGCTCGGATAAGAGTGAAAGGCGCGAGGCTTCGAGATTGACGTCGGCATTTGTAGGTTCAAGGGGCAGTGTCTGGTCCCACACATCTAGAAGAAGATTTGCCAGGGAAATAGTCGCTGTCGGGTGATCCGGGGAGCGCAAGAGGGCGCCCTCGAACTGCTTGATAGCTTGGTGAGGCTTTGATTGAGCCTGGGCCAAAAGGCCTTGCTCAGCGTAGACATCAGCCCAAAGCTCCTCCGAGCTCTTGGCGTTACACCAACCACGTTTGCCGAGGGAACGGGCTGAGGATTCGTGAGTGGAGGCGATGACTTCAACTCGAGCGGTTTGCTTAGCAGCTTCCTCGCAGGCTTCGCGAGCATCATCGAACAAGGACGCTCGGCGGTACAGGCCGGCAATTATGAGCCAAATCTTGACAAGCAGGCCGAGGGCATGCTTATTGGACTGTGGGGTAGAGAACTTGGTGACGGCATTTGTCGGAGAGTCGAATTGGTGAGAGCCCGGCAAACGAATATCTTGCACAGGGGGCTGGCGCTCATGGCCAGCTGGAGCTGGTTGTTGTTTATGATGAATGTTATGCGCTATAGGCTGCAGTGGCTGCTTGCCTCCACTCGGGGAGGGTGCTTGTGAAACAGGCGACACATTGCCAGATACCGCAATGCCAACCATCTCGGGGGTTTCTACTCCATTTGGCAGCGGCGGTTCTTGATCACGAGGCCTCTCGTGTTTGCTGTGGAAACTACCACTGCGTTTTCTTAGCTTCTTAGAGTCAGAGCGTGAAAGGGCTGATTGATGCTCTTGTTGACTGTTCGTGTCTTCGTCAGTGACGTGGATAGCAGGTGCCCCAGTGGGAGTGCTATGCCCATTGGGAATCGGCGGCACTGCAGGTGCGTCGCTCATTTGATCACCTCGGCGGTCCGGCAGCTGAGATGATCTGTTTCGACTGAAGATGCTGCTCCGAAAGCTCTTAGTTGTACCTGCCGAGCTCTTGGGGGGTACCAAATGCTCCGACTTCGACTTCATCTCCCCGTTATCAAGGTTCAGGTCACTAAACAGTGTGCTGAACAAGCTCAGTAGTTGCTCGGTTTGGTTGACAGCAGCCTCAGGGCCCTCAATGAGCTCGACGAAAGCGAGCTGCGAGATTCGTGTTTGAATTATACGTTCCTTCTCTCGTCCAGACAATCGACTGAGAACTGAGCGCTTAGGGCCAGTAAAACCGTGGTCCTTGCAGTGGGTTTGTCTCGAGGAGCGCCGATCACGGCTGCTCTTGGGGAAAATATCCGATGGGAATTGTTCAAAGGCAGCTTCGCAGGAACGCTCGGCGATTTCAAATTCCTGCTTGGCACTAAGCAAGAGAGCAAGCAAATGCCAAAGAGGCACAAGATCGCGTTCGTGCGACAGATCATCGGAGCTCGGTGGGCCATGAGAACTCAAGGCCGATTTGACATAGCTGATTGCAGCATCCAGGTCTCGATTTTCCGCAAGGACTAGTGATAATGTGTAGAGAGAGGCATAGCTCAACTGATTGCCCAACTCTGGAGACACACTCTTCTCCAGATAATCAATTGCTTCACCACGAATTAGATCTCGAGATTCATTCTGTGGAGTATAGTTGGCCCAGTTCGCGAGTCCAATTCCAACTGCTCTATGGGCCAAAGCAAGCACAGATTGTGATATATCGGAGGAGTTAGCGGGGCTTGCGTTTCCAGGTACCAGCGCGCTGTTATTGGCCGTGCCGTTTTCCAGGGTCGTTTCTTGTTTGTCGAGGAATTCTTTGATCAACTCCGTCAAATCTTTGGCCTTTTCTGCCTCCTCCAAGGAACCCAAGCAGCTTAACAATGAGACGCCTTCGGAGAGAGTTTGCAGAAGTACTTCATCTTTCTCCAGTTCACCCGACTCAGCCGCCTTGGCAGCTCTTTCCTTGGCAGCAGTGACGATCTCAATATAAGATTCCAATGACTTGATGGCGAGATCAAAGTCAGCCAATGCCGAATGAACATGAAACAAGCGTCGCAAAATCAAATGCGAGTGATATGTTTTCGTTGCTGCGCGGTAGAGGATCTGGATAGAGTTTGTCAGTAGTCGCCGAGGAATGTCAATCATTGCTCCTTACATCCAAAACATTCCGGCCCACGGCATTCTGGCCCCCTTCGCCGAGGTCCTGATCCTGCCAGTGCGGTCCACAGAGCACCTCCCAGTTGCTAATAACCTGTTCCACCCACTCCTCAACCTGGGAATTGTTGGATTGGGCGGTAGGAAATTTGACTTCCCGGAGAAGGTTGTTTTCACAGATCGATTCGATGCGACGAAGTTCGCTTGCAAGCTGCGGGCGCTCGGGAACACCATCGACGGGCGGGGTATAGATCAGGTTATTTTGAAGAACAAGTGTGAGGAGTCCGTAGTAGGATTTCCAAATTGCTGGGCGTGAGACCGTTCCTGAATTGTCGGCAAATGCAGCCTTGTTGGGCGCAGCTCCCTGCTTCACTGCAGGTAGGGCAGCCCACAGCCTAAAGAGCCGAAGCGCAATCTCCACATGTCTGGGATCCGAGTATGGGCATGTGTTTGTGGCTGTTTCGGTGGCAATCAAGGCGCCTCTTCCTAGCATAGTTTCGGACCAGCTGAGGAATTGTTGGTTGGAGGTCGAGGCAAGCTGGCCCTTCTCGAGCCATACTGCCAGAGAGGCAAAGGTCTCCAAGATCTCATCGATTTCGGCCACTGCCGATTGCGCAGAACCTAGAATTATATTAGCCAGTCGAAATGGGCCGTAAGCAATGAATCCATGCCGTACCCTTCAGATAGCATCCTTTGACCAGGCAGACCTCGGTCCACGGTGAGAGACCCTGGCCATCGCTTGTCAAAGTATCGATTGTCGCGTTGAAGTCCCTTGGAAGGCGAGCAGCTGCCAGACTTGGCTCATTGAGCGTCCAATGGATCCAACCCAGGCAGACTTGCGCCTGCAGTAGCTCTTGAAGATTCCCGTCGTTGTTTTCGATAGTCGTCAACAGGGCCGGGATCAGCTCGGGAAGATGTGGTGTCGACGTAGACTCGGTTGACGTCCGCTGCTGAAGAAATGCGACCACTCGAGTCTCTGCTGTTGCGGTTTGGATTACACCTTTGGGGGAAATCGTTGTCAGCTTTTCCCCGCTAGTGGGCGTACACTAGTCAATCGTAGACGTACAGGTTCGTTGCGGAGCGTGCTTGGTGACCTTTCGAATCAATTCGGGCACTTCTTCCCATCTACCTTGGGCCCGCGCTTGATCCAAGGACGCGATGTAGCGTTGCCCCTTCTCGGCATTACCTCCCTAGACGCACGTGTTAGTATAGCTCGATCAGAATCGACATTTAATTTAATCAGAAGGAACGAGGTCCACGGTAGACATCACAACTTACCGCCATGGTTCAGGTTCAGGAGGACTTGCTAAGAATGCGCGGAGGAGAGATGTAGAAGGTAGAAAGGCCATGCGCGGAGCAAGCAGTGCGGCATCGTCAGGCCCCGAGAATGAGTGATCGCCCAGGGGTGGCACAGTACGTACTACCGTACGGGTGCCACAGCCCTGTGGGGTGGCTTCATGTATTCCCGTGACGGTAATTTACCGAGGCTTCATGTGGCCCAAGCTTTCTCTTTTTTCTGCCAAGCCTCGATGTCCCATCTTCAAAAAAAAAAAGTTACCGATAAGCACTTCACTTGCGACACTTGCACTTCACCTTCCTATACAGTCACTGTCGCTTGTGATCTCACAGGTACCCAGTGCAATGACATCCACTACTTTGCGTGCCATTACGCACCGCCTGACCACCACTCCGGTCGACCAATTGCCCTCTATAGCCTCGTTTCTTGCGACTTCTCTGGGTGATTGCGCAGAGCTGCTGTCTGCCCCCCAAAACCAAAAGCCTGGCAAATCCGATTCCGACAATGCCGTCCAGATTCACAAATTGAAGACCCGCTTGGCAAGTCTGCTGCAGGATCGCACCGTCGAGGGCCGATGGACCGCGGTGGTCTTGGTGAAAGCAACCGTTGAAGCGGGACAATGGGAAATCCTGCGAGGATATGAGCCCATTGTTCGTGGCTTGATTGGCATTCTGGCGGTATGCAATAACATAATCGATATGCGATCTAGACTACTGCTGGTTCAATTGACTAATTTCTACCTTTTTCTTTTCTTTTTAGAAACCAGATCCTATCTCCACGAGAAAGATGTGCATCATTACATTGACTCGTATCTTCCACCTCACCTATCAGTACCCGACTCTTGTTCGAGAGATTACAACCCCCCACCTGCCAGCGTTTGTTACTGCTGCCTTGAACCTCGTCTCAACCCTTGTCAAGCTGCCATCTGGATCAAGCCGGAAACCCAAGCCCAACACACCCTTTTTGGAAATTGTTCTCCATGCGATCTTGGAATTGGTTCCTCGTCACCCGACTATTTTCCGTCCCTTCGGTACCCAGCTTCGCACCCTCCTCACGGATATACTTGGCGCCTCTTCGCCTGCGTATTACCCAGAGCCAGTGGTTGACGTTGCAGAGCAGCTGTTTGCTTCGCTCTATAAATGCGCGCCCAAGGATAAATCAAGCTCTGGCTGGAGCAATGACTGCCGCTCCACAATCGTGTCGATCCACAACGCGGTGGATCACGTTTTCCGCGCCGTGGTGGAACAATGGGAGTCTGTAGACGGGTCCTTGGTTCCAACAAAACAAAACTATAGCAAAGAGGCTGGCAACGATCGTCCTGATGCTCTTGGATTGCCGAGTTGGAAGGGCATTCACACTGGAACTGACAGGATTATCACGCTTCTGAGAATTCTCTCTGGATTTATCTCCATGCCATCCACATCTAGTGTGGCTCTCCCCCTGGGCTCAATTCTCGATTTGACATCGCGACTAACTTCGGTGATTGTTCCGGCAAACGGTCAATCCTCCAATGGCGCGCAGGCTAACCCCGAGATTAGCCGGGAGGAGCGAGAACAACTCTGGGCCGAGCTGCCTCGCATCCACATTGGTGCCATGGAGCTGCTTTCCCAGGTTGTCAACGTTCTCGAGACTAGCTCTACTTCTATCACGCAGTCTATGTTGGAGCAAGCCAATTGGGTCTTCCGACACGAAAGGTTTAGCAAGGATGTTCGCTCAACTACTTACGACTTGCTCCAGTCCTTGGTGTCTGTGAACGGGCCTGCCATGCCGAAGCAGAGCGTATCTTCCATTGCTAATGTTCTGCGCTCCTGCTGCCATGACCTTCTCCCCACGTCTGGAGAATCTGGCTCGCAGGTCAAGTCCCAATCTGATTCCAAATCGAAGTCGAAGGCTGGCCCAGGAACAACAAATGCCGACTCTTTCCTGAACCCCAACCTTATTACCCTTCAAGTTTCTCCTGGTTCCAGCTTGTCGAAGATCGAAAAGACTGCCTCTAATCTGCTCCAGGCCGTCCTTGCGTCCGTCCCGTCCGAGCTTCTTGCGGCGTCTCTTCGGGCTGAGATTGACCGTACAATTATCTTGACTGCGGATAAGGACGCGATGCTTGCCAGCGTCCTCAACCCAATTCCCGCGGCCAAGGGTCGCGGGGCTGGCGCTAGCCTCATGCCTTTCTTGGTTCGCAGCTATTCCGATCAAATGGAGGTCGAGGCTCTGGTGCGCCCCAGAATGCCAGTCCTGATGACTGCGCCGGAACTTGATGCATACACTGAGAATGAAGAAGACGAGGAAGCCGAAGAGATGGACACTGAAACTTTCGATGCCACGCCTTCAACTTCCGAGTTCTTGAAGGCTCCCCACGTTGAGGCTCCCAAACCTGAGCCGGCACCAGCAGTCCCATCAGTGCACAAACGCACATATGCCGAGGAGTCTACTCTCCAATCGACTGGATTCGCTGTGGAGACTGAGAAGCAACCAGTGCAGGCTAAAAAGGCGCGATTTGAGACAACTGTCTCGGCGGTCACCGAATCGCCTTCTGGACAGACGCAGCCCGTTACCGTTACCCAGGTGTCTACTTCTTCGCATGAACAGCCTCAGTTCAAGACCCAGGTCTCAACCATCTCGACAACCTCACAGTCTGCTGCGGATCCGGCTGATGATGAGAGTGATGGTGAGCTACCCACCTTGAACATGGACTCCGATACAGATGAAGATGAAGACGACGATGTCGCCATGGAAGGCTAAGTAATTTGTAAACCTTGGAATGTATATATATTTCTGCGAAAATATTTTGGACGATGTACCTATTTATGATGTTTCCAACCTTGAACATGTTTCATAGTAGTTTAGACCTGGAGTCTGGTCAAACCCTGAATAGACCGAAATGCCCGAAAATATATTGTCTAGTACCTTCAAAGTTTATACCACTCGAATTCCACTGCCCCAATATGTACCATCGCTCCAGTAACGAAACCACACCCCTTCCCAGCACCACCAGCCCGAACCTTTGGCAAGTCCCAATCCACGAAGTGGACTGAGCGGAATGGGCTCTATTAGCCACAATCCACCCCTGGCAAAGTCGTCCGCTATGCGGGCTCCTGAAAACAGCAACCAGGATAGAACAAAAATTGCATTCCCGGCCCTCCGAAGATTTTTCGGGGTGTAGGAAGCGGAAGCTTTGGGAAAACCACCGCCTTAAAAATATATTCACCAATGACTCCGACGCTTTGCATAAAAAAGAACAGGAATGGCCCGGAGAAGGGTCGGGTAGCAGTGAACTGGGTATAGCTGCCACAGGCATGTATGAACCCACTAAGTGAGAACGAAACAATGATATGAACGATGCGTCTTAGCTGCACATTCTGTGCCAATTTGGCTGGAAGAAGAGACAAAATCCACCCAGCGGTCATTGTGAAACCGTGGCGGAAGAGCTGGTGCCACCAACGTCCCCAGCAGCCAGCGAGTCCGTGGTCTAGAAGAGGTTCAAGAAAAGGCCCAAAGGAGTCTGCATATAGCCAAGATGCATCAAGGGGAGCCGCCGCCAGTTTTCTGAATGCATTGGGGAAAGCCAGAGACAGCCCAAGGAAAACAATGGGGCTCAATGAGGTTACGAAGTTCAAGGCAACATAAACGCCCATAGCGCTGATGAAAACATGGTAGAAACGAATGAGAATAGGAAATGGCTGGAAATAGGAGAGTGGAAACGGTGGCGAATCTGTAATGGCCGATCCTCGAAAGTAGGGGTCTCGCATCATGACTGATTTCAAACAGTCCAGAAGGAGGTAAGATATCAGAAATGTACGGAACGCATGCCTGAGACGATGGTTCGCGCTGGGATATGTGGAATCGTCTTTTGCCTGGAACTTAAACTTATTGGAGCCGAATCCAGCATGTAGTTGGGAATGCACGGACTGAGGAAGTGGTCCAAGATGAGGAGCTCGCCAGTTCCACTCGGGTCCTCGCAAGCTGAAGAGCAAACCTGCGCACCACCCAAGACGATGGGATAGTTTACGAGGATAGGGCTGCCATTGGAATATCTCCCTTTTCCCGTCTTTGCCATTGGGCTTGGACTGGACATGTCCAGATGTATTCAAAGTCGCCACTTTTGTTGATTCACTCTCGGCAATCGTCGTTCGTTCAATGCGTTGAAAATCTTTTTCGATGTCGGTGAATACTAAAATTCCGGCACTCCATATGAGTGACCATGCGGCGATAAGTCCAATCATGTAGCCATTGCCACCCAAGTGAGCGCGGTGGCTTTGAAAAATCTGAAGGGCAAAACCCAGGGTTAGGGCAAAGATGGCGGATCGAATATATCTGCCGCCCCGGTGGCGGGGTACAATCAGACCAAGCAATGGTAGAAGGTTGAAGATCACAGCTTGGTAGAGGAAAACCGGCTTGAAAATTCCCTGTTGCAATAGTGCCTCGAGTTCCTCTCCATGCTGTCGGACAAGATCCCTGTAGGAACCATGACGTGGATCAGCCATACGGATAGGGCGCCACTAGCAGGGCAGCTTGACCCCCTTGGGAAGCGCTAAGCAGATAAGCTTGAATGTGGACTCATTCGTCGATAGAAAAGAATGTTAAAGCCGTGACTTGATTCTATGATTGAAAGTGAGGCCAACACTGAAGATCGAATGCAGAGAAATGTTCAAGTTCCTGAGTAAGAAGTTGCTTTATTGCCATCGAGGCTGGGGAGTGTGAATCACATGACCACGTGGTTCGCGACACACGAGGCATCCTGATTGGGACTAGCGGGTCCCGTCACCTCCACATATTCACGTCCATATCTCGCATGGAATCTCCTGATCGTTCCCCTCAATGTTCATTCTCTGGAATTATTCAATTGCCCGGATTGATCTTTAGTTATCAATTTTTACTCTTCACCTTCACTTGAGCTTCGGCTTGACTCTTGAGATCATTATCGGACAAGATTTCTCACCGCGTGGGGTAAAATACGTGGATCATGCCCCGGCGAACTAGCAAACGCAATGCCGATGCGGCTGGATTGACCGTGGCTGGGCTTGAAGAAGGCTCAAATCGCGTGTCTAAAACTAGCCGGAACAATTCACCCTCAAAACCATCTGATTCTAGCACAGACCAGAAGGTTGATCCGCCCGCGGACTATATCGACCTGACCGCGGACTATATCCCCCTGACACAGGTTGCCGGTGCCGACGAAGAGGATGCTGCCGCCGAAGAAATCGTGCAAGGCAGCCAAGATGATACAGCTACATCCAACTTTGAGATTTATGGTATGTCAGGGCCCAACTACCCCCTATTATTCCGCATTGGAATCACTGGAACAGAACTAAAGTATCCGGATAGGTATTTGTCCCACTTCAATTGTGGGTGTGCGCTTCTACCGAGGACATGCTACTAAGGGTGAGCATGTTGTCTTGAATCGAGAACCTGCAAACCCCTATGACCGCAATGCCATCCGTGTCGATAATGTCATGGGTGCTCAGATCGGCCATATCGGACGAGCGGTGGCTGAAAAGCTTGCAAAGTATATGGTAAGCTGAACGCAACAATGACAGACAACAGAAATCAATTTATTTATTCACAAGGATATAGGACCCCAAGAAGATTGTTGTGGAGGCCGTGCTTACCGGTACCATCGGCGCTTACACCTGTCCGATGAATTTGAAGATCTACGGCCCCCGTGACCCGACCGTGGCACCGGACTTGAAAAGACAATTGAATCTGGATAATCTGATACCTCGCGGAACTGACCTCGCAGAGCGCGAAAAGAAGAAACGAGAGAAGCAACAAGAAAAAGAACGGAAAGAGGAAGCGAAGAAAGCTCGTGCCATGGCTCTCAGTAAAGCTGCACAAGGCTGGCAGGCCAACGAAGACTCGCAATTTGCCAATCTATCAACTCCGAGAGGACTCGGTGAAGGCGAAGAAAGCCTCGAGGAACTGTTCAGCCAGAGCAAGTTCTTCAATCCAAGAGAGATCGGCCAGGTTGTGGAAACATTTGGCCAGAAGGAACTTGACCTGGCTAAGATGCCAATGGTAGAATCACCAGAAGCGCTCTATACGACATTGCTTCCATATCAACGACAAGGATTGGCATGGATGGTCAACCAAGAATCGCCTACCTTGCCAGCTCCTGGATCGGATGCTATTGTACAGCTATGGAAGCGTGATGCGAACAACTTCACCAACATCGCGACCAACTTTTCGACCACCACGGCGCCACCGCTGGCCAGTGGTGGTATTCTAGCCGATGACATGGGTCTCGGCAAGACAATCCAGATTATCTCGCTTATTCTAGCCAACCCGAAACCACTAAACCCCAAGTCTAGTAAGACAACTCTGATCATAGCTCCTGTCGGTGTGATGAGCAACTGGAGGAACCAGATTCACGACCACACCCGAAGTGAGAATGCGCCAAGTGTTTTGATTTATCATGGTACTGGCAAAAAGGAAGCTGGGAACCTGGCGAACTACGATGTTGTGATCACAAGCTACGGTGCACTCTCCGTGGAATTCAAAGCGGATGCCAAAAAGCCACCTGCTAAAGGTATCTTTTCTCTTCACTGGCGCCGCGTGGTTCTCGACGAAGGCCACACGATCCGCAACCCACGAAGCAAGGCATCGCTTGCAGCATGCGGCCTGCGTGTGGACTCTCGTTGGACTTTGACTGGAACACCGATCATCAACACTCTGAAGGATCTTTACTCGCAGATCCGCTTTTTGAAGCTATCTGGTGGACTGGACGATTTCAGCGTGTTCAACAGTGTTTTGATCCGCCCCCTAATGAGCGGCATGCCCGAGGCACGTCTGCTTCTCGAGGCCCTGATGGCGACGGTCTGTCTTCGTCGTACCAAGACCATGAAGTTTGTGGATATTCGCCTCCCGGAGATGACATCTCGGATCCTTCGAGTCAAATTCCATTCCCACGAGCAGGAAAAATATGGCGCTTTACAAGAAGAAGCCAAGGGCGCACTGGTGGAATTCAAGGACAAGCAAGGCACCTATTCGCACCTTCTGGAGGTGCTTCTACGTCTTCGCCAGGTTTGTAATCACTGGACCCTCTGCAAAGATCGAATCGATGCCCTTATGAACACCCTAGAGGAAAATAAGGTCGTGCCTCTTACAGATGAGAACATTGCGGCCTTACGCGATATGCTTCAGCTTCAAATCGAAAGCCAAGAAGTGTGCGCCATCTGCTTGGACAACCTGGAGGAGCCCGTTATAACTGCATGTGCTCACTCGTTCTGCCGTGGCTGCATTGAACAAGTCATCGAGCGCCAGCACAAGTGTCCACTGTGCCGAGCCGACCTCAAAGACAATACAATCTTGGTATCTCCCGCCGTTGAGCTAGGCGAAGATTCCTCAAACGCCGTTGCAGATCCCAATCAACCAAGCAGTAAGATTGAAGCGCTTATCAAAGTGTTGACTGCAAAGGGACAGGCACCGGGTACGAAAACGGTGGTCTTCAGCCAATGGACTTCTTTCCTCAATCTCATCGAACCTCAACTGGAGCAGCGTGGAATCAGATTCGTCCGCATCGATGGCAGCATGCCTTCCATCAAGCGAGACAACTCCATTAATGTGTTCTCCAACGATCCCTCATGTGTCGTTCTTCTCGCAAGTCTCAATGTGTGCAGTGTCGGTCTCAACCTCGTTGCTGCGAATCAAGCCATTCTATGCGACAGCTGGTGGGCCCCGGCAATCGAAGACCAGGCAGTTGACCGAGTCTACCGCCTTGGACAAAAGCGAGAGACTACGGTGTGGCGACTGGTGATGGAGGACAGTGTCGAAGAACGTGTGATACAGGTACAGGAGCGTAAGCGTGCCTTGATGTCGGCCGCTTTCCGCGAAACTGGCAAGAAGAAGGCCGAGGATAGAGCTACACGTGTGGCTGACCTGGAGAACTTGCTGGTATGATCATATTGAGAGGGCGTTCGAGGGGCTCTATCGGCGGTGACTAGGGGCTTCTGGTGGCAATTATGTCGGCGTGGAGTGTTTCTGATACCCAATCTTCTGCATTTCGATTCTTAGGTTAGGGTAGGGTAGGGCGATTTCGGGATTTTCTTTCTGTGTATTCTTAGACTCACAAGTCACGAAAATAATCTAAAGAATTTTGCTTTGAATGGGTGTTATACTGCCGGTCTGCAATATACTAGCATGCTCTTGATTCTAAGGTTGGAGATAAACTTGAAACCAAGGAAATTTGGCCTCGAGCATCTATCCTGCCCCCAAGTTGCATGGATGGGCTACAGGTCTTAGGCCCAGTGCATCAAAAAAGAGATAACACCCTTTACGGAGTACGGTCAGTCTTCTAATCATAATACGAGACGATTATCAACGGAATCCACTATGGACGGTCCAAATAGGGGGGCGAAGGGCAAACTGGCCGAAACGGGGCAACCTCGCCCAGAAACTCAAAACACTTGCGTATCACTCAACAAAAAAGAGATTCGGAAATCGAGAAATCGACTGATTCCATTTCGCCTTCCTATCTTCTCTTGACAGTATATACTTATGAAAATAGGAAGGCTTCTCCGTTAGGGTTCAGTGGCGTTCATACTCTTTTTTGGCCTGCCTTTCTCGAAAGCCTAGAAACAAGGCCGGCCACACGGACCGTTGGCATGATCCTACCCGGCACGGTCCGCCTGTTTATAAAGAGACGACTAAAGAGACTATGTACAAGGGAGGGGGGACGAAACGAGGCAAAGGAAGATGAGCCCATAGGATCACCGAATGGGCCAGCCCGGTCCAGAAACCAGGCCACCAGGACGGACCGGCTCCCTTCCCGGAGCAGGGGGTATTTATTAAAAGAGTTGGACGAGAAGAAGGGTTCGGGAAGATCTCACACTCTAAGATGAACTTAGAATATACTCGGACTCCAACGAGCCAACGACAACTCACTCAGTCGATTCCGACCGGGATGGCCGGTAAAGTTTACGTTTACTCACTCCCCACGCCGAGAGGCTGGGCAAACATGGATCAGGTAAGGACCATCTGACTCAGTGACTAACGACCCCTGAAAGGTTTAGTGAAGGAGGCGAGGCGGTAGGGGGCAAAGGGGTGGGGATTGGCCAATTAATCGATGACGCCGAGTCAAACATGCGCCGAGACGAATCAGATTTGTGGCGTGACGCGCCACCAAGAGGATCTGAAGAGGCGTGCGAATTTAACTCCCGCGAGGCGTTGTACCCCGATTTTTTCCAGCCGCACTGGGGATGGGGTTCAGCGGATAAGTGTCTGGCCGGATCTCCGCACATCAAGGTTGTAGGTACGAGGTAAAGTAGTTATAAACTACAGATACATTATGGTGGGTTGGTCCACCTTGCACGTGTGGACCGTCTGATGTGATGTGCATCAGGAACGTCATGCACGAGATGGGGGAAGACGGCACGATTGTGCTACATCGGCCGGTGTCCGCATTTTTCAAGCGTCCCCTTGACGACATCGGGGGGGAAGAGGGGCGGAATTTCTAGGCGGAAGGAGGAAATCCGGATGGTGTCTCACGATCGGTTTGGCCGTGGCTTGTCGCTCAGTGGAGTGCATTGGGCATCACAACAAACGTCTGAGCATCTCGCTTGGGTCGGGGCAACGGCAACCGTGTCATTTGCGTTCTTTGGGATGTGCATCACCTGCCGTCGGAAAGAAATGACCATTGAGATTCAGTCATGTTAACATGGCGTCATATATTCCGAGCCGTATCAAGTAGCCGACCAAAAAGCCTCACTTCCGTTGTCCGTTGCCCCCTGTCAGACGGGCCGTGGCATACGGCGGAAAGGGTAACCTTCAGCGGTGGGAAAGTGATGCCTATCGAAGGACTTGGGACTTGGGGGGCGGGCGCACCGGAGTGGACTCAACAGGCTAATGATGGCAAGTTGTGGTGGTACTCCGTAATAAAGTGGAGGCCACCTTCCTAAAGGATGATGGCCTCACATAATGGTGTTGCACATCAGGGTGGAATGGCCCGAGGTGATTGAGGGATTTTAGGGGGCGACGTAAGAATGGATGGTTCCCCACACTCAAAAAAGTGGGTTGGCTGGACGGTCCGTTGGCTGGAAATGCGGGGAGGCAAAATCGGGGAAATCTGGGGGAGGTTGACCCACAGTAACACGAGAATTCGAGAGAGGGACAGAGAGAAGGAGTGAAAAGAAAAGAGAAAAAAAGGAAGTAAAAAGAGAGAGAGGGAGGGAGGAGAAAAAACAAGCAAAAGAGGCACAAAGTGTATGCAAAACATTGTCAGCCATCAGCCCCAATCAGTCAGAGATAAGACTGACTTTGTAAAAGGCTGGGCTTATCTGGGCAGATACCCTAGGATACCCTAGGAAACCCTTATTAGGAGGGTACCAAGATAACACTAACCCTAAAGTACTCAGATACTCAGATAACCAATTAACTACAACCGGCTCCCTTCCCGGTGAAACCAACCGTCTTATTGGATCTCCCTTGACTTTCCCCCATTTTGGCCATCCTGCACATTGAAACCATGGACTGACCCCCCCCACAGTCCTTGACTGTCCCTAACTAGGACTAGTCCCCTTATGCAAGGCAAGTTTATGGAACCTGAGAATCATTGAAATATGTTACTCCAACCCTCCCCCAATCCTCTTTTTTTTCTCGTTCAGACCTTCTCTTCAATCTATCCTATTCAATCCTAGTGCTTTTTGTCTTTTTTTTCCTCTCTTCGCTCTTCTTTTCTCCTCTATAAATCATATGCCTTGGCAATCATGTTAGACGAAAAGAAAAATATCGATGAGCCTCTAGAGCCGGTTCCCTCCCAATTCGGCGAGGTCCAAGAAGGCGCTCACGATGCTGTCTTCGGTGAAATCACTGGCGAAGGTCCCAACTACCGAAATGTAAGTCATGGCTGATTTTTCTCCTATTTATTTCGCCTTTTTTATCATCAGTGGCTAACGCTATTTCTGAATCGCAATAGGTCGGATGGTTGGGTACCGCGGTCCTCATGATGAAAACCCAAATTGGACTGGGTGTTCTCTCTATCCCCGTCGCCTTCAACTCCTTAGGAGTCATACCCGGTGTGATTGTTCTCTGTCTTATTGCCGGAATCACAACATGGTCCGATTTCATTATCGGTACCTTCAAACTACGACACCGTGAAGTCTACGGTATTGACGATGTGGGAGAGTTGCTATTTGGCAAGGCCGGGCGAATTGTTCTGGGAACTGCCTTTTGTCTCTGTAAGTGTGGGATTCGATGCCTATTTCGGTCGGGAAAAGTTTCCTAATTTTGGTTATTTGATACAGGGTGGATCTTCGTCGCTGGTTCGGGAATGCTGGGCATCTCCATCAGTCTCAACGCCATCTCCTCCCACGCCGTCTGTACCGCCGTCTATGTGGTCATCGCCTTTATCGTGTGTTTTATCCTGGGAAGCATTCAGACTCTCGGGCGCATCTCGTGGATCGCCTGGCTAGGTCTGATTTGTATTCTCACGTCGAGTAAGCTCTTCCCTTATCCTTCTCCCTGCCGATTTCAATATATCAAACATGATATCTAACATGATATCTCTCCAGTTATGATCGTTACTGTCGCCGTGGGCCTTCAAGATCGCCCAGCTGCCGCGCCTAAAGATGCCGTTTGGGTTCCCGACTACAAGATTGTCGCCAGCCCTTCCTTCACTGATGCCATCACCGCCGTATCAACCATCGTCTTCGCTTATGCCGGCACCCCGGCTTTCTTCTCCCTTGCATCGGAGATGCGCGAGCCTCAGCATTTCAACAAAGCCTTGATTCTCTGTCAATCCGTCGTGACTGTCTTCTACCTTGCTATTGGAATCGTTATCTACTATTACTGCGGATCATACGTCTCCTCTCCCGCCCTTGGCTCTGCCGGTCCCCTGGTGAAGAAGGTTAGCTATGGATTTGCTCTTCCTGGTCTGCTGGCCAGTACCCTACTTTTCATCCACGTGAGTCTACCTTCCTCTTTGACCCCCTTACCTTTCGCCATAAACTAATCATCTCCCAGATCACGGGTAAATACATCTTCGTCCGTATCCTCCAAGGTTCCCGCCACCTCACATCCAACACCCTAACCCACTGGGTCGTCTGGCTCTCGTGTACTTTCGGCGTCGGCCTGATCGCCTACATCATTGCGAGTGCCATCCCTGTCTTCAGCGACCTTGTCTCCCTTGTTGGCGCCTTGCTTGGAACTCCCATGTGCTTCCAGCCAATGGCCGGCATGTGGCTGTATGACAACTGGAGCAAGGGCAATGCTCACAGATCAGCCCGGTGGTATGCCATGGTCGCCTGGTGCGCCTTTGTCATCGTCGCCGGAACCTTCTTGATGATTGGAGGTACCTACGGATCGGTTGTTAGTATTATTAAGAGCTACAATGAGACCGGTGGCTCGGCCGCCTGGTCTTGTGCCGATAACTCTAGTAGCTAGATGCTATATTAGATATGAATGTACGATTTATTACTTTTTCAAGAACTGTTCGATGAGAAGGAACGCGTAGTACTAGCGAATATGATAGTAACAAAGCTAGAGAATAGAAGAAGACGAAGCAAGGCTAAGGTTATCTCAACATGCATGTAGTCGCCTAGCTATGTGCCTAACTACATGACTTCGATCCGGGCATCTTTCCCATTATTACCTGGATCGTTAATTTGCCTGAGAATTCTATGATTATAGAGGCTACTCTTTGGTTTAAATGAAGGACTTCACCGCTGAGCCGTAACGGTATTAGAAAGGTACCTGGGCACTATCATGTAACAAATCGAGTCATTGTCGTAGCTCAAATAAATACATGAATTAAGATAGAGTAAACTGGAATAGCTAGAGCCAAAACCAGTCAGGTTAAGCTTAGCTTCCAATTTCCTAACATTAGCATTGCGTGCTCCCATGGAAACCGAAATTTCTGCGTCTCCTTGTGTCCCTCATTCGCAATTACACTCCTTTGTCGCTTCCTTTCGTCTTGTACAGACAGATCCTGCTGTCTCCAGACCATTTCAATGACTTCCATGGCAGGCGCGACATTCTAAAATAATCAGTCATTTTCTTTCGGGAACGGGTATAATTCTGGAGATACATACTCCAAAGCGATGAATGCCTTCTACCTCATCAAAAAATTGCATTACTGTGATCCTTTCCTCTTCTCCGGAAGCACAGCATCCTGCTAAGAAGAGGGGCCATAGTGGCAATACAGCGGTCCGCATCATGTTTGCCTTTTTCTCTAGCATCAGATTCAGAATTAACTTGACATAGTGAGTCTTCTCTTGTGTGCCGGTTGGCTGTTGACGTAGATTGTTTGTCGAGGCCGATTTTGAAGAAGAGATTTCTTGGAGAAGAAGGAGAGCTCCCAATCTATTTGCTTCGGCGATTGCAGCGCACTCTGTGTTTGGATCATCGCACTGTGATGGTAGGATTTGATCAAGTCCTTCGAGGCTTTTTCTTAGTCTCGACGCTGCTGTGTTGTGGGTACATTTTTGGTTGTCGGCCTGGTTCCATGCTAGTTCAGCAACTTGATTGATCAAGAGGAGAAGTGAATGACTGAATCCCATGTATGGGTCAATCGTGTCGGAGTTTTCAAGTAAGCTGTCTGGAAGAAGCGGTGATTGACATGGTAAGTCGTTGATTCGAAAGGACGTCCGCGCAAGAACAAGGTGAAAAGCAAAATAGCGATCGAAGAAGCTCGCCAGATCTTGGCTGTGAGGTGAGCGGCCAGGACGCCTTTGTCGTGTTCTGCTCAGATCCTGGAACCCGTTTAAATGTGTGACCCATGATGGCCGGCTGCTATCTGAGATCTGAAGCTGTGTCAGTAAACGATTGGAATATTCGGCATGAAGGAATCTGATCCTACATCGAACCAACATAGCATCAGAACGAGTCCGAGCATTTCATCCAGTTCTTTCTCCGCCCATGAATCTTGCGACAGAAGATTTCGCAGATGGCTTAAAGCGCGATGATGATGCTCCAATGCAGGGAGTCTGTATCTTGGATCGGATAGTTTCAGCGTATTGGCGGCAATGGCGAGAGTCGCGTGGTAGAGAGCTTGAGACTCGAGAGCCATGGGAAGAATTAGGTAGCGATATGGATTATAGAGAGCATTATCCACCAGTGTAGAGCTGCTGCAAATAGTCTGCTCGAAATATGACATGAGAACAGGGTCGAATTTCGATCTTCCATGGCAGGGGATCGTGCCTCAGTGATAGTCCTAGCGGTTCATGTCGTGAATTTTGTTCTGTGCTGCTGCTTTTCGTCCAGTCGCCATCGAAATGAAACTCGAGGTCCTTAGTGGTGGTATTCAGAAAATGCCATATCCGCATGCAATTTTTGCCTCGTTTTAACAGTCGTGTATCTCCATCCTTCAAGACCACCCCCTGCCTCGTACTGTTCTTTTCGCTTTCTCGATCAGGGTCATTACGCTTCGACCATACCCCCGCCCGCCCATGACAGACACCACGAGCCAGCGACTCTTCGTGCCAGGTCAGGCGTATTCCGTATCCACAGGGGCTATTTTTGAGCACACAGCGACGGCAGACGGGGTGTGTTTCTGGAGATTGTGATTTTAGTGAGGAAATTGGTTCAACAGGCTAATGTGGAGATGCCAACCGTCACATTTTATCCTGCGCGAACGGCAGGTCCAGCATCCGGTACGAGCCCTAGAAATTGCGGCCATTTTGCATGTTGGCGGGATGTGAAATTGAGAGATTCCAACTTGTTCAATTTGCTGGGGTTGGGCGAGGCAGAGAAAGATAAGCGAATTTGCGGGGAAGATAAGCAGGGTGTCTGCAACCTTAAGGTAGGGTAAACTTAGCTCCACCGAGAGTCCGCGGGGACCTACCCGGGCCTATTCTAGGGTTCTGGGATACTACATATGCCATGCTTTCAATAGTCATAATTCTAGACGATCTGTATTCAACTAAGAATGCTAGGAATAAATCATTGCGCGCCGATCGCAGGGGTTGGACAACCAACCAAAACGCAATGGGGGTATCGATGGCGTGGGTATCATAATGTACACGACAATTAAAACAAATAAAACTCTTTGCAGGCTTCTGCGAGGTAATCATGGTGTACAGGGCAATCGTAATAAGAAGACAAAACTGGTAGCGGACCGTGGAGCACGTCACTGACCCAATACCGAGAGGTTTGCTGGTGGGGGTTCATACTCTTCGTCCTCACTCGTGCACATTACCGCATCCCCTTCATCAGCGGGTTGGGCAACGGGGGATGCTGTTCCGCGAGGAGTAGACAAGTCGATAATTTCAACCAAGTCCGCAGTCCCGTCAGTTGTAGGGAACTGAGTCCCCGAAGGAGGTGCCGGGCGATTCGAATTCAGACGATCCGATTCCCGGGCTTGCTGTTTCTGCAGATGGCTTGTCTGCTGCAGAGGGTTCATGCTTGGCGTGTAATTTGTTGGCATTTGTGGAAATCCAGGATAGTTCGTGGAAGATGTAGAACTTGGGGTGTACGGGGGCTGTGCAAAGCTCGGATTGGACTGCCCGTGATACGAAGGAGTCATTGCGGGTGATGAGTTCGACGTCACGCCCATAATGGATTGACCGGCTCCGGGATGATACTGCACTCCCGGGGGCAATGAGTGAGGCGAGTGGGGAATGAATGGACGTGACGCCAGGCCGGTTTGCACTCCAGGCATTCTATTAGTAGACGACATTGCATCGAGCGAGCCCGTGTTTCGTATCGCCGCCACAAAATTAGTCTGGCGCTGCTTGTAGAGATCCTGTTCATCAGCCAAATCACGGGCCGTTTGGGCATCGTGTCTTCGCTTTTTTTTCTGCTTCAAAGGCTTGTGGGTTGGAACGTTTCAGGCGCTCCATTTTGAGCTCATTGTCCACACGAAGATTTTCTTCCTCGGTGAGACGATCATTTTCGTTATCTTGGATGTGCGGATACGGAGACATCCAGAATGATATCTCCATACGGCCCTGCAAGAATCTCATCAAGAACTTTGTCTTTCCCTTTAATCTCAGTATGATCACTTTTCTTCACCGGCTTCACTGGATGCAGAAGAATCGGTGAGTTTTTAGAGCTTTGGCGTACAACATTTTTCTTATCCACCACGCGGACTGCGAGCTGTCTTTTGAAAACTGCTTTGTTGAAAATGTTTTCCTCAAATGTTCCGCCGGCCACAAATCGATAAACGAAGACTGTCTTGGTCTGCCCGAGTCGGTAAGCTCGTCCAACAGCCTGTTCTTCCCACATAGGGTTGAACAAAAAGTCGAAAATGACGACGCGATTAGCTCCAAACATGTTGAGGCCCACTCCGCCAGCCTTGGTGGAGATTAAGAGAATCTGCTGATCAGAATCAGAGTTGAACTTTTTGGTGACAGCTTGGCGTTCAACCGCAGTAGTGTTGCCATAAATTCGTTGAAATTTCAAGCGACGTTCAGTTAACATAAGGTTAATGAAGTTCATGGTCGGGAGACTTTGGGTGAAGATCAGAACCTTGTCTCCGATTTTGGTGGACTGGTCAATGATTTTGTTGAGTAAAGTAGCCCGATGCGATAGACTGGGGTCTTCAATTCGTGGTATGGACTCGAAAAGAGCATTTATCTTCGACAATAAATCTCCTGGGAGTCCAGTCTCCTTCATTGATTCAGGCAGAACAGACCCTTCGGTATCCTCGGGTTGTTTCGAGCGATCTTCAAGTTTCTCTAGGAACGGTTGGGGATGGTTACAGCAAAGTTGCAAAATGGCAAGCCAAGTGTACAATTTGGAGTCAACGTCGTCCCCCGCCTGAGCAGTAGATACGAAAGTGTTGTAAGCTGCTTCCTGAAGATCTGTGAGGGGAATTCGGATAACAAATTCGGTCTTGGGGGGTAGATCCGATGAGATGACTGAAGTATCCGCTCGGAGAACCTTGGGTTTCAAAATTCCATTGAGGATCTTGAGGGCACAGAGACTCTCCCTCTGTTGTGCACGAGTACTGTCGATATAAGATCCGGACTGGATTGGTTCCAAAAACTTTGTCTTGAATGAAGCTGCATCTTCAAGATACCCTGGTGCAACCCACTCGACCATTTGGTAATACTCCCAAAGGTGGTTCGCCAATGGCGACCCTGTCATAGCGATGCGGCTCAAGGTCTTGAAGCGTGAAGTTACCTGTGAGATGGCAGACTTTTCATTTTTGAGCCTGTGGGCTTCATCAGCAACGACAATATTCGGCCGAGACAAGAGAGCCTCCTTCGTAAACTCATGTTGTTCGTCAGAAAGACTGTTGCGGTTTGTCGGTCGGGTTGACTTGTTGAGTACGATGATGCGGAACAGATCGTAGCTGATTATCAGAACACCGCCCCCTTCATCCCAGGCCTTGATGATATGAAACCTTTCTTCGGCCTCCATGTTGCCTCCAGACATGATTTCCCAGATCGGGCCGAGATGATGTCCTTTCGGGGTCCACAAGGCAAACTCTTCTGCCCAGTTCTGAACCACAGCAGAGGGGCATAAAACCAGAGTCTGGGAGCGATGAAACTTCTCAGGGACTTGTTCACGGATCTGAGGGTCATCTGACGCCGCTGCATCGGCGATTGTGGTCAATAGGGATACCCTGTTCACGAATTAGCTATGTCTAGAGATATTCTGTAGACGATCAAATTACTTACACCTGCATTGTTTTCCCAAGGCCCATCACATGGGCAAGGAGACAACCCTGGGGTTTTTTGGCCTCTATCAACTCACGCCACATGAATTGAATACCCGCAAGCTGATGTGGTTTAACGTGCTCTCCGATCTCCCTATGCAAGTAGATTGCAGGCTCTTTGAAGTTGACGGCCTGTTTGTCTGGGTCACTGTTACCGAGGCCTCGTTTTTCTCTTTCCTGCCTCATGGCCTCCTGTTTCTCTTGTCTCACTTGGGCTTCTCTTTGCATGTTGCTTGGGGTTCTCGGGGCATACTTGGTTTTGGTTTTGGCCTTCACGTTTGATTTGGACCCCGTGACAAACGCTGCGAGAGATGAACTATGAGGGCCAGAAGGATACCTTGGATTCTGCAAAACCCACAATTCGTAAGCGGCAAACAATTTGCTCAATCTTTCAACAAACGTTGAAAACATGGATTGGGCTTCTTCTTTCTCGATTTGGGAAATCGTGTCTTTGACCTGCTGTTTATCAAGTCCAATGCGACTCAGACCTATACAGTGAAGCCAAGAGTGGTACAGTACCGCGAGACGCATGATACCTAGACTCTCATTCTCGTCTAGATTAGGAAACTTTGCTCGGTCGTTTTGCATGTGAGTCAGAGCTTCGTGAACCAGATCCATGAGCTGAGAAAGCATGAATTCATCCAGATACTTCCGAACTAGTTTTGGTTCATGTGCGCCCAGTCCAAGAATCGATTTAGCCAGTAATTGGACGCGGTCCTTTGAATCGGCAATTTTTTCAAAGTCCAATGATTTCACGATATCGAAAAGCTCAATATCATCCTCATCCACTCCAAGCATCATATTTTCAGGGATACTAGAAAGTCCTTGGGGGAAATCATTGTCGCCACGCGAGATTTTGCGCGAATTGTGAGAATGAAGTTCAGGAGGCCGTGGCATCGTCAATTTCACTCTAACATTTCGCACTGGGGTAGATGGCGTGCTGTCAACCGGAAGCTCTGGGACATCGGCATCCTGCGGAGAAATTGAGTGGGTGGGATTCAAGGGCGGCGTCTCAATTTGCATCTCATCGGAATCTGCGGCATCTGCAGCGCCTTCTACTGTCCCTGGGAGAGCTGGATTTGAAGGACTTGCGACTGACCTTGAGCCAGCGGCACTGGCCGGTATGGAAATGGTTTCAGTCAAATCAACAGTATCAATGTCACCCCGTCGCAAGACCTCAGAAAATATCCCGGTGTCAGAGGTCATCTCGCCATCACTTTCATTGTCATAGATACGTCGCCTTTTTCGAGCAGGCTCAGTCGATGGGTCTTGCTCATCCGGAGGGGGAGGAGAGTCCAAAGTGAACGGCAGTCCCTTGTGAGATTTATCCACTTGATCCTGCACGGTCTCATCCTCGGGATCAATCTCAATGAAATCACTTTCATCTTCTTCGGATTCAGACCCATCAGATTCCGACTCCTCATAAGAACTTTCAAGGTCTGTATCCATTTCAGAGGCCAGGCTTTCATCATCTCTGGCATCCAAAGGCTCCTCTTTGGGCTTTGGTTTTGGGACTCTTGGTGGCGGTTCGACATGAGGCGGGCAATTCTCAAGCTCCAGTATCTGGAGTATCCATTTATCCAGGCAGATATCAGCAATGGTGTTGTCAAGAGTGGCACACGATAGCAAGAAGAAGGCACGATCTTTCGAGTCAACTTCCAAGAGCCCACCCTTGAGCTTTTCTAGGCGTTTCTGATAGAGATAGATTCTCTTGGTGAGATCACCTCTGTCCTGCTCAAGTGACCCATTCATGTGTGAACGGTTCCATAGTTTTGGAGCTTTTGGAAGTTCCTTTGGCAGGCGCTTTTCTTTCCAAATGTCTTCTTTCTGTGCGATGTGCTGTGCGATTAATGCCATGCATTCCTCGCGAGAAAGACTAGGCTTTTCAGCGGGAGTAGGTTTATTTGCATGCTCTCGTAATTCCTTGGCCTCGATTTGCATCTCCTCCCAAGTTTCCTCGTCAAACTGGCCCTCAGATCCAGAATCACCATAAAGAGGGAGCAGATCGGTGTCATCAGTTTCCGGGGATACCTTTCAAGTAGACTATTGAGGAATGCTTCTTCTGTTGGAGTTTTTGGGGTGTGCGTTCTCGGGGTTGCTCTTTCGCGAATCTGGTCCGGCTCTTTAGAGATCTCTGGTTCCGGATTACCATTTGAAGCTGCCCGCCGAGAAAAGAATGGCTGGCGTTCGACTGTATTAACCGGCCCCGTCGGGGCAGCTTCAGTCATTGGATGGTTGAGGGCCGAAATGGATGTATTGGTATTGTTCGAGTCAAAATGCCCACGGGGCGACTGCGGGTTCTCATTTGACGTTTCGCTTTTCTCAAATGCACGCACCAATTGAGGAGCAATTCTGCGTTTCCCTTGCGTCGTTATCGATGGTCGCACACCAGCTCCAGAAAAGTTGACAGGGGCGACTTCCGAGGCAGGAGCAGCAGGAGCAGCAGGAGCAGCAGGAGCATCCGAGCCTGGAGATCTGGAATGGGGGATCTGAGGTGAAAACGTAGACTGTGGAGAGAATATTCCGTGTAATGAAGGTTGGCGAGTCTTGGCTTGGAACTTCGCAGACCGGATTCGCAGCCACTCAATAGCCTTCATGATGCCGGATCGATGGCCCAAGGCTTTGACTCCGAGGTCATCTTTCAGGGAAATTTTGTCAACTTCCTCTAACAGGACCTCTCCAGTAATGAAGTTTTCATGAAGTGCCGCTGCTAGGTCAGTTGGTTTTGGAAACGGGATGTTGGACCCCTCGGCCCATGGGCGAGACTCGGAGTCACAGAGGAATTTAACGACTTCCTCAATATTCCAATCAACGGGATCTGAGTCCGTAAACTCCATAGTTGCATCTTCAGGGGGGGCCTGGAGTGGAAGTTAGCCAGAAGCTCCTAGCTTAAGACAAAATGGTCAAGGTTAACCTCACCAGTTGCTGGCCCCCAGATAAGGAAGTAAGTCTTGAGCTTAGTGTAGAAGCACTAAGTGATCCGACACGGAAATGGAAATGGAAATGGGAATGGGAATGGGAATCGAGTATGAAAGTAGCTAGGAGAGTGAGATCATTTAAGCGTCGAGCAAAATGAAGGTGGGAAAGAACACACGCAACTCGAGGAGGCGTGCATTCTAGCTCCAGAAAACAAAAGATGGTGGTTGCAAACGCAAGAGCAAACGCCGACGCGCGAGACAATTATTCTGCCTTGAATGAAGAGCTCATCGCCAGGGCGGTGTGGGCGGTGTAAACCGGGTAAATCCCCCCCTCCATCTGCATTTGTCATCGCGGGGAGCCCGCGGAAGTGGGCTTCTTGCAATTCTATTCTATTTCGACATTTCTCTTTTCTTCATGTTTCTATACCATTCAGAGCTTGTATCTATTCTAACAACCCCGACTGAAGCTTGCTAGAGCTTTTGCAGCATCATGGGTGACTCCATTTATTCTACATATCCTCCTAACCTATCGCCGGTCCAACAAGAATACCTTGTTACCACAATCAAAAACTGGGCGATTCAGAATGGCCTCGCTGTGCGACCCGCCCCAACCGCACTCCCAGTTGGCGCAGATGATAACCGCGTCCTGGCTACAAATGCTCCGGTGACCCTTTTCCCAAGTCCCTTTCCAGCCGCCTGCTTTGAAGAGGCGACAGCTCTCCAAACAATCTATAACCAACTCTATGCCGCGATCACTTGCAACGAGGAGTGGCTAGGGAAGATCATTGAAGAGTAAGATTGCAAGAAATACAGATACCCTTGATATTCACTTAGCTAACCATCTCTTCTATAACTCAGTCTCGTTGATGTAGACGATTTCGTGGCCAATCTTTGGAAAACACACCTAGAGGTAAAGAAGGAGGGATATGTCCAGGATCTTTCCTTGGGCCTCTTCCGATCCGACTACATGGCCCATGTCACTCCAGAAGGTCCGCCGTCCTTGAAACAGGTCGAGTTTAACACGATTTCTTCTTCATTTGGGGGATTGTCTGCCTTGGTGAGGTCGTTGCATGCGGAGCTCCTCACTTCCCCGCCGGGTTCTCCGATAAGTTACCCGCCTCATCCTCTTTTCGATTCCAACATACCACCGGAAAATACTGCTGTGGAGACCCTCTCAGGCGGACTCGCTGCTGCTCACACAGCTTACGGTCCCTCGAAGTCAACCCCGGCGCTTCCTTTGTGTGTTCTGTTTGTGGTCCAAGAGGGGGAACGAAACATCTTTGACCAGCTGGCGCTCTCTAAACACCTTACGCATACCCACAAGATTCCTGTCTTCCGCCTACCAAGTAATAGAATCATTGATGACACGCTCATTCCAAGCTCAAATCCTTCTCGTCCATTAATCTATCGACCCCCACACTCGCCAGAAACTGCATTTGAAGTCACGACGGTCTATCTCCGAGCCTACTACGCACCGGACGAATACAAGTCCAGCCGTGATTGGGAAGCGCGCACTCACTTAGAGCGCTCTGCTGCAATCAAATGCCCGACGGTTTTGAACCAACTATCTGGTTGCAAAAAAGATTCAGCAAGTTCTTGCTGAGCCTACAGGACCAGACCACCTCACCAGCTTTATGGGTGGTATCGACCCTGCTATAATTGCGAGGTTGCGTCAAACATTTGCTCCTCAGTATGACCTATCTACTGATGGCCAGGGGCGCAAGCTCGCCTTCAATCCCGAGACGGCTATGAAGCATGTCCTCAAACCGCAACGGGAGGGTGGTGGAAATAATATCTACAAGGCTGAAATTCCCAATTTCTTGCGCTCCATTCCGGAGAAGGACTGGAAGGGATGGGTTTTAATGGAATTGATTGATCCCGCCTCCGACGCCGAAAATGTCGCCCTGCGGAATGATGGAGAAGTTCTCCGTGGCAACGTCATTTCTGAGCTTGGTGTTTATGGCACTATTCTGTGGGAAACAAACGGCAAAGTTCTACACAACGATCAAGGAGGTTGGTTGTTGAGAACCAAAGGAAAGGAGGTCAATGAAGGCGGCGTGGCCGCTGGCTTTTCCAGCTTGGATAGCATACTACTCTACTAGTGTATTAGAAACAATAGAATAATATCTAAAGTGAAGGTTTGAAGACCTTGGTTAGAGAGCGACAATCTATCAAAAATCGACCTGCATCTGAAGGTCCCCAATAGTTCCTAGAAGGATAAAAGCTTTACCTCCCTCGGTTATAGTCCCATGACGAACAGTATTATCCAGACTAAGCCTGTTCTGGAGTAATGATAAATCCCTCGTCTTTGTCTTGTCCACCGCTTCGTTTTGAGCATTAGCAGTATTAGGAATTTGTAGATCCGCCTTTCTACTCAAGCAAAGGCTCTTCTTGGCATTGTCCCACCAGAATTTCTCGAGTCATTTAAAGTACCATACGGTAGCATCTAAATTCCATTATATTAGAATAATCGCATCTGTAGCAGTCAGTCGCATTTTATACCTAGGCCCTTTCGTGAGGGTCCAAATTATTCGTTGAGTTCACGTTGCTGCTTTATCTTTTGCTAATCGTTTTACAGGTTTAGCCTCTCTCCTCGCTGTAGTGCTTATGTTCAAGTTGCATAAGCGTTGTGGCGTGTCACAAGGAATACTTTACCAAAAGTGGACTGTATCAAAGCACAATATCATCAGCTGTAACTAGTGTATACATTTTGAACCAATTTTTCCCCCGTCTAACTTCGTTGTATTGCAATTATTCCTTTGAATCAAGGTCTCTGGCCAAATAAAATCATTTTGTTACACAGAGTCAGTTTCATAGTCTCCACGTGTGTGCTCTCATACCTCGGTTAAGGCAGGACCCAAAAGTATTAAGCCTCCGGCCTGAGTAAGCTTCTTTCTTCTTTGTCATTAAGCATAGTACATCGTTGTTTGGAGATTCTTTGAGCTATGCCCATTGGATGGGTGTGTCGGTATTCTCGTATTGTTCGCTAGCCCCGAATGCATATCGATGCAGTGTCGAAGCCACCAACAGGCGCCCCTAATTTTTAAGAGGCTGGGCAATATCTTGTTCAATACAATTCGGGCTTTTGATTGGTGTCATGTTCCCCGCCCTTCTAAATTGGCTATAATTTAAGCCACGCGCTAAGCCCGTCAGATGATCCTTTTGCGGGGCATAGTTCTGTAAGTTCGTCTTTCGTCTTTTCGTATAGACCCTTGATGAGTGGTGCAATACACCCTGGTCAAGTTCTACCAGTCTTATTTCATTGCTGACTGCAGTAGCTGAATATTAGCGAAACAGCCACCGCGCTGATTTCAGCTCCCGAGAATCCGTCTGGGAAATGCAAATCCTAGCATATCTGATGGTTGCCTAGTAAATAGTACTAATACCTTCTGACGCTCCAGTAGAATCAAACCGCCATCGGTTAGCGGAATATACCGCTTGTGTTTCTGACTCGATTTCAAGTCTTCCCTTCCCTGTGCAGTCAGTCTTTTTGTTTCTTTCCCCCCACCTGCCTCTTTTCTTGCTTTCAAGCTGGTTACCTTCTTTCATCTTTCTTTTCTTCACATTTTCGACACAACCCACCGATACTCCCTCCAATCTTCGACGCTATCTCTGATTCAGTCTATTACAAAAGACTGGGTCAGCTAGTATGACGTCTCAGGCCACCAAGGATGCCCTCGGTGGGTAAGTGACAAGCACTTTTCGACTTGCTGTGGTGATCTACTGACATGGCTGTCCACACAGCATGACCAACAACCTGACAGGAGAGTAAGTTATAACTGCATTGCCCGATTTTGAGCAAATTTTGATACCTAGTCTCAGGATTAAGAATCCTCTTGAAGGTTTGACTCGCGCACAACTGATGGACGATGTCAAGAACTACGCAACACAACATGACCTGACTTCTCTCACCGAGGTCCTCCAGAAGGGTGCCCTCGCTGGCCAAAATCCGACCGAAATCGACTCGATCCCTGAACTTACCGAAGAGGATCGTGTGGTTCTCCGTGAAGAAGTCACTCGTCGTTGGAAACAGCCATGGGCCCTGTACTACACCATTATCCTGAACTCGATTGCGGCGGCCATCCAAGGGTGGGACCAAACCGGTACATAAAGAACTACATTTTAATTTGAAAGGAGGTGCTAATAATATTTTAGGCTCCAACGGTGCAAATTTGACCTTTGATCGTGTTTTCGGTATCCCAAACGATAGCCCATATTGTCCTGATAAAGCGACTTGTGACCGCAACCAATGGATCGTTGGATTCATCAATGCCACGCCTTACATCACCATTGCTTTATTGTGAGGAGATCTAATCAAACTTTATGATTACCTTGGCTGATATATTTTGATATTAGTGCTGGCTGGTTATCCGATCCCCTCAATCACTTGATCGGTCGCAAAGGCACCATCTTCATTGCAGCAGTTTTCAGCCTATGTGCTCCCATCGGATCCGCCTTTACACAGCACTGGGGTCAACTCGTTGCTTGCCGAGTGCTCCTGGGTATCGGAATGGGTCTCAAGGAAGTCACGGTCCCCGTTTATTCTGCAGAGAATGCACCAACCAGCATTCGAGGCGGATTGTGCATGTCATGGCAACTATGGACTGCCTTCGGTATCTTTCTTGGTACATGCGCAAATTTGATTGTTGCAAATACCGGGGATATATCGTGGCGGCTGCAACTTGGGTCTGCTTTCATTCCCGCGGTGCCACTTATTCTTGGAATCTGGTGGTGTCCAGAATCTCCTCGCTGGCTGATGACCAAGGGCGGCACAGTCAGGCCTATGCTTCTCTGCTTCGCCTGCGAAACAGCCCTCTTCAAGCTGCTCGGGATCTCTACATGATACATGCGACACTTGCAACTGAGAGGGAAATGCTGCAACAATCAGGTTTCTCGAAGCAGGACAACATGTTCGTTCGGTTCATGGAGCTCTTCACAGTTCCGCGGCTGCGTCGTGCCACTCAAGCATCTGGGATTGTCATGATAGCTCAGCAAATGTGTGGAAGTAAGTACAACATCTCTTTTTGATCAAGCCTCATACCAACTACTACTCTAACCTACATCAACGATAGTCAACATTATCTCCTTCTATTCCTCAACTATCTTCAGTCTTGCCGGAGCGAACAATATCCATGCACTCCTCGCTTCTTGGGGATTCGGCCTCATCAACTTCATTTTCGCATGGCCAGCAGTGTGGACAATTGATACCTTCGGCAGACGTGGCCTCCTGCTCTTCACTTTTCCAAACATGTGCTGGACATTACTGGCTGCCGGTTTCTGCTACTGGATTCCTAGCAGCAGTAATGCCCATTTGGGGATGATTGCATTCTTCATCTACATTTTCGATGGGTTTTATTCTCCAGGAGAGGGGCCCGTCCCATTTACCTACTCCGCCGAGGTTTTTCCTCTTTCACATCGTGAAATAGGCATGGCTTGGGCAGTGGCTACCAACAATTTCTGGGCAGCAGCTTTGTCGTTGACATTCCCTTACATGCTACGAGCATTGACCCCTCAGGGTGCCTTTGGCTTCTATGCCGGATTGAATATTGTAGCGCTGGTGCTGATCTTCCTATTCATGCCGGAGACTAAGCAACGCTCTTTGGAGGAGTTGGATTATGTCTTTGGCGTTCCGACTCGAACTCATGCCAAATACCAGCTGACCCAAGTTCTACCGTGGTGGATCAGAACTTACATCCTCCGACGCAAGAATCTCGTATGCCCTTCGTTGTACCGGTATGGTGACAAGACAACTATGGCTCAGCCTGCTGATTTCCAGGAATCCTCTGAGATCCACGAGGTCACTACTGACAAGGAAACCCCGAAGGATGTGTGATTTCAAGTGCCACGGTCAAGTGCTATCATGATTGTTAATAGCTAGTTTTCCAATCGTAGCCAGTCAGTCAGCTACGGAGATAGGCAATCTCAATCGATTTAATCACAACTGGGAAACCATTTTGGACATCGGTATCTCGTCAATTTTGTACCAGTCGGAAACATTCCTTTATGGGAGTAGCCAACTTTAAAAATACCCTCCCAAGGCACCGAAAAGAAGCCAAAAGGAACCATCACACTAAAACTAAAGCAGCATATGAATTCAAAAATCCACCGTGGAAAATCTGTAGAATGTCCGTTCTGCAAGGCAAGCTTTGGCACGGCCAGTTGTGCCTGCACACACTTGGAATCTTCGTCATGCCCGAAAGCACCCAAATTGAACCGCGAAACCATTCTTCAAATTATTCGACGCCACGATACTGCTGGACACATCGCAAATAACCAAATCGAATGGCACAACGAAGCAAGAGGTACATATACCGTCACCCGGAATGCCTACAATGGATCCTCATGGGAGTGTTACCTATGCCACAAGCGATTTTCGGGGTCGAGGGGCCTAAGCCAACATTTGAACTCCGCGGTCCACCAGTAGAAGGTGTATCACTGCCCTAATCGCCGGGAATGCAGTAGAGAGTTCGTCGCATTGGCAGCCTTGTTTAGACACCTTGAGAGTGAATCGTGTCAATTTATGCGCTTCGAAAGCGTTCAGAAAAATTTCCATGGGGTTGTTTCAGGGCAGAAGCTACTTCAGAGAGAAGAGACCCATCCTCCGCGTACAATCCACGTCATGAGTGTCTTTGGTATTTGCTAGTATTCACCATACTGATGGTATACAATGGAGCTCATCTTGATTTTTTGGGGGGGTTCTTGAGGCCCAAATCTAAGAGCCCTTTATTCATGAAACAAATTTGATATGCCAGACAACAATCTTAATCGTTTTTCCAGATGAGATGAAGGTTCAATAGATTCCGTTGTCCGATGAGGAGTTAAAAAGGTTGAGGTGGTAAAGTTGAGAGGGAAGAAGGAGTCACTGGCCTAGTATGCAGTGCCACTATCCAATTGGCTGAGTATAGTTCAACCTGCAGAGTAAGTTAGTAGGTACTCCGTACTGGTTTCTTCTTCTCCCCAGGAGTATCTGTTACATACAAAATTGAATCATCAAACCTCGGAAATATTAGAAAAATAATACAGCATTTTGGCAGGATTGAATGCATTGGTAGTAGAATTTCTCGTTCGATCGATCAAATAAGTCACGCGGTTGCAAGTTGCGGGAGTACTTCGGCTAATTGCAGGACATCTCCCGTATCGACCCTTTTTCTGCACCACTTCAGCTCCCCAACCATCAATCATGAGCCGACCGGCACTACTTCGCTTACTTGCCCATAAATCTAAAGCCTCGCTCGGACTATATGACCTCCACATTTCCTGCTATGTCAAACCCAACGCCGCCGCAAACCGCGCGGGTGTGACAAAGGTGGGGACAGACCGGGTTGATGTCTCCGTGGCGCTAGCTCCACGTGAGAATGCTGCCAATGCTGCTGTTTCGGAGATCATAGCTGAGGTATGTCGAGTGATTCAAAAAAAAATACCAGTAACTGTATGTATCTTTCAACTCACCAGTCGTTTTCGGGGTGAAAAGGTGTTCCAAGTGCCAAAGTCCAATGTTACGGTGACCCGTGGGGCAAAAGCAAGGGAGAAAACGTTATCCATTACAGAATTGGAGATTAAACACGGTTCGGAAGAAGCGTTCATGAAGCAAGCGACCCAAAATCTCATCGATTCCGTAAGGAAGCCAAATTCGAGATAATAAACACCGTCTACGAGTGAGTATACTTCACGACTCCGTGGGTTGCGTGAATCCCGTGACATCCAAATCCACTTTTCTGCCGCAACGATAGCACTCGGTCTGCAGTTTGCGCACCTCAACACTCGACCTTCCAAGAGATTTATAACCAGCCAAAGCATGGAGATGGCTACAGAGACTTCTTCCTCGGCATCGTTGAAGCGGAAAGCCGAGGGGACAAGCTCAAACACAATCCACTTCACCTCGCGCAATCCGCCCTGGACCTATCTCATGCTTCAACTGTGAGCAACGCCCCCGAGCGACTTCTCTTTAAAGCTTAATGAACTAACACCGCGCAATCAGTATTCCCCAGCCAGATTCCTCCTCTCCACAGCCCCTTGATGCTCTCTCCGCACGCACCTATCTCTCCTCCGCCCTGTCACAATTCCTCGGAGTCGCGGGGACTGCGATTCCAGTCGATATTCTAAAGGTTGAGAACAAGGCGACAACGAGCAAAACAGATCAAACCACATCACACTCTACCATTGGAAACAAATACGACTGCGCCTGGGTACGCGTACCGCGTGAAGACTCGGCAGCCGTCGTGGCAGCGCTCAGCTCATGGATTGGCGGTGGAAGCGGCAATGGTGCTAATGTCGCATGGAGAGTTTGTGCAAAGGGAAATTATCTGGGCGCCCTGGTTTCGGGATCCGGGGCAGACTTATTCGTTCCGTGATTCAGGCATTCCCGTCTAGCTCTTCTTCTCACTACATCTGAGGACGCAACGTCGGAAACCCATAGCTTCACGGGCGCTATCCCTTGCCCACGGATTAGACCTGGTCTCACAAGCAAGTCCCACTGCGATGGCCATTGTGGGTATTCTGTCACTTTGTCGGTGTTGCATATGACGACACACTCCTATGTAGGATTCTGGGCCAACGAAGAGACCATTCGTCGATATGTACTACACCATTCCGATGGCTAAAAGGTTGACGGGTATGGGAAGGAATCCTTTGTCGACTATTTGCGATCCTTCTCGGTCTCATCAAGGTTGACATCTTGGGGATCTTCGAACAGGGTAAACTCCGCCCTGCATATCAGACTACCGCCCTCTGGATTGATAGGCAAATTAAATGATTGATGACACAAGACAATGCAAATTCCAATACTATCATTCTAATAGCAAAAATATCAAAATTTTTCTGGACACCGTGTATCACTGCTGCCCTGGTTATACGCCGTAACTCTCTCGCTGGTGAACATAAGTTCCCAAGATCAATTTGGTTCCGCTTAATCGATGCACAACTTCCTCCGTCTGTCTGTCTACCTGTCCCCCTCCATATAATTCAAAGTGGTTTATACAATTCTGTCGGCCTACGTCTTTTCGTGCTCCGGTCATACAGACTGTTTTGTCTGGGTGCTGATGCTAGCCACCTTAGTCGAGGCATCCGATCCAAGGGCAGTCGGGCTGGCGATGACCTTTGCTCGGAGAGCCCCGCGAATATCCTCGACGGATCGGTCCTTCCACTCGTCGTAGCCATTCTGGCTGAGCGGGAAGAGAACCAAATTGTCGGCGCGCGTCATGAAATCTTCCACATTGGGCCGTGGGGTAGCGGTGATGACGTCCAGCTCGATGGCGATCTGTCGGCAGTATGTTTCCAGGGAAGATCGTTAACATCTTGGCCGAAAGGGTTCTCGATCTCGCTTCCAATGGTCGCCAAGCCGAGAATGATGTATGCGGCGACCATTGAAGCTGGGATAGTAACCCACTCAAGGGCTCCATAGAGCTGGAAGGGAAGGACTAGGACGTAGATCCAGGAGATCTGAGCAATTGCGATGCTGTAAGCACTAGGCAGTGGGGTGTCGAGCACTCGCTCCGTGCCGGTAAGCACCTCGTTAAGCACGGCCAACATTGTGACTATCGATTGATTAGAATTGTGTCCAATATTATAAAAGGGGGGGGGGTTATGTTTTCTTACCAGCTTGACCCTGGTGCAGAGTAGACACCAGGGTTCCATTAGCCACAATAGAATCGATATACGTAGACAGGTGGTTGAGGATTTCCAGGGGAAGGTGCCCGATGGGCTTTTTGGAACGCTTGATCAGTTTGCGAGGGTTAGACTCGGCAAAGGAAACTCCCAGGTACTCTCCTGTAGATTTCCAGATGGTCTTAACTCGGGGATTCACAACGGTGCGATCATGAGCATCGCGAGCGAATGTATCGAGGTGGCCAGCAAGCCCGGCCAGATCCTCGTAAGCGATATCAGGCTCAAAACGGAGCTTGTGTTTCAAAGCGACGGCGAAGGAAAGAATAAGATTCATGGCGGAGCTTAAGGAGGTTTGTTAGTTGAGTTCCCACCTAGATTCTTCGGATCACCTACAGTTTTCTTAAAAGGTCCTCCTTGCCTAATTCACCTTCGCGCTCACCGGTGTTGACCCAGATGGTACGGGCAAGGTTGCGTGAGGTTTGTATAAGTTGGGACCAGTACTTGCGTCCATCGGCCCATCTAAACTGGCGTTAATTCTTTGAATATTCGGGAAAATCGGAGAGGGAGTTCGGACCTTTCATAGGCAGTAGAGCTGCGGAAGGACAATGCCAAACCCACCACGAAACCCAGCACGGTGAGTAGGATATTGTCAATGCTTACTATATGATGCAAGTACAGGGATTAGGCTTTTGCGGCTTGGTTATGGTTCTGAGGGGAGAACTCACTGTCATGAACAAATTTCGAAATGCAAGTGATGGCAGTTGACCAGCCTGCCACCCAAAACATGGGTAGAATCATCTTCGGGGTGACACTTCCATGCATACGCATAAAAATCGGCCATTTGGAGTGCTTGTCCATATTGCGGGGACCGTGCTGTAGCCAATTAGCACAAATAAGCAAGAGATATTGTAACCCTAGCTACTATTGACAGGTCCACGTACAAAGTAACGGTCCAACTCGCTCGAGTCCTGTCTGTCCAGGTGAAATTGACTGTCACGCGAGGTTGCCAGGTGCTCCATGAACGTCGGTCGCGGGGTGAGCCTTTCAGCGGAGTCCTGCTCCTTCAGGCCATGAGGTTGGCTTTGGTTGTGGTGGTCGCCATGGGCTCGTACATCGGCTGGCACGGGAGCAGCGGTGTGATCGCCCGATGCTGTTGGGGCTGCATCGTGGGCTGGTGCAGAATGCCCGTCGGTCATCTTGAATGTAGCAAAACAGAAATTTGAAGAAAATAGTAGGGGAAAGAAAAAGTGAAGGTTCTCAAGGACCTTGGAATGGGTTGGTTGGAAACGAAAGTATATTGCAAAAGCGAAGGTGTTGAAGAAGCAGATCAAAAATCAAATCAAGAATAGAAACGAAGGACAAAGAGATGATATCAGGAGAAGAAACGAAAACGCGGAGAAAAAAAGGAAAGTGAGAATTTCTGAAACAAAGAGCATGCAGAAAGGGTGGCGGTTTCATCGCGATCTAGACCTGACGCGCTGTCATAAGTGGGTCTCTTTAGGGTACCACCATCGAGCACTGCCACGTAGGGGGGGAGGGAGTGGAAGTTAATTATAGACAACGATTTTCTCCGATTGGCAAGGACAGGCATACTATACATACATGTTCTATTGAGGACTATAAATGCAGAATTCTGCATGTACAGTAGTAGTACTTCGAGTCTGCCGTGTACTGCGAAGTAGTGAAACTTTCTTGACATCCATGGATGATGAGTCTGCTAGTACAAGTATACTTCGGGTGGTCCCGCATGATCCAGCTTACGCCCCTTTTTCCCTGTCTCCAGCTCCACCGTATTTTCTGACGAATGTGCTGTCACTAAGGGCCCGGGAGAAGCTAATTGGAACTGGTACAAAACGCCAACGCAACAAATCCTAGCCCAGACCTTCAAACTGCCATTCCAAGGTTCGCTCCGGCCAATGGGAGCAACACGGCTGCCAACGACCGACTTTCTAAAGGCGTCGCGTTCGGGGTGGCCGCGTAGTGGGGGATCAGAGTCTTTCGGGTACGTCTGAATGGGCAGGTATTGTCTACTCGCACGGAGTAGTAAGTCGAATTTTATGAACATGATCTCAATAATTGGATCAGGAGGACGCAAGTAGAAAATCATTGCAAGCCGACTGAAAGCCCCTCCATTACTTCGTACTCCGTACATCGACTAACTTCTCCACCACTGTATCGGTAGTCAGTTGGACAGACGTGCGTAAATCCCGAGAGGCTACCAACCCGCATTCCGAGAAAGGAAGCCCCGAGACCTCCACCAAACAATTGTACTATTGGCCCATGAAGACCGGGGATCGTTGTGAAGATGGATACGAGTAAGTACTACACAAAAGTAAGACAGCTGGCGATCTCAAGGAGATTTTCAGGCGCTTCAATCCCACTTGTAGCGCTGGAAGCGGGCCACCTGGGTAATCCAGACAGTTACCGCCAGAAAATGCATACTTGTTTGCGGTGCGCAGATCGCTTCAACGCAATCCCATCATTAGCCAGTCTTTCGGCAGTTGAGTTAAAGCGTGCCTTTCTTTGTGGAGGGTCTAATTCTAGCTGATCGTTAAGGTTCACCGACATAGCACCGGGTATCGGACCGAGATTCAGACAAATATGGCAAGACCACGCTGTGCAGGCTCGATGGGGGAGAGATCTACCATCAGATCAGACTAGCTAGTCCCCGGAAGTGACAGGTCCTCGCTATAGCATTGGTCTTAATTTCTATTTAGTTTGATGGACTGAAAAGCATATAGTAAACCCTTGAAACCACTTTATCTAGTCTTCCTATCTGCTAGTTATTCAACATCTACAAATTCCAGACGTGGGCCGTAACACAGAAAACGGTCATCAACAACAAAAGAAACAACTGGGGTGAGGCTCTGGGCATCGAATTCTTCTCTTCGTAAATTCATGCATATGACTTCTAGCTCTTTTGAAAAACAACGCCCGCGCTTGCAAATCATTGGTTTCATCACATTTGCGACAGAATCGAGTTCTGCGCATAGGCCTGTGATAGTTGTTAGCTCGTGTTCAATGTCGCAGACATTAGGGAATAGATAGACTGACCATCGGCTTGATGTCCGGGTGCGGCACTGCCTCAAACACCTCATATGCAAGCTCAAGCTCGGGTCCAATGTTAATATAAGCACCCTTGTTCTCCGTTGAGTCGCAGTATCTGGGTGCAGAGAAAACGGTGATACAACGGCCGTCGTGCTCGACTTCGTAGCCATCCATGCGCACCTCGTGCGAACGGATGATAGCCTCCAGACCGTTATTCTCACAGAAGCGCTTGGTGATGTCGGGGCCGAATTGCAGGCCGACACCGCGCTTGCTGGGTCCACGGCCAGGCTGGGTTTGCGGGTCGGTCCAGAGCATCTCCATCATCAGACCCTGTTGGCCAGGTTGCCGTTGGTTGTGACGGTTGAGTTTACGAATATCATTAAGAGTAATCTTGTCGTCGGAGAAGAGACCACCGTGGAGGACCAGGTATTTCTCGCCAATTAGGGTGGCCAGCGGCAGAGCGGAGAAGGACTCAGAGAAGACCTTGAACACCCGTTCATTATACTTAGCCTTGCACTCACCCTCAAATCCGTAAACCTTGTTCATATCGTCGGTCTCGTGGTTTCCGCGGTTCAAGAACAGACCGTTGGGACGCAGCCACTTGTATGCGTAGAGAAGCAGGGCAATCTCGCAGGACCATGAGCCACGGTCAACGAAATCACCGTTGAATAGGTAGGCGTGGGTATCGGAGGGAGCACCGTTTCGGCGGAAGATCTCCAGCAGATCGAAGTATTGACCGTGGGTATCACCACAGACAGTCAACTTCTTGCCAGCTTCGACACCAACCTCGACCATCGTCGGCTCGTTGTAAACCAGCTCCTTGACAGCCTTGATAATCTGGAAGACGTATTTGCGGTGGATCTTCTGGCCGTTCTTGAAGCGCTCGATCATATCATCAATAAATTCTTGCGTCATTTCCTCGCCCAGGTGCACACCATCATAAGCATCCTCCACCTGAATCGCATCGATATCCAAGCCCTCGAACGCGGAAGGCGGGTCGGAAACTTCAATGGCCTTCTCAAATTCCAAGCGGCGGACGAGCTTCTCGCAGTCCGCTTGCTTCAGCTTCGCATTTTGGTTATTAGGTTCACGTTTGACGACGGCCTTGAAATCCTTCAAAGCAGCCTTATAGTTCAAAGTGGCAGTGTTGGCGAGGGCACGTCTCCAATAGGCCTAGGACAAATCCAATATATTAGCAAAAAATGAAAGACATATTTTCATTTTCAGCTCCGCGGTTCATATTGTGCCGGGTTCCCGCCCTTGGAAGAGAGGGCTCTCTTCGTAACGGCCACTAACCTTGACGTAGTTCGGGTCCAATTCCAAAGCGCTAGTAGCATCGGCAATGGCGAATCCAAAAGCTTCGAGTTTGATTTGAGCCTGCCAAGAAAAGGAGCAAAGCAGTGTTAGCGGTAGTGCTCCGGACCTTGCGAATACGATTCGCTACGAGGGGAGACGGATTAGGGCGGGCGTACCTGGGCACGGTTGCAGAAGATGGCCGGTTCCTTGTCGTACTTCTCAATGGCTTGGGTGTAGAAGTCCAGAGCAGTGGGCCAGTCGTGGGCCACAACAGCCTTATTGCCTTGCAGCTTGAGCGCGTTGGCTGCTTCTTTGTCGGTAGCCATTGCGGAGGGAAAGAGGGGCACGAGACAACCGATCGGGGAAGTTTGCAAAGAGGATGGGAGGATTAAAGAGGAAGAGGATTCGAAGGTGGCGGTATTTCGGTCGAATGTGCGACAAGGAGAGTTAAGGAGAGTTCAGGAAGCTCGAGTCCTGTGAGAGTTGAAAGGGGATCCCGGGCAAAAAGTTGATTCCCTTCTCACACTCTTTTTTTTCCCCGATGGCCAACGGGCTTGGCACGTAGAACCCGTCAGAACCATCCGCGGCCCCGTTCCCTTTCAACCTCCAATCCTGCCCTCACTGGACTTCACCCCACATCACCTCCTTCGAAATGTCATTTTTCACTCCTTCGAACCAGCAGCGCTCATTGCGCGCCTGCATGGTCTGCTCCGTCGTCCAGGCACACAACGTGAGTGTCTCTCGAGCTCTCCCTCGGCCCCCCGGCCCCGTCATTCCATTCCCAACTCCAGTACTGACGATTGGTATTGCTAGAAATTCATGCGTGACGGCTGCCCCAACTGCGAAAATACCCTTCAGCTCCGCGGAAATACCGACGCTATTCAAGAATGTACCTCGCAGGTCTTTGAGGGCTTGATCGCTGTGCGCGATCCGACCGCCAGCTGGGTTGCGCGTTGGCAACGTTTAGATAACTACGTTCCGGGGACATACGCCACGAAAGTGACAGGATCGGTAGGGATCTCTTCTTGGCTGTTACGTCCTATTACCAGGAGCTTGCTTGCTAATTATCTCGGTTGTTTGCAGCTTCCCGATTACATCATTGGTAGCTTGGAGGACGCTGGCATCAAATATGTTCCGTACGTGGGGTTCCACGATAAACCCCTGTTCATTTCAATGCTAATACTCTTTTCTTTTAGGAGAGACGGAAGTACCGGCGAGGAGGAGGCTTGAAATGGCCATTCTTCTCTTTACCACCAGCAGTCACCCCGCGACTTCGCCAACCAATAGCCAACGCCAGTCACCTATCCTACCTCATATACCAGACATGGACGGAAATCGCTAGGAATCGGAATCGCTGGTGACCAAGGTGGATCTTTCAGGAGTTATCGGTTGGAAGCATTGCATTTATGTCCATTTTAGCATTCGGTATTCGGGATTACCCTAATCAAGCAGGAGTTTTGACTACTATGCAGGGTTTCAGAGAAAAAAGAGTTACTTGGAAGTTGGAGGGGGGGGTTTGTTTCAATTGCCACATCTCAAGTGTGGAAGTTTCATTCAATCGACAAATAGGCGTTTGAGATGTCTATGAATGTAAAGCGCCTGTTTTGGATGGCATCACTCGTAGCAAAAAAAAAAAGTAAATAGAGAAATGGAATTCCCAACCTGGGATCCTTGACTGATCAGACAAATAAAGGAAATAGATAATCGCTCATTAAACCAATTTTAGAAAGGAAAAGTAGCCCCAGGGCTGCCTGGTGGTATCATGATAGTGCCCGAACTTAGAGAAGCTTGATGATCTTCTCAATGCTCTCCAGAAGGATATCAGCGTGGTGCTGCTGGAAGACCAGCATGGGGCGCAGGCGAATAGCCTGAGCACCGCTGCCACCAATGTTGATACCAACAGTCTTGGCCTTGGCGAGGAACTCGTCACGCTTGGGGGTGTCCCAGGCAATGAAGGTACCCTGGCCCTTACCACGCAGGTTCTGGAAGTGGGCGGGGTACTTCTGGGCCAGGCGGTCGAGACCAGCGTACAGGTAGTCACCAGTGACGCGGGTGTTCTCGACGAGGCCGAGACGCTCAACCTCCTCGATGATACCGCGGAAGATCAGAGCACGGGATGGGTCACCCATCCAGGTGTTGAACTGACGGTAAGGCTTGTTGGGGCGCAGAGCAGGGTTGCCGAAGTAGTAACCGGCAGTCTGGGCCTTCTTGGAGAAGGTGACCATGTCGGGGGAGAGGACAGGTTCCAGTGGTCGTGGGCCCAGAACTTACCGGTGGCACCGACACCAGTCTGGACCTCATCGACGATGAAGAGAACGTTGGTGCGCTTGGTGATGTCACGCAGGCCCTGGAAGAAAGCGGGCGAGGCGTGGTTGTCACCACCCTCGGACTGGATGGGCTCAACCATGACGGCAGCGACGGGGTTGTGGTACTCCTTGATGAGGCGCTCAACCTCCTCGAGGCAACGCTTCTCCTCAGCAGCGTTCTCCTGGACGTGCTCCTCGAGAGGGTACTTCAGGGTGGGGAAGGTGGCCTGGGGCCAGTCGAAGGCGGGGATATCCAGCTTGTGGATGGCCTTGGAGCGGGTGGTGGAGAGGGATCCGAAGAGACGGCCGTGGAAGGCAGACTTGAAGGATAGGATGGAGAGCTGGGGAGAACCGGGGCCCTGGTTGTTCATGGTGGACAGAAGCTCCTCCTCGGTGAACTCGACGTTGGGGCCACCACGCTGAAGCTGGCGGTAGTACATGAAAGCAGCCTTGTAGGCAGTCTCGTTGGCATCGGAACCAGCCATAGCGGTGAAGACCTGGTTCAGACCCTTGGGGGCAGCCTTGAGGATACCGGTGCGCAGGATCTGGGACCAGTCGGCAGAGGGGAAGTTACCCAGAGCAGGACGGTTGATCAACGAGGTGATCATCTCGTCGGACTGGGCAACCTGCTTGAGGTGGGGGTTGTTGTAACCAACGGGGATGGAGGCGATCTGAGCATAGACATCAAGCAGCTTGTTGCCATCGAGATCGGCGATGCTGGAATAAGGGTCAGCTCAATGCTCGCTACTCAATTCCTCCTCGAGATGTGTGTGAGGGGGTGGTGCGGGGAGGTGATATCATACTAGTTACCAATGGACTGCTGGTAGTCGGTGAGCATGTTCAAGCTGCGGACATCGAAGACCTCGTCGAGCTCGGCCGCAGCAGCCTTGTTCTTAGGGCCGGGGATGGCGGTCTTGAGCGAAGGAGCAGCGGGCTCATTGGGGAAGAAGGGCTTCTCAGCGGCTTGAAGGCGAGCGGTGGTTGAGAGAGCGCGAGCAGCGGGCACGCGGGCCACGGTGCGCAGCTTGGGGCTGCAGCGGAGGATAGAGGCCATTGTATGAATTAAGCAGATGTATGAGGAGAAAGAAAAGATTTAACGCGGGGCAGTCAAGATTTATAGATCAAGGACGTCTCGGAGAGATTGAGAGCTTTCCAAGCTGCTCTTTCCCCCGCGTTGATATGCGATGCAATGGCTGATTGGCGTTCGGCGGCGCGGACCAATCAGATGACAAAGATGGGCTGAGAATCGCCGAGACCAGCCCGAATTGGTGAGGTTGACCCACCTTCCGCTTGGAGTAGGTCTACGCTTTCCGCCTTTAATGTTAGTAACAGCTTTAGCAAAGACCTGGGGGAGAGGCTGCATGAGCCCCATTTTCTCCCATCGACTCCCTAAAATGGCGGTGTTGGCTCCAATTTTCGACTCACGTGGCCATTTGCCCCTGGGTCTTGACTCTTGAGATCCCTTGAAGGTCCTGTCAGGGCCGCCGATGTCATTGCAGATAAGCTCGGTCTTGGCAGGGTGATCACCTGGGCATCAAAGTTGTTATCGGGGATGCTGCAAGGGATTCAAGTTCAAGTTCAAAGCCTAGGGCTACGGTGTTTCTTCCTACGGATTATTGGTGTTGAAGTCAAAGTTGGCCTTTCAATTTTGTCTAGTAGTAGGTACCGTCCATATATTATTACGCTCACGGTGTATTGTTCAACTACCTAGTAGTAGTAGTAGTAGTAGTAGTAGTAGTAGTAGGAATATGTAAATCGTGTGGAACTTCAATATATCAACCGACACAATTTTGAACTTGAATTAGTTCGATTGCTAGACCCCATTATTTTAGCCATTGAAACTGATCCCACATGAACACATCCCCCAGGCCAATCTTATACTTAATTAACATAAGCTTGAATGATAGTATCCATTTCACTTGATACAATGGCAATTGAATCCGTCGGAGTCACATTCCTGTAGGTTATTCCGTTAGGGCCAAGTGGAAGGTGGGTCCACACAATCGTCAGCCGAAGATTCAGATAGCCACAAATCGAACCCCTTTCATACACCTGGGCTTGTGGTTTAGTGGTATAATACTCCCTTAGCATGGGAGTGGTCCGGGGTTCGATTCCCCGCGAGTCCATTTTTTGCTTCCTCAATCTCCTATCTATCTTCACAATTGTTCGAGTGTACGTCGATGTGTGTTGGTGCGGAGCGCCGGGTTGATTTTTTGTGTGAACTCAACTCGTTGGCCAATGAATGGAACGCCAAAGGGTGAGGTCCTTTCATTTTACTTTCACCTTCTTTCCATTCCTGTGCAAGGAAGTCTACTAAGTGGTGGGTGGTATACTCAACTCCAACTTTGACCTATCTACGTCGACCTACTACGTTAACCTATCTAAATTTTCTGCCATTTTCGCTACTCTTTGTGGGTTCGAATGAAGGATTTGCTCGTCATTTTTCTAAATGGCAAGCTGCACGATCGAAATTGATGTATCGAATTTAGTACCCAGGTGGAGGAACAAGCGTCATCGTGCAGGGTAAATCTCCGAACATCTGCCCCGCATTCATCTACTTGTAGGCCCTTAGCTAGGCAGAAGTCGACGATGACACTCATTTTCATTTAAAAATCTCGAGTTATGTGAAATGAGAATTAAAAAATAGATCAAATGCATATACATACAGGTATCATAATCGTTACATCCTAAGCAGGCTTGTCTAAACTTATACACAGTACTAGCTTTTTAAAGTCTACCCACCGAGATTCGAAACAGTATAATACTAACGGAACACGAAAGAAAAAAAAGCTGCGTGTTTATACAATAATTATCGCAAGTAATCAGTGAGGGTATCGTTCCTCGAACGGCGAGACGGCCGTCCGAGGTAATGAGCCAGAGGATTTATCGCTGGCGGCAGATGAGTAGACCGTGGCAGTCTGCTTCAATTCAATCCCATGGTCGGGAGAGCCAGTGCGAGTATTCTCGGTTGAGATATCATATGCATGGCCCATATTATTGTGATGAGCGAGTCTGGACTCGGTCCAGCTCTCCATCTCCACAGTTCGCATAATTTCGAATCGGTCACTTTCGTAATCGGCTTGACGTGAGTCGAGAGCGTGACCAACAACCATGTGCGAGTTACGAGAGCGGCTGGTCGAATTCCAAAGCTTTTGTGAACGACTGCGTTGGTTGTAAGAGTAGCCGACATTGCGGGTGGATTGCAAGAGACGAGGCAGCACAGCTGCAATGAGTGGCCGTAAGGCGGGGGCGGAGGAGCAGATCTATACCTACGTTAGTTTGGCTAGAATAATAGCAGCACAAATGTAAGGTGAGCTACATACCAAGCCTAGGTTGATTTCAATAGCGGCTGAAATGAGTACAGGCCATCCCATCCAGGTCGTATCGTAGCCGACAACAAATCTAGTAAAAATTAGCAAGATTATACCTTGAAAACATCCGATAAAGGCGGGACTCACGCCTGCCAAACAAAATATGTCCGGAAAGACCCAGCTATGTTGACAATAATTCCAACTCCGAAAATGGAAATGACGGCAAGACGTTGACGAGCAGGCAGCTTCAGACTCCAGATGAGCGGCATTGGCAGAGCGGTCACCAGGAAGTCGGTAAAAATATTGATGACGCTGGCAGCAAAGAGAATATCACCGCTGTTCATGCATTTGTGTTTATATTGAGGTTCGACGTTCCAATAAGCCTTGACAGGTCTAGATGATTGGTTAGGATGAGATTGAATTGAGATCCTCGAATGGCACTCACGAGCATTGGAAGATACTGAAAAAGGTAAAGAGAGTGCAGGTAGTTCCAACAAAAACCATTGAGCCGATGAAAGCCCAGTTGAAAACCTTATTGCTTCCCTTTCCAGCGCCTAGAAGACGTCGGCAGAACCATAAGAAGTGAGATCTTGGTCAAGGAAGATGACCAAGAGAACAGTATTTGGAAAACGAGGTTCATTTTCTGCACGGTAGGGAGCCAATCTAGTGGAACATCCCAGACGTGTCGATTCCAACCCCATACTTCTGTAGCGTACGAAGTAACCACGACCATGGCGACGGCGAAGAGGAGAGCGATCACAATGAGGATGTCATCCACACCAGTGCTGCAAGTAATGCGCAGACGGGTGTAAAGGCGGAGTCCAACAACGATTATAGCGAGAATAATGAATACGACGTTGATTATCATGGCCCCATGGCCGCGTGTGGTTGGGTTAACGTAGTTCGGCGTCCATGTCGCCAGGACGGCAGCGGGGGGAAGCTGCATAGTGGACGATATCGAAGCGTAGGCCAGCAATAGGTGGATAGAGCCTTGGAAGAGAGTGACTTTGTACTATGAAGAATCGCGCAAGGATTGTGGTTATGGACTATTGGTGTGTAACGACAGAGAACATTGTGACTGTAGTGCTTCCAGAGTAGTCGTATAGTGTTCGAAAAATGCCGGCCAGCGTCGCACCCCCGCTAGGGTCCTGGGTACACATATATTCAAGTACTCCGTACTCCGTACTAACAGTTAAGAGGCACCCAGAGCCGAGAACTAGGACCCATGAGAAATAAATTAAACTCTGGAGCAGACAGACTCACACCATGGTTGTTCCACATAACTCCGACGGCGATGAGCCGTGGGAACAATCTGCACGAGTTCGAAAGCAGCAAAACGACCGAGGCCAGCGGAGGCGACCGGTGTTGAAGGCAACACGATAGGTCGATCCAGAGCCCCAGAGTTCACACCCCGATCCACTTGAGGCGAGACCGATCTGATTCATAGGCTGTGAGAGGTTAAGCTTGTGAAAGGCGACTCCCGAACCCCTGGTGCTAGGCACGCATTGTTCAGTGTGTTAATTGCGCTTCGTGTTACTCCGGACATGGATTCAGCTAAAGACAAAGCCCCCCTATAGAGGCTTTTTGCATTCCCGAGCCATGCTCGTGGCGGAGAATTGTATCCCGCATGCCGCCAGGTGATGCCGAGGCGTTGCCACTTTGAAAACTTAACCCATAAATCAATTCATCTGCCCTTATGGAGTACTCGTACGGAATACGGAGTTATTCGCACCACAATTCAAGATCCTTAGCGAATTATTGTGTGCAGGGATCGGTAGACCTAGCGAGTCATCATTCTCCATTCTCCCTTCCCCATGTTCCATGCTCCACCCAAAGAAACAGGTTGCGCTGAACCAGGCGTGGACGGCATGAATTGCCCCTCGTGATTGGATACTAAGAGGTAGAAGTGATTTCGAATACACATTCCTTCTTGGCCGGGTGAACCATATACTGTAGTACTGTTGATTCACAAGCTGAAAATCCACGAACCAAACAAACAAAACCTCAACTGCCGGCTTTAGTTCAGGTGGAGGGCCCGAATCGGCTTTCAGAACAAGAATGGCCAAGTCGACTGATGCCCAGAGGTGGTCCACTCGGGAACCCACCTTTACGGAGTACAAATGCTGTAAATAATTTTCAGCCTTCCCGATCCTTTTACGAGTCATTGTTTGTTGATCCTGGCTGGGAATATCCATCTTATCTCTCTCTGAATCCGCTTTGAAGCGACTAGTGTAGCTAGTATGATCCAGCATGATCCACTGATGCTTCACCCGGCATCCTGGATGGGGTGAGATCTTCATTATAGGCTGAAAGTGTTGACCAACAGTCCGTGAGAGAGGTTTGTGGAGTTGAGACTGTAGTAAGTCAAGCTAAGCCAATCCATGATCGACGGTCGATGCCTACGGAGTACTGGTAGTACAGTATAACTGACATGATCGATTTTTAGGCGAGTCTTAAAAGGTTGATCATTTCCAAGGTTCTGGATATCTCCAGGCAAGGCCAGACCAAGCCACGCCAGGCTTCATAATTATGAAAATCACTATGGAAGGATTTATGGTTCAGTTCGAAATACTCGCGTCTCTCTATCTCATCTCGAATAGTAGACCAGCTAATTTTGCAGTTGGCGTGGAACCGGGCTTAATGCTCAAATTTGCGACCGACACATTTGACTCGCCTTCACCCACGGTTGGATGGAGATCCGCAGGCAATGCGGGGAGTAACCCCGACTTATGTATCATTAGATTCCTTTTATTATTATATATTTTTGATTTGACCGAGTCTATTTAATTCACTCAAAAAGCCGTTGAGATGGAATCTTGCATGATGGTTTCACCGCTGCAAGGGTAACTAAAATCATAAACATAGTTTTCTAGAAAATCAGAATCAGTGGCGGCCCAACGGAGAGTCCTCGGGTTGACGGCGAATTGGCTTCTGCCACTCGTCGCGTATAGCAGAAGCGAGGTAGGATCGTGGCATCTACTAGTAGCGATGCTGTAGCGAGATGGCCCGCGTTGAATGGACGGAAAGACATTACTCGTACTAGTACTCGTAGTATGTGGCGAAGTACCCCGCGGCATGTGAAAATGGAAATTTCTAGTCAATATCTACAAGTACATTAAGCAAGTGTGCATCCGTGCTTCTGTGCACTTCTAGAACATTGCATGGCCACGTTCAGAGCAGGGGTCTACATTCTCTACTGGATCATGCAAGTAAAAAGGGGGATACTACATATGCCACCTCCGAGTCGCACTGACGTTTCACCCTGTATAGTCCTGCGGAGGCGTATACTAGTGCGGCTTAGTGTGGGTTCCTAGTATATTGTCCTCGTGTCCTCCTTTCCGCATACCCAGAATTAGGTTCGATCGGGGCTTCATGTATAAAAAAGGGCTTTTGGTGCGATTGAGTGATGTCCTTCATTTCAGAACAGGATATGCACCCCCCAAATCGTTTCAACGTGTCTGAAACAAAACAGTTCACCAGGCTGTTGTTGCGTATCAGGACCCATCGATGCTAAACAACAACCCCTGCTACCAAAGTTAATTAGTACATAACTCGGCTTTCTTCGATTCGAGTCCTAGAATTGAGTACTCCCGTCAATATGGTGTCGCGTGACCATGAGTTCCTGCATAAAATGGGCCTGGAGGGCTCCACCAACGCAAATAATGAGACTTGATTATTATTGTTTCCCATTAATCTTCTGTCCGGGTTCAAGGTTATGAGACCGAGGTTCTTATGGTAGGTAGTATGGTTCATTGTGAGAAAAAATAGTCCATAGCAGACCTAGCGCTAAACAAAAGATCGCTATTACGCACCAATCTAAGGGGACAGAAAGAAAATCAAACATCTAATTCCGACCAACACCCGATGAAACCATCGGCCGCATATTCCCTTCCCCCATAGCCCTGAGCCTCCGACTATCCTTTTTCTGCTGAAGTCGAGACTGTGCTGCTGCAACACGCTCCGGTGAGATGAGCTCTCTGCTCACATCGGCCAGACCGGTTCGTCTACCCCCCTCGGTCCCCTTCGGAAATTGTGTGTCCGGCATATGTGCCAGTATGAGAGTTTGGAAGACCCGAGATATTGTCGAGTGTGGATCGGATGTGAGGGCGGGACCGGGCTGTGTGCCCGGGCTGAGTTCCGTTGTTTTCGGAATCATGTCGATATAATGAGCGATATGATCGCTGTTTATCGCCCGTGGGTTGATGGGCGTGTGTTTTGAGATTGCGATCGAGAGACTTGAGCGGGGCGGTATCGTGAGACGAGGTGATGATGGGATCCTTGTCAAATTGGTACGATTTCGGGCGTGGTTTGTCCAAGATTTCATGGAGGTAGTGTGTGACTTCGGCGTCATCGGCCGTGATTTTCTGAGTTGCGCGTTTCAAGTCGAATGTACCAGTGGTGGCATTTCGCGTATGCCGTGTCTTGGTCCGGGGACTTGGGCTGAGTGGTGCCTCAATGTCCTCGGTGGCTTCTTCAATCTCTGGATGATCCGGTTCTGCGAAATCATGGATTTGCACACCCGTGTGGTCCTTTCGTGGGCTAAAGGTATGCCGTTGTTGAGGCATCAGCGCGGGAATGCGCTCTGCATTGGTGGCCCTCAATTTCAACGTATCAATTTGGCTTTGCATGCGGCGACGCTCCTCGTCGAAACTAGACCTCAGTGCATCTTCCGATTCACGACGCTCCTGGGTAACCTTCTTTAGTCGTTCACGATACTCCTGGACTCGACCTTCCAGCTTGATTTCTCTCTGCCTGAATCTGGTTTCTTTATCCTTGCGGCGGCCTTCATACCGTGACATTTCCTGTTTGACGCGCGCCATGGTCTGTTTAAGGGAATGGTTCTCCTTCTCGAGATCCTGTGCCTTCTTCTCCGAACTTTGGGCAAGACTCTGAAGCTCCTGGAGATCTGGGTTCTGAGTTGGCTTCTGCTGGCGCATCAGCTCCTCGATTTTGGCGTTGGCCTGTTTCAACTCCTGCTGTGCCTTGAGAAGCTCTCCAGACGTGTCTGCAGGCGGTGACTTCTTGGCTGGCTCGCTGAGTGTTGCGGTATTGTCACCCACCACGCCCTGCTGCTCGAGACTCTTGCGTAACGAAGAGACCTGCTGCTTATATTGCAGGGCTAGGGTGGTCTGCCTGCTGAGGTCATGTATCAAGTCCTCTTTATTTGCTTTCGAGTTCTCCCCTACAATTGTGGCGGCAAGACGCGACACCTGGCGTTCCATATCCGCCACTTTCTCTTCTTCTTCGCGCAGCTTATCTGCCAGTCGTAGGGCCTCAGTGTCTTTCTTGCGCGCGTAGGATTTGGCAACCGATCGGTAGTGGATGAGTGTTTTGATTTCACGATTGGTACGCGCTCGGTAGTTGTCGAATTCCGTCTTCCAATATTTCCCTGACTCCGATCGTGGATCTTCGAGATTGACGGTGATGTCGTCGGCGCTGGAGTCTTCCTTCATCTGGACGCGGGCGGCGGACTTCGAAGGCGAAGTCTCTGCCCCCTCGGCATTTTTGGACGCGTTGTCGCGGGCATCCATAAGTGTCTGCGTGAGTTGACTGCGCGGTCTTCCTTCGGCGGAGCCTGACATCCACTGAGCAGTGAGGTTGCCCGCAGGGTTGGGAGGTGTTTTCACCACCTTGGTCGATTGACTGTCGCGTTTCCCCTCGTTATCCACCACCCCGTCGCCAAACGAGACGGTTTTGCGTCGGTTGGAGATTGTTCCGGGCGTGACGAGGATACTTTTGGTAGGGGAGCCCGCGGGGTTGAAAAGAGAGTCGTCCTGTTTTGGGTCTTCCTTTTCGGCTTGGACGGGGACAGGAATTGGGATAGAATTGGTGGAATCACCGTTACTGCGGTAATGGGCGGGTTTATTGAGATCAGAAACCTGATCCTTCTCCTCTTCAGCGCCAGGGGTGCCAAACAAGGCGCTCTTGAAGGCGCGAATCGCAAACACGGGAGCTGGGGTTTCGGGCGGCTCCAGGAGTTTAGAGGTGTCTGGACGAGACCGCGTTAGTTCTTGACAAGATTGAAGTGTAGAGTGGCAGAGGATGACCAACCTGTAGCCTCAGGGCCCTCGTTCCCTTTCATCCAGTCCAACATAGTGGAAGATGGCGGAGGAGAAGAAAGTTTGTTTACAAGGTCGACGCGTGATGGGGACTGGAGGAACTTCGGGAAGCTCAGCTTATCGATAGGACTCAACCCTCCACCAAGGGTCAGCACAGAGTGGACTTGGCGTCAGCACAAGGCAGATCTTCCCAAAAAACCTTGATTAGGTCGTTGCCTGGATGGTGACTCTTTCTTTCGAGGTTCAATTTAAGATATAAAAGCTGATGTGTGCGTGAACCCTAGCATTGAAACCCCCTTGCTCATTGATTACTTCCATACTCCATACTGGAAAAACTCCACTCTATACTTCCCAGTTCCAACTCCACTCAATCAAACAACTTGAACCTTGGAACATGGTTCTTTCACAATCCTCTGTTCTCCGTCTGGCTGCCACTGCTTTTGGTACGATCTTTATTGGATTTGGAATCAATGCCATCTTGCGTCCGGACCACGCCTTGACATTCTTCGAGTTTGCACCGCCAGCTGACGCGATTGATCATCGATTGGTGGGTAGCCTGATGGCCGTGTATGGAATCCGGGATATATTCATGGGGCTGGCCATCTATGCCGCCACCTTCTGCGGCACCTCCAAATCCTTGGGATGGACATTGATCTCGGCCAGTGCGGTTGCAGCGGGCGATGGCGCGGTGTGTTGGAGCCACGGGCAAGGCGAGTGGAACCATTGGGGGTATGCGCCGATGATCACGGTGGTTGGCAGTCTCTTGCTGGGTATTTTTGATCGTGCATGAGTAGTGCTCGTGTAGTACTTGTGCCAATTGTACGTAACTCCACATTGGGCAGGGTACCTACTAGCAGGGACTCGAGTCGTTGACCGCTTCTCTACATGGTAGGCACATGGCATGGTACGAGTACAGGCAAAGGGAATCAAAGGAAGGGAAGCCAAAGCAAAATGGAATGAGATTATGTTATGAACTGAATTGATTGAGTACACCGTAGTACACCGTAGTACACCGTAGTTATTGTATCATTATGGAGTCCTCTGTCCTCCATTCCATACTTCTCCACTCCGCGATGGCAAAGGGCGTACCTGACCGCCTGTTAGACCAAGGTACTACTTCCCAATGACACTGACAATCTCCAGAACCCAACCACTTCTTTCTTCTTGGCCCAACCCCAAATCACCCCATCTCCCTCATAATGTCCCTTAATCCCCGGATGTAGGGCGACTTCGCCACGCCCCGCGATGCCTCCCAAACAGAAGAAAGCATCCCGCGAGAAAAAGCAAAACCAAAAGGATCTCCAAAAGCAAACCTCTTCCGACGACTCTTCTCTAACATCCCCCGTCATTGCAACCACCAATTACCGTGAAATTCACCAACTCGAGGTCGAAGCCCTGCGCTCGATCTACGGAGACGATTACGAAGATGTCGAGACGCGACGTTCCGCATGGCAGGTGGGTGTGAATCGTTAATCTTGAACTCTTTCTTCCCCGCCAGTTGGGCCCGCACTAAGACTAATCGCCAGCAATCCTCCGACTTGACCTTTAAACTCAACCTACGTGCTTCTTCAAATCCGGACGTTCGCCTCGTACTCCTTGTCGAATTGCCCGCCACTTATCCAAAGACCGTACCGAACCTTTCTTTAGAAAACCTCACCGACTTTCGCGATGGTGCCCAATCGCGAATCCAGGAAATCATTCGCAGCAAACCAAAAACCCTTCTCGGCAGTGAGATGATATACGAGCTGGCAGTCTCAATACAAGACGTTTTGGAAGATGTTGCCCAAGCACGTGAGCAGGACAAGGATCTCCCCAGCCTGGAGGAGGAGCGCATTGAACAGAAAGCCGCCGCCGTTCAGCGGGCCGAATTGGAAAAGCAAGAGGAATTGCGCAAACAAGAAGCTGCCTCTGCTGAGGAAGAGCGTGCTTTGCAGGAGATGCTTCAAGATAAAATGCGACAACGGAATAAGGCTCGGATTATGCGACGGAAGAGCCGAACTAGCGGCATGGATTCCAGCGATGTTGGCGATCTCGTGGAGTCTACCCCCGGCGCAATCTCCTTTGACCCACCATTGGCTGTTAATGACACCGATGAGCAGCTATTGGTGTTCCGTGCCGTGCATGGGAAGACATTGGTACAAGATGGCCAGGACAAGAAGACATTTACCGTGCGACCTCTAGTCTCTGAAGGTCGATGCCACGTCCCGCTCCTTGTACTGAAAGAGATTTTCTTGGAGGAGAAAGCCTCGAACACCCTTGCATTTCGAGAACAGATGCGAACTAGTGAGGACAAGTTGGAGGCCTTGAAACGACTTCGACACCCTAACCTGATCGAGTTTGTTGGTTTCAAGATAATTCGCCCCATCACCCAGTTCAATTCGTCAGACAACTCTTGGACGGTCTTTACTCTCTTGGAATTTGCAAATAAAGGCTCGCTCTTAGAGCTACTTGACATTGTAGGCACCGTTGCTGCCGAAACTCTTCGAGGTTGGATGATTCAGCTTTTAGAGGCCCTGGAGTTTTACCACCGCAGTGGATTTGTCCATGGAAATATTCACTGTGGCCGTGTCATGCTTTGCAGGACAGCCTCTGGAGGCACAATTGTCAAACTGCAGTCCAGCGTGGAAGAGGCTCTACCAGACTCTCCCGGTGGACGACGTTCATTGACCACGTCTAAGTCACCGCTCTGGCTGCCTCCAGAGTTGACCGAAGACACGCCACCGACCATGAAGACTGATGTCTGGGACCTTGGAATTGTCCTTCTGCAGATGGCCTTTGGCAAAGATGTACTTTTGAGATACACATCGGCTAACCAACTGATGATATCGTTGGGGCTGTCCCCACCGTTACAAGATCTTTTGCGAGAGTTTTTCCGGCCGGACCCTAGGAAACGTCCAACGGCCTTTCAGCTTCAACCGTCGGAGTTTTTCCGAGTAGATGCACCTTTGACTATGCGGGACAGGTCTTCCAATTCGGTTTCTCTGCAGAGGCGACCACGCTTAGACTCCTTTGGAGCCATCCCTGTCTTCTCGCGTTATCACCAAGACTTCGATGAAGCTGGTCATCTGGGACGAGGTGGATTTGGTCAAGTTGTGAAGGCTCGAAATAAACTTGATGGCCGTTTCTACGCCGTGAAAAAGATTTCGCAGACCTCGGCCATGTCGTTGAAAGATACACTTTCTGAAATCATGCTGCTATCGCGTCTGAACCATCCCTATGTTGTCAGATATTACACTGCTTGGCTGGAGGAAGATTTCAACCATGTTGAGGAGGCTATCTCCTCTACTGAAGGCGACCCATATGCTAGCCAGGATCATGGAGGATTCAGTACCGGTGGTCTCGACTTTATCAGCTCTAGTGGATATCCGAAGATTGAGTTTGCAGCATCGGACAGTGATGATGATAATGAGGGGACTCTATCCGATCGTGGAACAGGAGAGTATAATCGTACCTTCGATGAAACGGGAAGTGCAGAAGACGCCGAGCCCAGTGGAACACGGTCCGGTTCCAACGGAAGACCTGTTTTGACTACTCTGTACATTCAAATGGAGTACTGTGAGAAACATGTAAGTTGAGGAAAACAATAACCACCATCCTCGGTTCAAACTAACCTTGGTACTTTATTAGACACTGCGTGATTTGATCAGGAACGGCTTATACGACGATATTGATCGCTCTTGGCGCCTCTTCCGGCAGATCTTGGACGGTCTGAGCCATATACATAGCCATGGAATTATCCATCGCGATCTCAAACCCGATAACATATTCATTGATGTTGCCAATAACCCCCGAATTGGTGATTTTGGTCTCGCTACAAGCGGCCAATTTATGACGGCGGTACGTTCGTCTGCGGCGGCAGATTTCGAAGGAAATTTTACGCGCAGCCTGGGCACAACATACTATGTTGCCCCAGAGATGAAGTCCGGGTTCTCGGGACACTATAATGAGAAGGTTGATATGTTCTCGCTAGGTGTCATTTTCTTCGAAATGTGTCATCCTTTGCCAACAGGTATGGAGCGTGATCAAACGCTGCGGGAGATCCGAGAAACGAACCATGTACTCCCGGTTACTTTCCAACAATCGGAGAAGGTTGTTCAGGGCCAGATTATCGAATCTCTTCTAAGCCATACGCAGAAGTGAGCGACCGACTGCGTCGGAGCTTCTGTCGAGTGGTAAGATCCCCCTTCAAGTTGAAGAGGAGACCTTTAGAAGGGCCATCGTACACTTGCTGTCGGATCCAAATTCCCCCCGACTACAAGAAGATTCTTTCTGCCATTTTTTTCGCAATCCCGAAAAAAGTTCGAGGACATTGCGTGGGATATGGACTCCCATGGAGTGCCAGCCGCAAATGAGCTTCTTGTGCAGGGGCTTGTCAAGAAGAAACTCACCTCTATTTTCCGACGACACGGGCAGTGGAATCAACGAGACAAATGTTGTTTCCGCGGTCTCAGCATTACTCTGCCGGTGCAGTGCGTCTGCTGGATTCGTCAGGAAATCTTCTTCAACTGCCCTTCGACCTCACGGTACCAAATGCACGAGCGATTCCTCGCCAAGATCCATCTCTGGAGAAGACGTTTGCTTTTGGCACCGTTTACAGAGAATCAACCCACGGCAGTGAGCCTCGCACGCACCGGGAAGTTGATTTTGATATCGTGTCGTACAACACCTTAGATCTAGCGCTCAAGGAGGCTGAAGTGATCAAGGTCCTTGACGAGATCATTGAAGAATTTCCGCCACTTCGGTCAGCGAATATGTGCTTCCTAGTCAATCATTCGGATCTTCTTCAACTTATCATGGAGTTCTGTCGCATGACGCCATCTCAGATTCCCCTCGCGAAGGAAGTCATCAGCAAGTTGAATGTCGGCAAATGGACCATGCAAAAGATTCGAAGTGAGCTTCGGTCTCCAGCAATCGGCGTTGCGTCGACCTCGTTAGATGATCTTGCTCGGTTTGATTTCAGGGGTATGTTACGCAGTAAACTCACTTTTTCTGTTCCTTTCGACTAACTCCCTCTAGGCACTCCCAAAGAAACCTTGCGTAAGATGCAAGTTATCATGGAAGGAACGGAATTTGCCGAGCGACTTCCCCCTATCTTCGCCCGGCTGAATGTACTCATGACATACCTGCAATGCTTTGGCGTACAGCGCAGAGTCTTTGTCAACCCGTTGAGCAGTTTGCACGACAAGTTTTACCGGGGGAGTATTCTATTCCAATGCGTTTTCGACACCAAACGCCGTGATGTATTCGCTGCAGGTGGCCGCTATGACCGATTAATTCAAGATTTTGCACCTAAATCTCTGTCAAATCGTCCACAATCTCACGCAGTGGGATTCAATCTCAGTTCTGATAAGTTGGGCTCGTCTATGAGGAGTATCTCAAGTCAAAGGCCCCTCCAAAAGATGCCGAATCTGGCGCTGAACTGTATTGGACAACTCGCAGGGTATGTTTCCATCTCAGCAACTTGAAAAGCGTGCAATTTACTGACTCAAGCTTAGTGTGATGTTCTCGTCGCAAGCTTTGACCCCACAGTCCTCCGGACGACAGCCGTAAAACTCATCGAAGACCTCTGGGGAAATGGTATCAGCGCAGAACTTGCAGTCGATTCCTCTTCCATCGAAGAGTTGATTGCTAAGTACAAAGACAACAACCACCGCTGGATCGTGATCGCGAAACAAGATAGCAAAGAGCGTGGCTTCAAAGTGCGAAACCTCGTCCGCAAAGAAGAGTTTGACATTCGCAACACCGAGCTTGTACCCTGGCTTCGATCTGAGGTACAAGCACGACATCAACGCGAAGGGAATGCGGATGCCCGCCAGGCTCGCCTACCAGGACAGCAGGATCCATTCCTGACCAACGAAAGAGAGAGGGCCAATGATGTGCGCATTCTTGTCCCACAACATCGAAGCAAAAAGACCAATCGTCGAAATATTGTCGAGTCCGGTATTGATCCCAAGTCGACGCCATTTGTATCGTCCCATTACTAACTTGAAAACAGCTCTCTTCAGCGCACGCGAGATCGCCGAAAACTCAGCGAACGCCCCAGTCGTTGCACTTGACACGCGCGACGATGTCCTCGACTCCATTCGCGACACTCGCCTTTCTGACCCTGACAGCTGGCGCACCGTCATCCAAAACGCACCCCTGACAGAGCGGAAATATCTCGGTCAGGTGTACGATTTGCTCGCCGATTTGGCTTCTGAAATTCGCGCGAGTGGTGGAGCGGACGGCTACACAAATGCTTTCATCTACAACTACCGCACCGGTTCGTGCGTGTACTATGACCTCGGCCCTACTAGCGACAGGTAATTTCACCAGGGGGTGAAATTCATCGGGAGGAGTTTATTCTGTGATATTTTTTTTTCTCTGGTGCATATTTGGAATTCCCTTACTACTTGCATAAAACCTCATGTATCGGCAGTCTGACCTGTTTATACCTTCTTGCTTACCGCCTCCCCTCCCCTCTCACTCAACACCCTACCTACCATCCTTGTCATGTTTTAGCGAGTCCGGGAGATACCCCGTTATGAATAACGCCAATATTAACGAAGATTGCATGGGAGGGCAATAGTTTCATCTTTTTGAGGTATCGCTGATATTATACATAAAATGGGTTCTGTTTTTGCATCAAGTATGTACGCAGAGCCTTGCTGCGCTACAAACATCTAGTCACTATCGTCATCAGACCCGTAGCCAACCAAGGGACCAGAGCTCTTCGGCGCAGCCTGGGTCGTCACATTCCCACCCGCTAGTCCGCGCAAGGCTGCCACAGTTGAACTGGAGAAGATTCCGTTCTCGGGCTGTGCGGGCTCAGCCGCGGGTGGTGCGGCTTCAATCATTTGAGCTTGCTCCGGGGCCTCGAGTTGGGCCGCAGGTGCTGATGCCTCTAGCTGCCGGGTCCGCGCGTGCCAGACATCATCGGGTACGTCGTATCCGTTCAATCCAAAGCTACCCTCGATCTTCTTCCGCTTTCGGGCCTCGGGGTCCCGGCCCTCGATTTCCGCAACGAATGCCTCTGGAGTGCGCGTCGAATGGCCTCGGCGGCTTGCTCTTCTAACCGGCGGGCCTCGCGCTTTTGTGCCATTGGGTTGGGGTCAACTGTTGCCCAGCGGACATTCAGAATTTCCTCTGGATGCTGTTAGCAGGGAAATTGAGATGTTAATTTAGGAGTTTCTTACCATGATCAAGAGCCTGTTGATGCATGGCTTCCTGTTGTTCTGTGTTAAAATATCCCTTTGATAGTAATATTGGGACAATTCTTCCGTACCTTTGCGAATTGGGCATTTGCCTCTGTTCAATGAGATTAGTATGTTGGGCATAAAGAGAGATTGGACGGGATATTCTCACCATTTGAATATGTAACGAAGCCAATTCCTCTGCCTGTCAAAACACGGGATCGTTCCTGTTATGTGTTAGAAAAGACGGGTTATTCGGTGTCGATAGAGGGAACGAACAATTTGGCCCCATTCACTGAAGTGTCTAGACACCACCTCCTCTGCATGACGTTAGTAAGAGCATCATAGCTATAACTGCAAAAGAACATACCAATATCATCCGTCACATGGATTCTTCCGACGTAAAGAACACGATTTTGTCCTGTGATTTTGTTAGCGACCCGATTGAAGAGCTTCGGCCTTTTTAACAGTACGTACGTTGGAAACTTCCAACACCGCCCATATCATCACGATAATCCGAGAATTTTTCCCTGTAAAGAGGTTAAAAAGAGCCCGCAAGATCCTCCCGATCGGGTATAAAATCCACGCACCTGCCAAAACAGTCGGTATTCGGTTGATACAAATCGTGAATTCCAGGCAGGCGGTGCAAGTATTCGCAATCGGCCCCCTTGTGGCACACGCCTCGAGCGAAGTGAACTAAAAAAAACCATATCAGCATCAAAAAGACAAAAGACGCAGCGTTATTCCTGGAAACCTACCGCAGAAGAAAGCTCCTGGTGTCCGATCGGCACGGGTGTATCCAGCATCTTTGGCAATCGAGCATCGACCGGGAGCGGGCTTGTTCAAGCTGTGCTGCTCATCCCCTCTCTGCCCACCCTCATGCTTTGAGTACCAGATGTTCCACTGTAGTCCAGACTGTGTTGAGGGATCCGCCTTCGCAACTGAGGGATCTGCTTGAACGCGCGCAGGACGCTTCTTCCTTCTGATGATCTTCTTGACTTTCTTTGTCGATTCGAGCTGCTGCTCTTCGTTTGGCGCATTTGTGGGTTCGGACTCGGTCGCGACCAGCGCGTCGGGCGCGGGCTCTGCTATATCGGCCATGGCTTGGGTTTGTTGTAAGGTTTGCAGCGTTGGAGAGCTGAGGCGAGGCGATTCGATTCAATCGAGAGAGATGCGCGGGCGGCAAAAAGTTTGGGTGTCCCGATTTAGGTAGGCGGTCGAGTGTGGTCTTGGCGTCTCCGAGCATTGGAACTTCCGCCGCGGATTTTTGATATCACGAGCGATTGAAGTCCTGCAATTGATCTGGTTGGATTGAGAGGGAAAATATTCGTCCAAAGTCTGAGATAACTGTCACTAGCTCGGCATATCACTTTCTACGCCAGAAAGCGGCGACCATACACCTCGTGTGAGAGAACAGGCGAAAAGCCTCCACAACCGCCACAATGGTGAACATTACGGAGAAGATCAAAGAGTACGAGCGTCGATTTTGTCTTGTGTTAATTTTCATTTACTGAGACTTCTTCTAGGATCGAGGATGAGATGCGACGGACGCAGAGTGAGTTAATACTGGCCAAAATTTGCACTGAACACCCCACTAACAATGCCCCGCAGAGAACAAGGCGACAGGTATGATGTCGAGAAAAAAAAAAACAAGTGACCACCCGTTGGATTTTATGCTAATACGATGAACTTCAGAGTATCATTTGGGTCTATTGAAAGGGTGTGTATCTATAGTTTCCCAGCAGAAGAGTATCCAGCTGATGAATGCAGAAAACTGGCCCGTCTTCGAGCCCAGTTGCTTGAACCCGCTGCCGGTGCAGGCTCTGGTGGTGGCGCTGGTTTTGATGTTAGCAAGAGTGGTGATGCGCGTGTTGCGCTGGTTGGTTTTCCCTCCGTCGGAAAGTCTACTTTCCTATCGAAGATCACCAAGACCAAGTCCGAGGCGGCTGCATACTCTTTCACCACGTTGACGGCTATCCCTGGTGTGCTCGAATACGGCGGCGCCGAGATCCAGATTTTGGATTTGCCTGGTATTATTGAGGGTGCCTCCGAGGGTAAGGGTCGTGGACGTCAAGTCATCTCCGCAGCCAAGGTACGTGATGTCCTATACTTCCTATACGGAGGAAGGGTCAACCAATTTCTAACCTGGCTCTCAATGGCTGGACAGACTAGTGATTTGATTCTCATGGTCCTGGATGCTACAAAGCGTGCCGAGCAGCGTGCTCTTCTCGAGGCTGAACTGGATGCAGTGGGCATTCGACTTAACAAAGAGCCCCCGAACATCTATCTCAAGATTAAGAATGCCGGTGGCATGAAGATTACCTTCCAAACACCGCCGAAGTACCTGGATGAAAAGATGATCTACAACGTCATGCGTGACTACAAGCTTCTCAACTGCGAAATTCTGGTGCGAGATGAAAATGGTGTGTTACGATTCCAGAATTATTCCATGTCAAAGCTATACTGACAATCCCAGCCACAATCGATGACTTTATCGATGTAATTATGAAGGATCACCGCAAGTATATTCGCTGGTATGTCCATTCCACCTTGGTTCATTCCTTGAATACAGATACTGACGCCCAGCCAGCTTATACGTTTATAACAAAATTGACGGCATCAGCTTGGAGTTCTTGGACCAACTGGCCCGCGAGCCGTACACAGCCGTCATGAGTTGTGAGCTCGATCTTGGCGTGCAGGAGGTCGTGGAACGTATCTGGAAGGAACTCAGACTGATGCGGTTATACACGAAGAGGTGGGTTGCCAATCTTACTTTCCCCAATTTCGAGAATATCACATTCCTAACTCATCTACAGAAAGGGAGTTGATCCCGACTTCAGCGAAGCTATGATCGTTCGTCGGGACTCGAGCATCGAGGACGTTTGTGACTCTATTCACCGCACATTGAAGGATACCTTCAAGCACGCCTTGGTATGGGGTGCTAGCGCTCGTCACGTCCCGCAGCGCGTGGGATTGGGACACATGGTGGCCGACGAGGATGTGGTGTCGATTGTAGCGAAATAGAGAAACTGCAGTTCAGGCAGATGTTTTACGAATTGAGAAAAAGATTCAAGTCTATTGATGTGAAATTGCATGTACGATCAAGATCAACTATGAACATATGAACAAGATAAAAAGCAGTTGCCGATTCCAAGATATAACCTAACCAGAACTCCCCGGACCAATTCCCTAAGACATTTATGCGGCGGCGGCGGCAGCAGCAGCGGCAGCGGCCACGTTCTGCATGCCAATGGTCGGCTGGACGCCGACACGTTCCTTGGCAAGCAGATCGACCAGCATGGGGCTGGGGCGGCTGTCACGCTGAGGGTACAGACCGGCCTGGCTGTGCTTGTACTTGAGCACGCTGTCGAGGTAGATGTCGAAGAGGTAGGAAGAGTCGAGGGGACCGCCCTTGGCCTCGGGGTGGAACTGGGTGCTGAAGATGGGACGAGACTTGTGAATCATGCCTTCGTTGCTAGCATCGTTCAGGTTGGTGAAGTACGGCTTCCAGTCCGAGGGCAGGGTGGAAGCGTCAACAGCATAGCCGTGGTTCTGGCTGGTGATGTGGCAGCGACCAGTGCTCAGGTCCAGAGCCGGGATGTTGTGAGCCCGGTTACCGTACTTGAGCTTGATGGTGCTAGCACCGGCAGCCAGAGCCAGCAGCTGGTGACCCAGGCAAATACCGAAGATGGGGACCTGGGAAGACTCCATCAGGCGCTGCAGGTGGAAGACAGTGTCCTGGCAGTGAGTAGGGTCACCGGGGCCGTTGGAGATGAAGACACCATCGAAGTGGTGGGCCACCTTGTGGATGGGGTAGTCGAAGGGGAAGACGGTGACACTAGAGCCACGGCCAACCAGGCTCCGCAGGATATTCTCTTTAACACCGCAGTCGATCACAGCAACGTGCGAGGTGGGATCGGCAGCGCTGATGTGGAAGGGCTGCTTGGTGCTGACCTGACGCACCAGGTGGATCTGTTCGGGATCGGTGAAAGCCTCGTCCTCGTTGGCGTCGTACTCCTCGCCAACAGTGATCTTGGCCAGGGACGAACCCTGCTCACGCAGATAGGTGACGATGGCACGAGTGTCGACACCAGAGATGGCGGGAACACCCTCACGGGCACACCACTCACCCAGACTCTCAACGGCAGTCCAGTGGCTGTACTGCTCGGCGACATCGGCGACGACAACACCGGCCGCCTGGAGGTTGGGGGACTCGAAGTACTTGAGAAGGCCATTGACGTCTTTCTCGGCCGAGGGAACACCGTAGTTACCGATGAGAGGCTGAGTGAAGACCAGAATCTGGCCACGGTAGGAGGGATCGGTGAGAGACTCGGGGTATCCGACCAGAGAGGTGGTGAAGACGGCCTCGCCGGAGATGTTGGAGCGAGCACCGAACGACTTGCCGGTGAACATGGGGCCATCACGAATGGTGAAGGTAGCAGGCTCCATGGGAGCCCGCTGACGAACAGTAGCCATAAAGCGAGCCTGGACGGGCGTCTTCATAGAGGCGAAGGCGCCGGCCCGGGCAGGCATGGCCTTAAAGAGGTTGGTGAACATTTTTTGATTGTAGAGAGAAGAATTAAACGGTTGTATGGGTAGTCAATTCAGTTCTTGGAGGCTTTCCAAAGGTGGTCCGAGATATAGTCCTGAGGAAGGGTGTTATGTTAGTTGGGATGCACTCGGAATAAACATGGATGAACAGTGGAAAGGGACAACAACGCACCTGGGAGGTGAAGATTGAGGGTGCCAAACACATAAGCGCGACTGAAGGTATAGCAGTCAAAGAAGAGGGGGGTTGGGAAGAAAAGTTCAGGTCGACATGAGTGGAGTTTTAAAGTTGGGCTTGGAAAGGAGGATGGAAACTGGAGAGGAGAGGAGAAAGAAGTTGGGGGAAGAAAGAAAATTGAACGCTTGACTCAGTGCGGGCACGTGCCTCACCGACTCCGGCGTGGCCAATCAGAAGAGCGGGCCGATATCGGTTGGCCCGGCTGAGTCATCACATATTCAGGTCACCAATGACATTTCACTTATTGAGGTACATCTATGTACTCCATACATACGGAGTACTGTATGTACTATCTAACTCAATTAAGAAATTCGAGCAAAAATTGATATGTGGTTGCAGGTACAACTGCAGCTGCATTGCTGTGCAGTTGCACACCGCCAGTAGAAGTGGCTGGGTGACCCGCCGGCTCTTTACCTACGCAGGACTCCGTACTTCGCGTACTCGTAGCTGTTTGGAAACTGCCTACTCGGTGTATTTTGAATATCGTGTCACGTCAAGGACGGTTCATTTATCAATGGTATGGTGCCTTTAAATACCAGCACTATGAAATCTGAACAGCCCCTCCCTTCCAAGAGATATAATTTCGGCCCGGGCATCGTGCAGAACCCGACAGAACGCATTGCTAAACGCAATTACCTTGATCTCACTAGTGGCCGCCGGGCAGATAGCGAACGGCGACAAACCCACTTTTTATCCACATTTCTGCTCACCGCGAGATAGCTGAAAGCCATTGAGGGTCCAGCGAGACAATTGGGTGAGGTAATGTGCCACCATGATCGTCTACCGCTATCTTACCGTGGGTCTGGCAATCCTCGCCCCAGCAGTCAGTCGGGCTACGAGTACGCAGCAGCCTCTCGACAAACCCGGATGTGATGGATCAGGTCTGATCGACCCGGATGGTCATGACCCCTGCAGCGGCGATGGACTCATTAACGACCCTGCCCCTGGTCATTCGGGCCACCGTGAGGGCTTCCAGTTCGAGAACCCGTCCACTCATTGTCGCTTTGTATCACAGATGCACATATGGGATGCCTTCAAGGACCTCGAGAAAGACATGAGTAAATTATTCACACTGATAAACAAGGATGTCAAATTTACTGTGGTCGGCCATCACCCCATCGCTGGACGGTATCATGACCTGCTGCATTTCTACGTGAACGCCCTGCGTCGGGTGAGTGTGCTTTTCTATGACCACGCCGACAAGTTCGAGATCCACCCTAAGGCTATTCACGGCGGGTGCAATAGTGCTTGGTCGGTCGAGGAGATTCAGTTCAAGGGAGTGATGAACTCTGGTAGGTGTGATGCGGTGTGGTGTGGTGTGGTGTGGTGTGGTGTGGTGTGGTGTGGTGTGGTGTGCAGTGGTCTGCATTCCAGGCTGATTGTCTTGCAGGGGATCAATTTGACATTGTCAATGTATGGGTGACCAGGTGGGATCATAACAAGCAGATGGTCGAAATCCGCACGTATATTGATGCACCGTGCATTACGGACGCACTACACAAGAACGAGATCTGGTGGAATGGGACGAGCGAGCGAGATAACCTGCAGTACATGCCTGGCCCAGCAGGAATGCCGAATCTTGAAGCGCTAGAGGATCTCATGGGCTACCCAGACGGACGTAGGTATAATTTAAATGAGCCGAGATGAGGGTCAAGATGAATTTGAATCATATCAGGATCGGAATGTAGATGAGTTATGTATTCATTCCATGTATCCTATCCAATTTCTCACTCTGTAGCACCACAACTATTTGTACTCCGCCCAAGCCGAACCTTGGAAGCCGACATCTCCCCGGACTCTTGGCGATCCTCCCACTTTCTCCATCAAAGCAATGGCCGACTCCAAGCTGCGCAAACGCTCTCGCGCGGCCTGTCTTTTATGCCAGTCACGGAAGAGGAAATGCTCAGGCGATCAGCCATGCTCAACTTGCACTCAGCTTGGCGCGTCGTGCCAATTCAACCCCACACCCCGCAAGAAGCACAGTAGCGCGTATCGGACCAGTCTGTCTGCGCCGGAGGAGCGACAGCAGCAACCTGAGAGCTGGTCAAAGACACGGCCCGATCCGACGAGTATTAGAGCTGGTACTTCAGATAGCGCCATATCACCCGCCTCATACACTCATCCCAATGCCCCCCCCGTCTAATGACTCCAGACCGGATGACCTCAAACCCCAACCTGCCAGTCAGTCCTTAGAGGCAAACTCCGGAGCTTCATTTGTCCGCAAGCTTGGGCTGCGTATAGATCCTGCTCGTGCACCGCGACTCCATCTATTTGCATGGAATGTCGGCGAGAGAAAGAAATCGCCGGATCGCGCATTGTCCGGGACGGCGGCGTCAATCCCCCAAATCCTGTCGCAGGCCCAGATGCTGGGGTTGGCAGCCATTTACTTTGAAAAAGTCCACCCGTGCTATGCATTTTTGAACAGAGAGACCTTATTGTCACGTATAGTGCGGCATTGGTCAAATAAAACATCCGCGGAATCAGATCCGGCCTTTGAATCTGTGCTCTGTGGCATCGCAGCCCTAGCCTATCTCTTCTCACAGCGCGAGATCATGGATATTGAAACCAAACTCGCTGAAGACGCACGTCTTTTTCTTGAAAAGTCCGTCCTATGCGGCAAACCGCCTTCAATCGACACAATAACAGCCTGGGTCCTACGCACAGCCTACCTCCGAATGACAGCCTCCCCACATGCTGCATGGATGGCTAGTTGCACATTGATGCATCTAATCGAAGCAGCAGGCTTACACCTCGAAGCCTCAGACCTAGAAACGGCCACAGAACTTGGAACTTCATCCACCGGAAACCACACTATACAGAACAGCATCTACACATCACCCAATTCCGACCTCGACACTCGCCGACGCCTCTTCGGCATGGCACGCCACCTAAACACCTGGATTTCCTTCGACCTAGGCCGATCTCGCGTCGTCCTCCACGGCGCCACATCCCAGCCCCCAACACAAGCACAAACATCATCAGGAGCAGGAGCAGACCTCTTCCACCTCCTCCCACTCTCCGAGTCCCTAGACCCAACAGGTCCCTCACCACAAGATCTCCCCCGAACTCGAAAAAGCCCTAACCTCCGTCCTGAGTCCCACCTACACAGAACCATCCCTAATCCTAGTCCAATGCAATCTAATGCTCTGCATCTACCGGCGCGCCAGAGCCCTAAACCCCTATTCTCCCCTCCGCGCAGATCTACAAGACCGCATCCTCGCCCTCGCGAGTCGCGCGCTCACCGCAGCGCGGAAAATGGTCGCCGCCTCGTGTCCCTGGCATCAGGTTGCCAATGTTCCGTTCCAGGTCGTCTGCACGCTTTTGGCGATTGATAATCGCGCGGCGTTGGGGTTGCTGTCGGATGCGATGATGACGTTGAGGGAGGTTCAGGCTGCGTATGATACGGGTGTTATGCGTGAAGCTTATTCGACGGCTTATTTGCTTGTTGCGTTGCATCAGCGTAGAAAGGAGGATGATACGAGAGCTTTGGCAGAGGTTTTGAGGGCTAATGCCTCTGCTGCTGGGGGTGTGTCGGGTACTGCTGGTTATGGGGTTGGAGGTGGGATTGGCTATGATACTACAGATGGCCATGGTAACACCCATGCGAGGGGTAATACGTTGGATGGAGCTTCGTTGCACCAGAATGTGCGTCCGGAAGGCCAAACTGCGCAGCAGATGCAGCTTCAGCAGGATGCGGCGGATGCGGACCTGTCTTGGTTGGGCGATTTGATGATTGACATGCCTTCCTTGCAGAACTTTGATTTGGAACAGTTCCTCGGAACTACTGTCCCGTGGCCGCTTCCTGAGATGGGGATCTAGGCAGGTTTACGTGTGACTTGGCGTGTCAAGGGTGGATCCTGTATATATTAGTAATTTGTTGGCTATTTGTATCTATGCTCATGTCTGATGATATTAATCCGAACGCCATGTCGTAAATGTGCTATGATGAATGAAACTGATATCTGACGCTTGAAGAAAAAGAGGCAGAAACAGAAAGGAAGAAAGGAAGGGTTTATTCCTTCTTCTCATGCGTCTCGGGCCGTTTCACCTCGTTAGCTCCGAGGCCAGTCGCCCACACCACACGAGCCAAGCGCCAGATTATCCATAAGAAACCAAGAATAATGACAACACTTGTTCCCAGCTCGATGTTCCGCGCCTGGAAGAGACCTTCGCCATCTTTGAGCTTCAGAACAGGGACATCCAGTTCCTCGACGAGATGCTGCGACGCAGGATGGAGCTGATAGAATATCGTCCGCGGTCCGAAGAGCCCATCGTAACCCAAATTGGTTCGGTCAAAGGGGTTTTTACCCATCTCACCCTCTTCTTCCGTGCTGCACGCCCAAAACACGACGGGCCAAGGCACGGCAGCCGATCGATATCCAGACTCTGAAGGGTTGAGGTATCGGAGGTGCATAGGAATCGTTGAAGTCCAGTTTGATGCGGGATCAGCGCTATCAGCAGAGGGCGTCGCGAGCTCGAGGAGCCAAGTCGAGCCCCAGCGATCTATGGCCCAATCTGGTGCTTCAAGGTCTGTTTCACCGGAGAATGCACGCACGGCGACGAGATTGTGTTCTTGAAGGAAAAGAGGGTCATCCGTGCCAACTTGATATTGATCAATAAATACTGATGATGGGAGGGTGAGATATGTGTGCAGTGCACATGTGAAGTCTTTGGGTGCGGGGGGGTGGTTGTAAAGTAGAGTGCGGGATGGAGATTGACATCTCCGGATGAAGCCCTGTTGGCTGGGAGAATGAGATGCTGTATGTGTTGGCTTCGGCGAGCGGATGATGACGCGAAGGGAGGTAGAACATCGTCGGCACTGCATACGTTAATATTGCTAGCTAATCCACATGGAAGGTCGGAACTTACTGAGCTTTTTGTCTTCCCCAATGCTTCCTAACAACCCGCCTGCCTTGAGCTCATCAGGGCTTGCTCCAGGCTCGACTCCTAGGAGGCCGATTTCTATCTTGTCATCCGCGGCAAGCTTTCCGATGTCTTCGCTCCAGCCGCCAGTAGGAGCGGAGCTCCAGAATCCCGATATAGCTAAAGTATGCGATGTGCTGTCATAGTCAATATCGACGGAATCGGCCGTGAGAAGGGTGTCGGCATGATCATGGCATTTTGCACCGCCCTGGCGTTGATGGCAGATTGTGCGCCGAATGAAGCCGACTAGAGTTTGGAGAGAGGGGAGGCGCGTGTAGTACTGGAGGGAGGTCGAGGTCGCAAATCGTGTCGAACGAAGCGGGGGTGTGGTGAAAGACTTCTATAGGAGGCGATTAGAGTTATTCCCACATTTGCCAGCCCAGTCTGAGATTATGGCTGAAGTAAAGAAAGAGGGTAATTTACCTCGGGGCTCGTGCAGTCTACCCCGTTTCGATCTCCCTCATCCGCCCCGAACACAGCGCGGAGCACTGAGCATAACGTGTCACTGTTCGGTACCCAGTCAGCTTGGTCTTGAATATATCTGCGATGTATTAAGCTCGGCTTACGAAGGTCGATCAGAAACCAGAGAGGTATAATGCACATGGAGACCGGGCGAGACTCTGCTGGAGAAGGGCGCGATGGCGTCGAAGTGCTCCTCCGCCGCCCAGCGGAGGTGAAGCTCATGAGAACTTTCGAGGACATTACGAAGCTGTGCAACAATATAGAGAGAACGTGTTAGCCATCCATATCATGGTGAAGCTCGAGCACCTTGCCTCACCTCCTCGGGAAGGTCGTCGAGACCCAGTGTGATGCGATCATGGCGCGCGGCGTCCAGACCGCGAATGGCGAGGTTGCTAGATGATAGAACTGCCTGATCTGGCTCGAACGGGGCGCCCAGAGGCTGGATAAGGGTGGTTCTCCGTTTCATGGCGGCTACCGAGGGAGGGACTCGGACTCAGGAATGTGAAGTGGAAGTGATTGAGACGGAGACGGGGTAGCTAGGAGTAACTAGGAGTGCAGGTGCCTCGGGAGCTACCGCTATCGACTCGGCGATAAGCCAGGCCCGCAGCTCCCTGAAGGTCCCATTCCCCGATGCCGCGTGAGATGGGGCTCCGGTGCAATCACAGCAAAAACATCAGTAGGCGAACAAGTGCGCACATGCTATAATAGAGTTATAATAGCGCCGATTCGTGGTATTTTCCGTTCTGATACCGCGAGCCTGAATTGGCAGTACGTGATCATACTGGCGTTGAATAACTAACTAGAACTACAAACCAGAATACAGACTCGGATAGATGAATGAGGTTATGATAACTAGATTGAGAATATATACATAGAATAATAAAACTTGAAGCACCATTGACTCCCGAATAGTGAAATCGTCACATGTCATGACCTCCCATTGAAAACCGCTGAAAACGCCGGGTATATGCTGAGTGATAATGGTAAAACAGTCGGGCTTTTATGGCAAGACGTCCCGCAGAATGTCTTTGGTGGCCGGTGGAAGAGTGGTAGGGAACTTGACATTAACGCGGACAACGAGATCGCCTCGTTCGCCGGGTTTCGAGGAGATCACCATGCCGAGGCCGGGGTAGTGTTCCTCGTGGCCGGGTTGTGTTGGGCCGGGCTTGGAAACCCGAATGGATTTTCCATCGATAGTCTGAACGATTCGTTCCCAGCCGGTTAAGGCCTCCTTCAAGGTGAGGTCGACGTTGACAATGAGATTGTCGCCGGAGCGTGTGAAAATTTCATGTTTTAGCTGTAAATCGTTAGTCATAATAATCTCTTTCAGATCTTAGAAAATGGGCATCACATACCTCCTTTACAATCAGATGCATATCCTGACGACCACCTTCCTCTGAGTCGCCAAAGTTCTTGTACTTGATCTTCGATCCACTGCGCAGACCTGGCTTGATCTTGGCTTCCAGAATAACTTCGCGGGAACTGAGTTTGCCACTGGAATCGAAGGTCTTACTCCGTGTTGTGACCTTCTTGGTGGCGCCATGGAAGAGCTCCTCGAGGGAGACAGGTAGGTCCTTCTCGACGATGGTAGGTTCAGGCGTAGGAGCGCGCTTCTTCTGCGGAAATCCTCCTTTAGGGCGGCGGAATCCGCCGCCACCCATGCCGCCGTTCAACATCGAGAAGAGGTCATCGTCATCAAAGGCACCCCTTCCACCGCCGGTGCCACCCTTGGCGAACTCGCGGAAGATGTCGTCTGCATTACTGAAGCTGAACCCATCGGGGCCGCCACCACCGGTTGAGAAGTGGAATGTTCGGCCACCACCGCCACCGGGCATGCCGCCAAAATTGAATCCTCCAGGCATGCCACCGGGGCCAGCGCCAGCACCAGGGCCGCCTCCACCGCCACCCGGTGAGGGCGGAGGACCGCCGCGGAGGAGATACTCAAGACCGTATTGGTTGTATACCTGGCGCTTCTCAGGGTCGGACAGAACTTCATAGGCCTGTGAGACCTCTGTAGATGATTGTTAGTTTGTGTTGCATGCAGAAGTACTAGTGCGGGGTACCGGCAGATACCTTCAACCAGACCAAAGAAAGTACATACCTTTGAACTTTTCAGCCGCCTGAGCATCGTCTTTATTCTTGTCAGGGTGATATTTCAAGGCTGCCTTGCGGTAGGCCTTCTTAATTTCGTCTTGTGTAGCATCAGGCTTGATGCTCAAGGCATCATATAGCTTGGTTTCGGCCACCATGTTGTTCTTGTTGGATGGTATGGAATTGAGTTTGTGCAGGAGAGGCGAGACAAAGTCAGCGCGGGCGATTGAAAGCCTCCGAGCTTAAAAGCAGGGTGCTCGAAGAAGGGGAAAAGAATATCGTGACCAGTAGCCTCTCGAACGTAGTAGAAAGTTCGAGTGGTGGGGTCGGGTATGAGTTGGGATGGGAAGATGACAGAAAGAGGAGGGTCACGAGGGGAGAGATGAATGTATAGTAGTCGTTCAGCGGGTGAAAGAAAGTGGAAAAAGAAGGTGAAACGGGACAAGCTGGGGACAAAGCTGAACAGAACTGAACCGAGTTGAGCTGGACTGAACTTGAATTGTCCGGGCCCTTCGAGAGTTAATGACGTAAGAGTCGTTTCACCGCCCCGGTCATGTGGAAGCTTCCAGAAGGATCGAATGAATATACGAGAGTACTTTTGGATAGACCTCCTGAATATTAGATTGCCATATTAAGGGCAAGTTGAATTAAATAAACGCTCAATCATAGAGTAGCCAACCTTTCATACTAGCCACCAATTTCTGCCTCGTGAGGCTGGGCCACTATGATGCGTTCACTGGTTAACGGCCCAATGACCCAATTTCCATCGCGGGCTACCCGCGGCCCCACTTATTTTTGGCAGCCCGAAGTATAGAACTTCCAACCCAATCATGGGTACGTAGTTCGAAAAAAAGAGAAGAAGAAGAAAGAAAAGATGCCACACTAAAATTCTTAAGAAAATAACAGGATTTGATAAGTGAGGATGAATGTCTATGCTATGTCTGCACGGTACTTTTCAACGCAGCCGGAAATACTCTAGCCAGATACGCCGCAACATCCTCCTTCTTCTCTCCAAAATTGCAACTCGTATCTAAATTCGGGACGATCCAATAGTTCAAATGGAATCCTGAAATACCCACTGGTCGCTTCACCCGATGCACAGAGTGCTTGATGTCCGAAACAAGTCTTCTCAAGACATGACCAGCCAGCACAAGAAATTCTCCCGGCTGGCAATGCACTGGGATAAAGTTGGCGGTCTTTTCAACTGCTGTGGCGGATAAACAGCCCGTCGAATTGATAAGATCTGCGACCTCTAGGCCGGCATGTGAATCTTGGAAGTTGAATAACATGGTTGTTGGGTCGATATGGGGAGGGACACGAAGAGGGTTGGTATCGTTGATGCCTTCAAAGGAGTAATAGTATGGAGCGAAGAAGGAGTTGCACTTGCTATGAATAGAGCTTAATGAGTGAGAAAGGTCGATAGATGAAGATAGAATATCGAGTAGGTTGAATTGGATGCGGTTGCATTCCTTTTTACACACTTTGGTTAGATGCGTGGACTGTATACCAAAATCAAAACAGAGGGGGGAAGCACAAACTTCATGTAATAACCTCGAAGCATCGAGTAATCTTTTACCTGGTTCAGACCATGTACCTTCCAATTCATAAACCCCGTATTGAAACTCCATAGTCTCGTCTAGAAGAGGCTCATCGCGGATTTTTTCACTTCCAAAGGGAACGAATCTCGATGCCGTCATTGCGCCCGAATTTGAGAAATCGGCAACCTTTTCTTCAAGACTTCTTTCAAAGAAGTCCCGGGCCTATTAACCCCCCATAATCAGCTGTCTCGCACTAAAAACACGGGAAATGGGCTGGCTGCCAACCTTGCCAAAGCAATTGTCTATGAGATCCTGTGAAATACCATGGTCTCGAAGCCGACAAGCTCCATGATCATCTAGAGCTTTGACCAGTTTCATACCAGCCAAATGCCTGATATCTTCATCATCGTACATAAGCTCAGCGTAGCTCACTGATGGAATCTGACAATAATCCATTTTTTTGTTATAATTGACCGTTTCTCGCGAATAAGACTTTTTGAATGTACACAAGTGCTCCGAGACACTAAATAGTAAAATAATTGAGAACTCCTTTGTGTGACAATAATGCATTGACACGTCACAAATTCTAGTTGAAAAATAAAGAAACCACCTGATTGCGCCCAAACTAACAGCACCAATACCTAGCGGTGTGGCCGCTGCTATGAAAACATGTATGTCATGCATACTGCTCGCTTCCTTTGAAGTTATTAATGGCTGCTTCAGGCACACGCGCACTGTCAATAAACTCTCGAAAGCAGGCCAGCTCTTAGAACTCATCCAATATCAGCAGCCCCCAACGCATCATAGAAGTAGCCCCAAGGCTCTTGCGAAGGCGGGTCAGAGATTGGGCATTTTCATGTCAGCCATTGTCACTTTTTATCCCATCGGTCGAGAACATTAAATTTGGCTTGGGATACTGAATTAATATCGGAGCGTGGGAGCAATTTAAACTGATGGTCTCAAGTGAATGGAAATGGGTGTTCCCATAAAGGAAATTCCTTGGGTGGCTGCCTACTCTTCTTCCTCCCTCCGTGACTTCCCTCCTTTCTTCTTCTTCTTCTTCTTCTTCCTCTCTCACTCCAGTGCCCCTCACGAACGTGCCTTGGAAACAACCTGGTGTTTTTTTTTCAAGACGATACTTTCTGCGGAGGATGGCCGAGTTGTTACTTGACTTTCAAAGCTGAGGTACACTAGTATCTACTGGTACCTTGTCGACGACATGTCAGCTATCTACGGTACGAAGATGCGTAACTAGTAGGGTACAGCGTTATTGATGAAGTTATGAGACAGTCTGAAGAGCAAATTTTTCATTTAGAAAGTATCTATCAAATAGCCCGCAGAAAATTTTCATAATTCATGCACTGAGTGCCTCATTCCTATCAAATCAGCCGAGGGGTCATTTCGTCGTGAATTGGACAAAGTATCTCTGGCGGATTTGAGCCGGATCGTAAACGACCCATTCGTTATGGGGATATTTTCCGAAGCCAGGTGAGAGCATCTTCGATACGGATCTTCCGCTAGAGGTATCAGGCATTTGAACACCTGCGAGGCTTGGATGCACAGCTCCAGCGTCGCACCATTTGCTGAAGTCAGTCGCACCTGCGGCAAGATATGAAATATGACCCTGCTTATGCATTGCTTTTATATCACCAAGGGCCGGCGCAGAACCGCATGGCTGTGGCTTCTTGCCCACTTCAACCTCACATATAAGCATGCAAGAACCGGGATCACCTGGCGCGTATCGGCAGTACCCAGCGGATTTGGAAGAAACGTCAGCGAAATAAATACCTTTCACTGGGCTTTCTGGGGTAACTCGTGTTTGAGCATCCGACCGCAGTCCTTGGCTCAAGATTCCAATCCAGTTAACTGCTCTACTTCCGTGAAACAACAAGCGCCGGCCACCAACGAGGGTACTGTGTACTTTTTGGTATTTCTCGAAACGTTCAATCTCCCCCTCTCGTTCGATTCTAAAGATGTTGATCGGCTAAAAATGTACCATCAAGTCAGGATATATACGCTGGTGGGATGGTATGGACCCTTATGCATAGAAGGACATACCTGAACAGAAAAGCCGTGCGCCCTGGGCACCGAGCTATTAATCACAAAGTTCACGAGAGCCTTGTGTTCTGCATTGCCAGGTTCCACTATCTCAGACATTAGTGGTGTCAAAATAATCAATCGGGGCAGAGAGCTAACCAGGAGTCATGCTCGCCAGACCGAGCCCTCGATAGGCGCGGTTGAGAATCTGATTTTTTGAAACATTGGTCGAGTTTGCCACTAGATCAAGGGCAAAAGATAGATTGTTCAAGAGCCCGAGGGCGGCCCGCTCTCGCTTCACCCAATTCTTGTCTTTTGAACGGGCTGGTAATCCCCATTTGGGCGGAGCATCAAGGTCGCTGTGCCACATTAGTGCTAGGTAGCATTTACCGAGGATAGATAGAAGCTTGGCACGGGAGTCGTTGCCTCGTTGAAACCTATCAAGGGTCAGTTCGCTGATTCTCTCCAAGAGAGACTGCGCAGCACGTAAAGTGAATCGGACCCGCCAGGGCTGTCTAGTCAGTCTACCACCTGAAACGTTCTTGATTGATTCCTCGATGTGTGGTTTTTGATTATGATCAAATATCACACCCAATACTTCATAGACCGCGGAAGGAAGCTGGGTTATGCTGAGGGCCAGACTATCTTTTCCGTCTCCAGAAAAGAAGGTATCCTCCATTTCAACGTCTTCAAATATGCGGGGCACAAAAACGTATTTTCCTTCTTTGGGGTCATCCCAGCGATTTTCCCAGGAAAGACCAGTTCTGTCCTGGAAGTACTTCTCAAATTTAGCATGGGGAGATTTTGGATCTTGTCTAGTTCCCATGCCCCAAGCCCCAAAGTGGAATGTCTTCGTCTTCAAATTGTAGAGAAGCTGCAGGCGTTCCATCTCAGGTATGTAGGCTGTAACGGTACCCTTTGAATTTATGGATGAGCTGTCCTTGATCAGTATCGCATCCCAGATCAAGTGGTTTTCATCCATCCAGACGACAAGATCGGTTTCTGTCAAGGTGTTAGTTTTACACAACCTTGGAATTAGAGGTCAATAAACAAGCTTACTAGGGCCAACGTGGTCATCATCAATGATCGCGTTAAGCTCTTGCTCTTTCTCGTTGATTTTCTCATGGGTCTTCGGATAGGCCTTTGCAAGCGGTTTCTCGTGGGGTTTCTCGGAGGCTTTTGCGGAAGGCTTCGCAGGGGGTTTCTCTTGTAATTTTTTGGGAGTCTTCTTATCGACCTTGGTATTGTCGACCTCTTTCTTTACCGAGGGCTTCTCTGAATCCTTGCTTCGTTTCTTTCGAAAAGGAATTCTAAGCAAAAACTTCTTGGCGTCGAGCAGCATTTCTTTCTCAACAGACTGGAAAAACCAGTCCTGACTGACGATTTGCAGGCCTTCCGTTATCGACGCTTCTTGGACTATGTACACAGATCTAATGAGTATTTTAAGCGATTATATTATGTTAGACAGGGAATAAACATACCTTTCCTGAACTCGACGTCGACAGCTCGTTGCGATGCGACTAGATGCGTGCAAGCGGCGATGTCAAGATCCTCAAATCTTCCTCCATACCGTTCTGTAAGGCGCTGGACGTCACCTGTATTCAGAATATTAGTAACAATCAAGAGAATGTCTTGCCTTAAATCGATTTTTACTACTTACCGTGGACAAACCCGTTGGAAAGATGGCCACTCACTGCGATGGTTAGATTTTTCAGAAAGGGCACGGGTGAAGTCATGGTGGTAAAATTGTTGGCCACACCTGAGGAATGGAATGAGAAATGGTAAACTGACAATCCATACTGGGGCACTCCTTAAATAGACTATTTTGACAATGCCGTCTTCACGGATGTACGTTGCAAACATTTTCATTGTGGGCAGTAATATCATTAATGCTCATTGTAATTGAAAGACTGGGTATTTGAGCATGAAAAGAATACTTCATCAAGAGCAAACATCCCCATGAAAGCAAACGGCAACATAAAAGCATGAACCATGAGTTTGCAGCAGTGGCCCATGTTATTTCACCGTTTGTACTTTGATTAAACGGGGCTTAAGAATAGGAACCTCTCAGAAAGGCAATCCCGCAAACCTGATCCCACCCAGCAAAAGAAAAAACAGAAAAAAAAAACAAAAGGAATTCTCCGCATCCTAACAAAGCAATTGACCCATTTCCCATTTCCCATTTCCCATTTCCCATTTCCCATTTCCCATTTCCCATTTTTGATTTCCCATTTCCCATTTTCGATTTTCGATTTCCCATTTTCCCATTTCCCATTTTCCATTTCCCATTTCCCATTTTTGATTTCCCATTTCCGATTTCCCATTTCCCATTTCCCATTTCCCATTTTCGATTTCCCATTTCCCATTTCCCATTTCCCATTTTTGATTTCCCATTTCCCATTTCCCATTTCCCATTTCCATTTCCCATTTCCCATTTCCCATTTCCCATTTCCCATTTCCCATTTCCCATTTCTGCTTAATTGCTTTTGAAGTAGTTGAAAGCAACAGCGGGACCCAGCCCGACCTGCTCGCCCCAGGAATCTAGGTCGTAGCGCATGCGAGACATGTTACCCAGTTTCTTTCCATCAGGGGGTGCGTGCTTTTTGTAGTCGAATCCCTCAGGCTCTTCATAGAGGAAGAAGATGTATCGATGAGGGGAGCTGCCGGGAGGCGGAGCTGGACCGATGTAGTTCGCCACGAAAGGCTTGCTCGTATCAAGAGATGAAGACTCAGTGACCTTGACGCCGGGCTGAATCCAGTGCAGGATAGGCCCCAGAGCCCCGAAAGACGGGAAAGGTGCATCGATGTCGAGACTCACGACGAGGTACGTCTTGGAGGGATCCGCTCCGTCAAATGAGAGTTTTGGGGGAGATTGAGCAGCTGAGTCTGGTCAGATCAAGCGCTATTAACTGAAGGAGAGAGAAATACGGACATGAGCGCGCAAGATACTGGCCTGGCTGAATCGCCTGGTCACCGGCCGTGAGGCCCAGCACCTTGGACTTGTCATTCTCGATGAGGCTGAAAGCCTTCTTGACGTGGTTATCGGTCGGCATGATGATTGAGCGAGAGCACGATGAAGAAGCGACGACGCGGGGTTGTGTGAAAATCAGAGCAGGACAGGAGGTGAGGAAAGTAGAAAGTAGGAAAGTAAGGCGAGTCAAGCTTTCGGCGATAGCACTTTAAATCCGGGCCCACCCGTATACATCGAGGTTACTCTACTTCCGATTGATCAACGGAACAATGATTTGCCTAGAACAATAGACATTGTAGATAAAAAATACTCAAGTCATCTATTACAGGCAGTGAGCAGGCAATAGAATATCCAGCAGGCATTAACAGTCCCAGGTTGCGGCCTGGTCAAATGGTAGCCGAAGAGTATACCGGGCAATACTAGTAATTTGAAGAATCCATGAATAGCAATTCACAGTGAAGGTAAACTACGATCTTAGACATAGACAAGGCTACCATCTATGCCAATGCCCAACAAATATTGGCGATAGTTATGACTCAAATTCCCAACCTCAATCAATACTGGCCGTAACTTTAACAGGCAAGCTGAGAACACCCTCATCAGGGTATGGAGTCCCAAAATCTCGCGCAAACATGAGTTGCTTCTTTGAATTCTCATCTACCTCCAAATCGAACCTTCGAACAAGCGTTGCGATTGTCATAAACAACTCGGCGTAGGCCAGACTGCAGAGTATGGAAATTAGCTCACGTCATAAACATAGGTCAAGAATAGCATACTTCATTCCTAAACAGATTCGCGTGCCTTTGGAGAAATTTACCAAGTAGCGGTCAAGTCGTTCACCCTTGGCTGTAGCGCGCATCCACCTTTCAGGCTCGAAGACCTCGGGGTCGGGAAAGATATTAGGGTCATTCAAGACGAAGAAGTTCGTTTCGCTGACCAGTGTCTGAGAGAAGGCCATACATATTAGTACCATATAGCACAGGCAATTTTCTGAGAAGTCAAACTTACACCGGGCGGGATTTGGTAGTCTTTGTACACCAGAGTCTCTGTTGGAGCAATACGAGGAGATCGAGAAGAAATACCCGTCGAACATCGCAAAGACTCGTAAACAGTCCCAGAAAGATATGGCAGTTTCTCAAGTTCGTTCCAAGAAGGGTACGACTCCGGCGTCGGCATTATCGTTCTCAATTCCTCTCGAAGCTTAGTCTTAACCCTTTCATTGGAATAAATATGAAACGCCCCAACCGAAAGAGACCGAGCAGTCGTTTCAGTACCGGCAATCGCCATCGCATGCCCTTCGTCAGTCACTCGCTCCACATCCAGCATGTGCTTTGGCATAGCCGGCGAGCAAAGTTTCTCCACCACACAACCGTTATCAGAGCGGTACCCAGAAAGAAACTTCCTAACGCGCTGTCTCAAATCATCCCTCTGAAGCGCAAGCACAGCCGCAAAGGGACTAATAACCCTAACCCAAGAAATCGGCAACGAACTCATAATAGCAGGCAAGACAGGAAAGAAATAAGCAATATGACCCGAGGTGAAAAGGTGAATTATCCCATCACGAATATGTTCGTTGAAATCCTCCTGCTCGAGATTCCCACCATTAAACCCGAACGCGTACTGAAGAATCACGTCCGAGGTTAAAGCCGAAAATCCGGCGTCGAGCGAAACGATTCGACCAGTCTTATACGCTCTCGATAAATGCTGGTTGAATTGGTCTAGACTTTTCTTGATGTCCGTCTCAATTTGGCTGATTGCTTGCTTCGAGAAAAATGGGTTAATGGCTGAGCGGCGCTCGCGGTGCAGCTCTGATGTGATTGCGGAGAAGGCCGAACCGTCTAGGTCGAATTGTCGTACTGCTGGGCCATCCTTATTGCGCTTGCGTGCTGCGCCGGAATAGATCTCATCATAGTAGTCTGAATCCTTGATGTGGATTTCCCGTGGCGTTACGCGAATGATTGGGCCTGTACGAGTGTGAGATTTGTCGGAAGCTTCTTGATTGGTTTGTGGAGGCACGATTATTACAGACCGTAGATCTCATGTAGACGTTCGAGTTCCCAGATGAAAGACCCGTTTTTGACGACGTTGAAGTAGCACTCGTATCCGCTCGTGATGGCGGCCAATTTTGGCCCTGGAAAATGACTGAGTGGATGGAAATAGAGTCGATAAATACTGCGGATGGCCAGCCAGACGAGACCGCCAATAATTGCACAGGCTGCCAAACCGGCCATTTGTGTTATCTTTCAACTTGTGGTGATGTCTCGAGTAACTTTAATTACCGCTATAGAACGGTTATGTGACTCGACATTACTGAAAGCCGAGAGGAAAGGACAAATATTTCCCATCTTAAGTGCGGTTCTTCCTTCATCCAGATCCATCACACGCTACTTACGAGTCTAAAGGTCGTTCGCCGCGCATTGGGGTGGAGCTAAAGAACGTGTGCGACATAGATGCACCTTTTCATAGGTGACTAGAGATGCAGGTTGGGGTATCGAACGAGCAGATACGGAGTACATCTGTCTACAGCCAATTCACGTTTCACATTTCCGCCAAATGGAGCTCATTGAGATCAAAGCGGAGACCACAGGTCGCCTCGATCCCAGCCCCCGACCGTAAATAGTATAGATTGCACTTTGACCACCCCCGTGCCGAGCATCTTGACGATCTTGGTGGAGGTGTGGGTCGATTAGGGCTACTAGTAGTAGGTTGGTTGGGTCACTGAACTGTCAAAGAGGGGATTGGTTGGCGTGTGATGAGATTATCTGAGTTTTGGTCAAATTTGAAGAGGACGATTAAAATTCGGGTGATTCCAAAGTTGATACTACTATACTTCAAGTTGATGGCGGATGGCGAAACGGCTTAACGGCTGCAGTGGTGATGTATACACTGTGGATGGGGGCTGATATTTCCGCCCTGCCCACCTTTGCGCATGACAACTATCCTGCCTCAAGACTTCAAGTTTTCGTTTCATTCTAACAACCTTGGAAGGATTGTTGCATGCCTTGAAGAGGGTGTTTCGGTTCACCTCCGTATACCTCTCAAATATGCTGCAGGGTCGACTTCCGTTTCAACTTGAAATATAGTTTATATTCTTTATAATAGCTGCAAGCAAAGAGCAGCAAGAACACGAGACAAGATAGTAAAGAATTTACAAAAACTCCCAGCACTCATGCAGACGCTAAGAAATACACATCAGAACAAACCCTTACCAATCCACATCCCAGACAGATACAGCGCAACAGAATCCTGCGCTCTGCCAGCCTCCGCGAAACAGCCCTGAGGAGCCACAAACCCGAACTCCTAAATAATGCATATGGACGAGGTATCATGTTTTATACAGCAACGAAAATCGTGACGAGTCAAATGAACCGAACCGGATGGTTGACGGAGGAAATTAGACTACGCAACATCGGCGGAGATGTGTGCGAGGTCTTGCTTGCCGGACTTGGCGTTGGAGGGTGTCTCCTCTGAGTCGGCAGTGGTAGCAGTAGCAGTAGCAGAAGCAGCAGGGGCAATATCCTCATCTTCAGCCTTGGCTTCGTGGACGTTATCTTCAAGTTCGACTAGACATAGCGATTCATCCAGCTTCTCCGCAAATTTCGACTCATCATTCGGTTCGATCGTGTCGCCAGACTTGGCAGAGATGGCAGAGACTGATTGCTTACGGTCAGAGTCTGCGGTCGCTTCCGGAGTCATATCCTTCACCGGGGTGTTGCTTTCATCCATGTCGTCGTCGTCACCGTTGGCAGACAAGAATTCTTCCTTGTCGGCGGGGATTTCGGAATCCGATTCATCGAAAAGATCGTCATCGTCCTCGTTCACAACAGCTGGGAGAACAGTATTGGCTTGGAGCATCTTCACGTTGGAAGGCAAGGCCGATGGTTTCTGGACGGTCTCGACGGACTGGACAGGCTCATACTCGACGTCCGTGGGCTCGGTGGAATGCGAGTGAGCTGTCGGAGATGGCGATTCCCGGCTAGAACCAGAGCCCCAGGTGTGTCGGGGATGACGTGGGGGCAGAGCAGGTGGCGCAGGACGCTTGGCGATGGTGACCAGACGGGCGCGGGTGAAAGTCGGCGACGTGCGCTTGGAATCCGATTCTTCCACTGGAGAAGACGAAGACGCCTTGCTTTCCGGCCTAGAGACAGCCACATTGCTCACCTCGTGCACCTCGATATCATCGTCGGATTCGTGGGTGTCCCTATGGGGGGCTCCGCTTAACTTCCTCTCTTCCTTTCTTTCCTCCTCTTCCTCCTCTCCACCGTGGATTGGTACAGTGTCCCATTGTGCATCTTCATCCCAGCTACTAACCGGGATGCCTGTGGATTCCTTCGCGCTGCGTGAGGATGCTCGGCTTACTGACGTGGTGGCAGTTAGCGGGGCCTCATGAGTCTGTGTGCCACGGTCCACGCTGGTATAGCTCTGAACGCTGGCCCGCCAGCTATTTCGCGAGCTGTCGAGGCTGCGTCGGAACGTCGCGTAGACAGGGCTACTAACGCTCGGTTTGAACTGGAAGTTCTCAGGTGATGCTCTTACTTTTGTAGAAGCCTCCCGAATGAAGAGGCCCTCTGCCTCTAATGCCTTTACTCCGTACGGATCCGGGTCATCTGGGTCGGGGACGCCGAAGCCTTCTGTGTCCTGGAGGTCAATATCGCCGGGAGTTTCGCCGGGTGGTGGGATCACGTCTTCATCGACGTCGGTGTCGCCCTGGGCGGCTTTGATAGTTTGCTGAAGCGTTCGGAGGGAGTCGGGCGGGTGTCGGGCTTTGCCTGCCAAGATGTCCGAGACGGAGATGCGTTCGCCGTAAAATTTCTCGTTCTCGTCGGTACGTTCGATGATGATGGTTCCGTCAACGGCGACGCCGGCGTAAAGCCCTTTACTCTTCATATAAGTCCAGACGGGAGCCTGTCGCTTGTGGACTTCGGAGTCAAGAACGCCACCGGCACCAACCGGACCAGCGCTGACGGAGAGTTCTCCGCCGAGGGTGCAGCGGACTTTCTTGAAGCCTTCCAAGGCCTCATATGTATTGATCACAACGACGCAGTCATAGATGTCCACGCCGGCCAAGAATCCAATACCGGCCGTGTGGAGCATGATGCCCGAGGGCGGGCTCCATTCGCCCGTTTCTGGGATCCGAGCCAGCAAGACCCCACTACCACCAGAACCACTCACCCAAAGACCGGTGCGCATGGTCGTAAAGATGGCCAGACCCTTTGCATTTTTCACCACTTGAGAAGGGATTTTCTTGACGACCCGCTGTTTTCCCTTGGGGCGATTGATCTTGCCATCTGCGTCGGTATATTCTTCCGATTCGGGTGCATAGAAGCCATCCTTGCAGAAGCTGCGTAGAATTCGAGCGGCCTTGTCGCTTTCTTTATCGATGGCCATGGGCCAGAAGGCCTCGGCGCCGAGTTTGTTTGAGAGGCGGTTGACGGGGGCGCCGAGCTTGTCGATGGTGTCCCATGTCTTGTCGAAGCCTTTCTTCGAGTAGCGTTTCGTCTTTTCCCACATGGTGGGCGGGGGAGTATTTATTCGACTCCTCGGTCAAGTGCGAAGAACTCGGAGGCGAGGAGAGCGCAATCAAGCGCGGATGCGCAGCTTCGGCGCCAACGATATATCTAACGCGCGGATGCGCTGCGAACAGCTGGGAATGCTTCAAGTTCACGATGCGGAATGCTGGGAGGTGGGTCGGAATGTATGATCAGTTGGAATGTGATGATCTGCGCGCAGTATAGTGGTGGAAGAGGAGCTGGAAATGGATGAGTTAGTATAGAAAGAGGGAGGAGGGAAGATGGAAGATTCTGTGGTGGTGCGGTGGTTAAGTAAAAGTAAAAGTAAAGCCGAGGATCCGGGTGGCGGAAGCGTTACGGAATAGTTTGGGACAGGATGGATAGGATGATGGGATGGTGGGAATGCTTACCGGAGTGGGAGGGCGCGGATCTGGGGATCCGAGACTTCCAGAGAGAAGTAGAATACAGAGAAGAGGGGAAGAAGGAACAGGGAACAGGCACCAGGGCGTGATATTGGTATATTTAAGAGAGTAAGCGTGCCCAATGCTAAAGGGCGAGTGGTTCTAGACGGGCTTCTTTTTAGGCAGACTTTGGCTCATCATACGGAGTACGGAGTAATGCATTTCTAATGGCAACGCGCGGGCCGACGTCATTGACTGTAGTATTAGTATACTATGGAGTATACTGCATAGCATAAGTTACTACTAGTTACGAGTATACTCTCCTATACTGCATACTGCATGCTTCTTCACACAGACATCTATACTCCGTAGTACGGAGTATACACTCTTCTCTTCCCTTCCCTTCACATTCCAAATCACCCCAATAGTCCATGGTTCAGCTCAGCTGAATGCGTTTTCGATAGATCACTGCCCCACCAGCCAGCCCCGGCAATTAAAGCCTGTCCCGGCCACGACTGGTCCATTCGACATCTCGATCGCATCTGTGGGGAAATGCACATATTTGTTTCCTCTACGGAGTAAATTATACGGATCGGCTGGATCCTCTTATTTTCAGCAACCTAATCTTATGAATCCTCCCATTGTTAGCCACGCTAGCCACTGCAGGGTCTACCCATGGTTCCACCCGAAGGACAAGTCCAGACCAAAATCACTAGTCGAGAATGTATATACAATGTCTATGTACGGAGTACGGAGTATACTATTGTATATCTAGAATAAGATCACCTTTCGTGACACTTCATCCTCCTAGACCCTGTCGATCCTATGTTATTCCTTCAATAAAGCATCATCAGTGTGCTCAGTGTGCTCAGGTGCTCAGGTGCTCAGACTCGACAGCACAGCGCATCACCAAATTTGTCAGCCACTAGTTACGTGGACTATCCCCGATTGGCCTATCATTTTATTTAAAAAAGCAACGAGGAGCTGCAGTAGTTCGGCAGAAGTATCTGTACATCCAGGGAATACCGCCAAACTAGCTAATTCAAGCCATTGTCCAAGGCAATGAATTGGCTTCACTTCTTCATCCTTGATGGGCGTGGGTTGCACAGGACTCAATAATTCCCCGATCCCAAGTGCATCCTCACCCAAGCTCCCGTATGTACTATTGATCTGACAGACCAATAGGATCTCCCTCGCATGTCCAATCGGAAATAACCAACGAGGGCACGGATCACAATGGTCGGCCTGAATCGCCTTGGCTTTTTCAACCTTGGAGGATAATCACCACATCTTCCGTATTCAGTACAGTATGTAACTACCGGACGATCCCGCAGCTAGGATCGGCTTTGGACCTGGATATTCAAAATTCGATAATATCTTTCATTCAAGTTTATGCGCAATTCACGGCCAAGACAAAGTCTAGCAACACAGATGGGTGGTATAGAAACACAGAACTCAGGCGCCCCCCTTTTATTTCAAGGCTAACCCTATCACACTAGAGAGCACCAAGCTCCTTCAGCTTGGAGACAAGGCCATCGACATCCTCGACCTTGCCACCACCCTTGCGTGGGGGAGGCTCTAAAGAGAGAAATTCGAATTAGTGCAAGTTCACTCATAAACTAAACACAATGGAGTAATCTCCAATGCAACACCAGGGTACACAGAATACATACCAGTCACCTTAAGAGTCTTCAATCGCCGCGTATCCTCAACACCAAAGTCGGCGAGGGTCTTCTTCTCAAGCGGCTTCTTCTTCGCCTTCATGATATTCGGCAGACTAGCGTAGCGGGGCTCGTTCAGTCGCAGATCAGTCGTGATGATCATAGGCAACTTCGCGCGGAGAGTCTCAACACCACCATCCACCTCGTGTGTGACCTCGACCGTACCAGACGCATCCTTGACCTCGACCTTGCTAGCCTGTGTCGCCTGCGGCCAGCCCAGCAGACCGGCCAACATTTGACCGGTCTGGCCCTGATCGCCGTCAATAGCCTGCTTACCCAGAAGGACCAGGTTGATGTTCTCCTTCTCCACGACACCGCGCAGCATCTTGGCGATGGTCAGTGGCTCGGGACCGCCGTCGGCTTCGGGGACGTCGATGTGGAAAGCACGGTCGGCGCCCATGGCCATGGCGGTGCGGAGGACGTCTGGGGTCTTGGGGCCGCCGGCGGAGAGGGCGAGGATGTTCTCGACCTTCATGGGGCTGCTCTTGTCTTCGCCGCGTTGGCGAAGGCGGACGGCTTCTTCGACGGAGAGTTCATCGAATGGGTTCATTGAGTGCTTGACGCCGTTGGTTTCGACGCCCGTTTGGGCCTTGTTGATGCGGGGTTTGATCTAGATCAGGGAGAACTGTCAGTTTCTGTTGTGTGTAAATGTAGACGTAGTTAGGCGCGAGCATAAGCATAAGGAAGAGAACGACTGTTCTGTCCTGCTCTGCTCTGCTTTCTCCGAGTACGGTCGGTCGGTCGGCCGGCCAATCGTCTAGCATCTGCCGTGTTGGGGGAGGCAATGGGTTGCTAACCGCATAGTCGATCACCCGCTTGACGGGAACTAGAATGCGCAAGGCGCTCATGGTGAACTCGAGCTTTGGGGGTGAATGGGGAGTTAACGAGTTGAAAGACAGCAAGAGAGGGACCGAGAAGAGTTGAGGACTGCGGTGACGGAGTGCCAAGCCCTCGAAAACGCCGACGCGGCCCGAGTATAGCCCTCTTCACACCACCTCCGCCAGCCGAGGCTATCCCATGCAGCATATAGCCGGCGATCTACTTCGGGTGGCGATTCAAGAGGATTATATTGGTGAGCCTCATTTGGTACTACGTATATGCTTGTTGTTTCCGAGTATAACTTGAAGGCTAGAAGTATTGCCATGATGGTGGCCTGGGGGCTTATGACTGCGCTGCATCTATTTACATGTGCCAGGTGTAGATCTTAAATACAAACTAGTCAGGTCTAGTAACTGCCATAATACTACACTTCACTTCATGATGACTGTATTGTTCTATGTATGATGTGTTTCTCCTAATCTCACCATGTCTCCTGTTTGTACCGCCCACTCTTCTCCATCCCAATCAAATACTCCTCCGCCTGCGACCGGTTGTAAGGCCCCGGTACCGGCCCTCCATCTCCATTCTGGAAAGCTTCAATGAGCGCCTCTCGCACCGCCTGAGGCATCTTCCCCGACGAGCCACAAATATACACCGAACCTTGCATATCGTGGAGAAGGCGGAAGAAAAGTCCAAAATTCTGGCGCACGGTGTCTTGCACATAGACCTTTTGAGGCTGATCCCGCGAAAACGCCGTAAGCACCTGCAGCGGGATCAGCGTGCTGAGATGCCCCCATTCCTCTTCAAAGAAAAAGTCCGAGGTTCGATTGCGACCGCCGTAGAGAAGGACTGTAGGCCCGATTGGAGGCTGTACGCCTGGGTTTTGGTTGCGGAAGGCTTGGACTAGCGCTGCCTTTTCCCAGAGCATTGAGCGGAGCGGAGCAATGCCTGTTCCTGGGCCGATCAAGATGGTTGATGATGTCAGTTGCTGTTGGGAGGAGTTGAGACCGCCTGGTTGTAGCTGGATGCGAAGTGTGCTGCCAGGTTGAAGGGTGGAGATGTACTTGGTGCACACGCCCTCGCGGATACGCTTGATCACGGTTTGGTATTTCACGATGGCGATGAGAAGCTCGAACTGTGTCTTGCCGTCTGCTGTTCTCTTTCGCTCTCCACCGCTGGCGATACTGAACTGTCGTGCTCGCATCACAGGGAGAACAGAGACGGCATGTTGCCAGGGAATTTTCACAGAGTCGAACTCGTGCAGGACTTCGATGATGCTCCGTCGAGGTCGTGTGGTGTAATCCCATAGTTCATCCAAGTATTCCGGGTTTGTGAATTCCAGGAGTCTTTCTTTATGCAGCTCGTTATCTGTGTAATGAGCGACGGAGGAGAAGAATCCGCGGCGGGGTATTCCTCGAACGTCGAGGTAGTCGGTGAGGAGGGCGCGAAGGGTTAGGTTTGCGTACGACTCGACACCGGGGATCGGTGAAGCAGCGGTCGACTCTCCTGTAGGGACGAGAGAGATTGGTTTATCGGCTTGCTCGTGCCATCCCATCAAGTCAATAAGTAATTGTGCGTCCTTGGGAGAAGATTTCGGGGTTATGGTGATCATGTCACCAGGTACGTAGTTGACAGATTCTGGAATGGTCAAAGCTATCCTTCGAACATCTTGCCAATGACTCTTCGGTGTGACTCTTCGGTTCTCAGTCAAAGTCGAAGTAAATGTGTCGGGCAGAGGTCGGGTGTCATTGTCCAAATCAGTCAACCCGGGATATTCGTCCAGATCAGCTACTGCGGTGGGAGGAATGGCCTCTGAAGGGCGTGAGGAGTCGTCCTTCAGACGCAATATCCATTTCGGTGGTAGTTGGACATCATCCGGAATCGGGTGCTCTCCTGGCGCAAGAGGGTGTCGACCCAGTAGATGCTTTCGAAAGTCTGTTGCCCATGGGATAAAGGTTCCTTCAAGTCTGTTACGATGTCATTAGCTATGAGGATACAGCATGATCCTGGAGGGTAACTTACCCCTCTGGGTGTTGCTGGTCTGCCTCGCCAGTTGGATAGATATCATTGGCACCCAATTGGACCAGTCGTTTATAAAGCTTGCGTACTGCCCAATTAAACCTGGAAATCCCCGTTTAGCTTTAATCAGCCTTTCATTGAGCCCTATAGCACTCACTTTGGATACGAGCTATCCCCCAATCCAAAGCTTGTAAAATTGACCCCACTGAGGTATGTCGGCGGGAGTTTCTTCAACAGCAGCGACTTCCAGAACTTGCGCGAGTTCGCCGGTAGGTCACCTTGACCAGTGGTGGAGATGACGAAGATGATGACAGTGAAGGAAGAAAGGATGTCCTATTCAGCGAAATCTCGCCTATCAGTATCAAAGCAAAACTATCAAGCTCCTTCGGCAACACGTACTGGCGATGACTGGTTCAACTCGCAGACTTGCGTCGCAAAGCGCAACCGCTCAGCCAGGGAGCCCAATTCTTCTGCGACCTCCTGTGCATTCCCCGTCTCGGATCCGTAGAGAATCAGCGCTGACCGCGTCTGATCGGGACCCGAGGCCATTCTGGTGATTGTTGTTTGAGTGCCCCTCCGCATCTCCAAAAATTGCCAATTGCCGATCTCGCTGGCTGACGTCATCACACCGCCGGTCCAGAGTAGGACGGCATTTACTACAGAGGATTGTGTACTACTGTACATCTTCAAGGCAATTTCATGAATATGTAATATGATTGGTTCTCACTTGAAATTAGCTGTATGTACAATTTAGTTAAGATGGAAAGACGGAATGTCTCAGTCTTGTTCGACCTTGACCTGAACGGGTATCTCAGCGGCGGTCCCCTCCTTCTTGATATTGACAGTCTTCTCGGCCTCTTCGCTGGGCAATGGTTTCCTAGCCCAGACTCTCCTGGCACGTTGATAAGGGTGATGACGGGGGTTTGTCAGCTCCTTTCTAATGCCTGCGACATATACTTGCACTTCCTCCTTGGACCATGGGACGGGTTTTCCATACTTGGTGAATAAGTGCATCGCATATCCCTCTAAACCAGTTAGCCAGTGTTGGAGGTTGATCAATCCGAGCTCTTTCATTGTCTTGTCCTTGGGCCACGGTCCAAGAGGCCACTTAGAGTTTATTTCGTGGACGTCGATGAAACCAGCTTTTTCAATCGATTCCCGCATTGTTTCGATGATGTTCATGGGTCTTCCGGACTCATCGCCAGCAGCATCCCATGTTGGTCCAACAGTAAATAAAGTGTTATCCTTCGGAATGCTATCATCATCACAGTATACATTTGGGTGGAGCTCAAGATGCTCAATCCATCCGCCAGGCTCAAGATTATCATAGCATTGCTTCAACAAGTGCTCCGTCTCTTCAGGAGTAAAAGCGCACTGGATAACACGGAAATGGATAAGATCAAACTTTTCGCGCCAGGTCCACTCGTGCAGAATATCGTCCACCTCGAGAATGCAGTTGGGAGGCATCCAGGTGACTGGAGGCGGAAACAGATCGACGCCACGAACAGTTATTTCAGGAAACATATCGGCAACATCGATGGCCCATGATCCTTTTCCAGTGCCGACATCAAGGATGTTCTTAGCCGAAGGGCCAAGAGGGGCTTGGAATAGCGGGTTCGGCCTGCCTGAATCTGCGACAAGGGCTGCAAGGTGTGTAGCTTCGTAGGCCTCGAACTGCTGTTCGTCGGAAGGGTAGGAGTATTCGTTTTTCAAGGTCTGGTATCTTCTGCCATTCTCTATGATGCCCTTATAAATCGAGGACCCAATTGAAGTGGTCTCAGATTGCCAGTCATCGCTCTGATTCAGATAGATGTTTGGATCGACGGCAATCGGCGCATCGTCGGCCATGATGAAATCCGGGCGGTCGGATGGAGTCGTAGATTGGCCTGGCTTTGTCGGAAGATGAGGGCTCGAGTATGGGGTTGAAGAGAGTTCAAGATACGAAGGATTCAGAGATGGATGGTGCCACCTTAAGCGAACGTGAGTGGTACTTTTGTTGAAGGAACTAGCAGTGATGATCTTCACTATTTTCAGAGTGCGGCCTGCGTAGTCTCCTCAAAAACGTTGCCCCGTGGCGGACCACGACGATACCGTATAACCTAGTATGTGTAGTTGTCCAATGAGAGATGATTATATCTGGATCATTGTCTTCATTCATCTTAGTTGCACACCAACATCCCGGCCCCACTATCTTTCTGCCAGTCAAATATCAATTCCTATAGGACATAAATGATATGATGAAAATTTATGAAGACGAAACAAAGTTCTGGCAATATAATAGTCCCCCCACGTGTACCCACCCTTCTGAGCTGGCAATACAGTACGGAGTACTTCTCCGAGTCCCTCTGTCGATGTTCCTTCCACAGAGTATCAAGTTGTAGTTGACTGTATCTGCTTATGGCGAGCCCTTGACAGATAATTTGAAGTGGTCACATTAGAATAGTGCCAATCCTCTGAGTCGCCCGCCAGAGCATGAGATTATCTATGACATGATTTATAGTGAATGACTTTCTGGTTTCTCGTAGATGGCACAGGCTGCCGGATGCAAACGGGTATTCTAGTATCGATCTCAGAATCTTTTCCGTCATAATAATTTTTGACAATGTTGAAGCACTGCTTAACAAAACCGGCCGATCACAAATCATTACCCCAGCTATGCCAGAGGGTCAGAAACAACATAAGAAATGGGCGAGGTAGGCTCATGAGGGCTAATTAAACCATCCAGTAACTGGCTGATTGAAGAACTACTCGTATCTGCAGGCCCCCACTAAGAACTTAGAGCTTACTTAGGTGTTACAGGGCCGTTTCCCCAAGAATATTGCTATACAAAATAGATACTAGGAGGTTTGGGCTTCAGTTTCCTTACTCGCCGCAAATCACACCGAGTGCATCAAGACGTTTGCTGAAACACCTGGTTGGATAGAAACTCAAGCTGGAGGTCTAGACAAAAAGGCCAGCTTGGAACAAATAGCCAAGAAAAGACGGGCATATCGAGACAGTACATCCGGTAGATTCTAACGATGTAACTGCAATGCTCACAAGAGCAGAAGAACTGAAAACACCACCCGCCTGGCCAATGCAGATCAAAACGGACCAAGGTCCAAATGAACACGCTAAGAACAAGAGCAAGGAAGAAAAGGAAAAGCACGCGCGGAACAGAAAAGAAAGGGTATCTAAGTCCGTGCTTCTAGAAATCTTCTTCACCACCGCCACCCCCATCACCCAATCCATCATCATCCATGTCGTCGCCGCCGTCCTCGAAGTATTTTTCGGCATTGTAATCACCACCGTCGTCGTCCTCCGAGTCGAATTCATTGTCGGAGATTTCTTCTTGGGCATCCTCGTCACCCTCGAGTAGCTCGCCTTCCTCTCCATCTTCGTCACCCTCTTCATCGTCGCCACCAGCTGCCCCTTTCTTCGACGATTGGGCGGCCTCGTCTTCGTCGTCTTCGAAGCCGCGCTTCATACCGGCTACAGTCATTGCAGGCTTGAAGCCATCGACGGGGGCATCGGGTCGGAAGTCAGGACGGATGGTCTGCCAGAGGCTGCGGGGAAAGAATCGAGTTTCTAGCGAACGGGCCAGCATTAGAGACGAGAACTATAGGGAGCCAATGAAAGATGAAACCTACCATAATCACCGGGGGCACGAGCACCAGCAATCTTCGGGACGGTCCGCCTTTTCTTTTGGTATCGACCAGCATAAGAGGGCATGCCATGGAAAGGGTCGAAGTTGGTACGGTTAGAACTGCCTTTCTTCGAATTGGAGGAAGAGACATCGATCACGGAGTAATAAGGTCCTTCGTGGTAGCGTTCGCGCAGGCTGCGGTAGTAATCGGTGGAGCTCTGCTCCCTCGGGCTAAGTTTGCGGGCGAGGGGTACGACGTAATCCTTCCATAGATTGTCAGGAGCCATGCTGCAGGTGAGAAGTAGAGACAAGGGACTTGGGTAGAGCTCTGGAGGGCGCCTCTAAGGTAGCTTGAACAAAGAACTTGAACGTACCGGATAAAGAGGTGTTGGCGCAGTGTCGGGCTGACCACCAGGGTCTGCGTCCCAAGTGAACTCCGCGCCAGGCAGCCGCTTCCCCTTGGAGAATCGCGACATCGTTCTTTCCAAGGTTCGACCCTGTTCAACTCAACCAGTTCGACTAGAAAGGTGGGGAGGGTTCTAGCTTCATGTCATGTCATGATGCAAAGAAGATCTCAACTCTGAAAGAAAAATACCGCCGACTCACCGATCAACTCACCGCCCTGCCCCGCATCGGAATCGACGGAATCTAGGGAATCTAGGGCAAACGCGAGGAGGTTCTTCTCCACTCGCTTCTACTGGATGAGAAGACATTTTCTAAGTATAATTTGGTTTAAAAATGCAGTGAATATAATGAGTCATAGGTTGGTGTGTGCGTTGGATCTGCCTGCCTCCTGGCGACCGTGTTTGTTAGCTACGCTCAGTCCCGTTCTCAACCAAAGCAACATAATAGGAGGTATGTAGAAGGAAAGTCCTGACACAAATAAGGCGGCACAGATTGAGAGTAGTTTTGAGAAAAATGGAATTGCTTCAGCAACGATCCAAGCGACGAGGGTCACTAAGCCGACTAGTCCAATCCACGTAGCCCACCCCTTGGTTGTATTCACGTATCTCACAATTGATTGTCTGTAGATCTGGCCATGAATATATTTGCACACTGCAGTCGCGTTGATTGATCCAGAAATAAAGATAACAGGAAGAGCGACCCCAAAAATTATCCTAGAAGGCGTGGGCCCCGCAGACAACAATGCTGGAGATTGGACACTATCCCCAACGAGATAGTAAATAATCGCTCCTGTCAATGTATACACAATGGTTTCCACCGCGCAGAGAATTTTGATGGATTTCACGTAATCCTCGGGTTTCATGCATCTCTGCCATAAATGAGGGCTGAGAAGAGGCGAAACCAAAAGCAAAGACAATGTTTTCCAGTGCAACAAATGCTTCCGAAAAGCTCAGGTCTTTCTTTGGTCCAAGCGACCAATGGACATCCTCCGGCCTTTGGACTCCACTCGCTATCATAGTGATCCCGATGGCAAAGATAATTGAGGAACGTTGGATAAGGCTCTATCATTGTTCGTTACATACACTCACTCATCACATCCCCACGGTTTCAACCTGGGTAGAGCCAGTCTGCACTGGTCCCATGGGCCCTTCGTTCACTCGCTGTCGTAGCGTTCGCAAGATATCCTCAAATCCTTCCATCTGCCCGCCGCTTTGTCGGAGCTGATCATAGAGTGCCACGAGAACTTCATGCTTTGCTGTAGCCACTTTCCAAACTGCATTTTGAGAATCACCAGCACCGCCTCCTACAAACTCCGCGTATGATCGAGGGGGCTTGAACAGGTAGGGGAGGAGCGTGGTCAAAGCGGGCGGGGTGAGAACGGCCCAAGGACCAGAAAGAGGAAGAAGGCCACTTGTAGCGGGGGATAGCTGTCCCAGGCCCTCCTCCGATGGGAGTCTGAAACGAGAAGAGACTCCAGAGGCGTGTGATGCAGGGGGTAACGGTTGCCAGTTAGCCTTGACAATGGAATTCATAAAAGCAATCGCCGAAAGGGCAACGTCCTTCATTACGAGGACATCTGCGGCGGTAACGACGTCATTCCAGAAATTCGAGTGCTCATTGAGATAATGGAAGTAAAGGATTCGAGCCGCCGCCGCTTCATGGTGCCAGTCAGTTGGAGTTTGGCCTGAGTTGTTCAAATCCATTGAATCCGAGTCATGGGTTCGGGGCGGGCCCTGGAAGACCTTGCCCAAAACGTCAAAAGCCTCTCCATTGGGAGGGTTGGAGGGGATGGTCAGCAGAGGATTCGAGCCGTGCTTGCCGGCTTCAATAAGTAGAACTCGAGGCAGGCAGGCCAGGATGGCCATATGACCGGTCGGGGCTTCACCATGGGCCCATTGCGCAGTTGGAATAGCAAGGGCCCGCGAGATACGCGAAATAATGCCATCGAGGAGGGTAAACGGGTTCTGAAGTAGGTGGTTTGGGTAGAATTCGGCATATCTTGCCACATAAGCCATGACCGGGCCAGAAAGGTAGATCTGATCCACCGGATCAAGCTTGGAATCATCAAGATAATATTCCAGTATTTGAGAATGGTGTTTCTCTGAGATAAGGAAATCGAGAGCAGGAGATGAGAATGTTGATCCGGAGTGAACATAGGTTCGAGCAGCTAACCCTGGCGCCTCGAGTTCCAGCAGGTCGCGGAAGAATCCTAACAGAGTCATATGCATCAGGACGTCGCCCCGGTCGACCATCTGACTCGCGGCGAAGTGAATTAGACTTTGGCTGTGGTATTGAGCCTCAATATCTGATATATGAGATTTGGAAATGACATCCCAACGGAGACGACCGGCCTTCACTAGGAAACTCATCAATCTTCCCTGTGCCAATGTCCGCTCACGCTTCGTCAAATCACTGGGTGCGCCCTCCTGGAGGCTGCAGAGACCGAATAAGAGAGCATATACATCTTTGTCTGTGAATACCCTTCTCCACATGAGACCTTGGCCAGCATGACCCTCTTCCCCGGCGTGATCATGTTCAGCCTTGTCAAGGGAACTGGCCAGGTCGGCCTCCAGCAGCGTCCACAATGTCTCAAGAGCTGCTTGAGCAACCGAAGTAGAGGAGGTTGATAGCCATAATTCCACCAGAGACGAAACGAGGCTTGGATCACCTGCGACTATAGCAGCATCGCTAGGTCTTTGTCCTGCTTTGCTCAACAAAGACAAGGCGAGAAGGTTGACCGGCTCCGAGGGGGCTTTGAAGCCAGCGACGAGATTAATGGGTGGCTGGATGGAACGTAGGTCTGTGAAGCTGAAAAAGCCCGTAGCTTTAATAGCGAGAGTGGTGAGAGGTGTTGGATCTTCCTGCAAGACAGGCAACAAAGCTGATATCGTAGATAAGAGAGTAGCGGGGACTGCGGTGTCGACTCCGTGGATAAGTTGGAGCTTTAATCGGTCGATCAGGGAGACATCCAGTGGGGTCGATGGGTCCTGTTGGACCTTTTCCAGGTGTGACTTGACCGCATCAAAAGAAGTAGGAATCGCCATGGCTGGAAGTAGAGTTGATGTCAAGGGAACTTCACCTTCGAACCTTTTGGAGAGGAAAACATCCGACGGGGAAAGCTCCTCCCCCAAAGTGACCCGCGACCGCCTTGTCATCGCCCACCTCCAACCCCAACTTCACCAACTTCCTTCTTCCACATCCCCTCAATATTGCGATGGAGTCCACACAATCCCTTCTTTCCCAAAAGTCCTCGGACTCAGGACTTCACATCCAGCTCCACCCTCTGGTGCTCCTCACCATCTCCGATCACATTACCCGACATGCCGCACGGCGGCAACAAGGCCCAACTATCGGGGCCCTTTTAGGCCAGCAAAATGGACGAGAGATCACTATCGAGCATGTGTTTGAATGTCCTGTCACAGATGACACAAATGAGGCCCCTCTTCCCGTGCCATGGTTTGAGGAGCGACTGAAGCAATGTAAGTTGGCCCTCCCCACTGGCCAGATGGTGCCGGTCTAACTGAATGCGCCTATAGTCAAGGATGTACACAAGAACCCTCCTCTCGACCTTGTGGGCTGGTGGTCAACTGCTTCACCATCAGGTCCCGAGGCCTCACATCTCCCCGTCCACCGCCAGCTTCTCCAAGACTACAACGAATCTGCCCTCTTTCTAGCCTTCCACCCCTCTCAGCTCAAAACCGACTCGCTCGGAGCGAAGCTTCCTTTGACGATCTACGAGAGTGTCCTTGAAGGGGAGAGCGCCGCAGATGGCTCTAAGGATATGCAAATAGATGGCGAGGAGCGAGCTATGAACATCCGCTTCCGCGAGTTGCCATATTCTGTCGAAACCGGCGAGGCGGAGATGATTGGGGTTGACACCATTGCCAAGGGATCTGGAACTGCTTCATGGACCGAACCCGCAGCCCAAGGCTCAAAGAAGACCAACAAGAATAAAAAAGAAAGCTCACAGGCGGAGCTAACGCAAGAGGAAGAAGAATGTATGTTCCTGCATGCTGATCCAGCGCTACTCTTCGACATCAGTCCTTCTAACCAAACTAGTAATCGCAAACCTCAACACCCGCCTCAACGCCATTCGCACCCTTGAATCTCGAATCTCCCTCATTAAATCCTACGTTTCCAGCGTCACAGAATCAAACGATCCCGCCAACCCTTCCTCTCCGCAGATGTCGCACGCCATCATTCGCAACATCAACTCGCTCATCGCTCACCTCTCCATCCTGTCCCCGCGTGATGCGAACGCTTTCAGGTCCGAAGTTCTCTCCCAAAATAACGATGTCAAACTCGTTTCGCTCCTCGGTCAAATTGGAGAAAGCGTCAAGGCCATGTCTGAACTGGGCCGCAAGTCGGTTATCGTTCAAGGAGCGCGTCAGACAAAACAGGCCCGGGCACACATGGAACCGAACGCTCTACCTAGAAGTTTTGAGGAGGAACTGTTTCGTCAAGATTTGATGGGTTCCCGAGCATAGATTAAAGGTTGCCTTAGCTTTCAAAGATATCTTGATGGTTTGCTTAGGGCGATGCTGTCCGCTTTCAAAGCCATACATGAGATTCTAGACGACATAATGAATGAACGCCTCCTACATCATTCACGCATACCACAGATGGTACTGTAGAAATGTTAATGGTTAGAACACAAAATAGCCACGGTTTAGACATAAGGCTCTTCATTCATCAAAATAATACTATACAAATACATGCTATGCTAGCTGAAAAGTATGCAATATAACACGACATCGGCCCAAAGACGTGCCAACGGAAACAACCAACGGGTATTCGTCCAAAGAGCATAAACGGAAGGTAAGTAAGGGAACCGCAGTAAAGAAGTAATAAGAAATCAAAACCGGATATCCGGCAAGCCGATCATGGGTACCGTAGAGAAAGATAAATAGAAAGAAAGAAAAAAGGTAACATAAAAACAGCTGCTGTGCTTTGAGCGACAGCTACGCTAGACCGAATTATTGCAGCCAGAGAAGAATTTCACCACACCCAAACAAGAGGGATCATGAATGTCCAGGGTGGCGGTGATCGTGATCATCGGGGTATGGAGGCG